CATGGTTCAACCTATTTTAATGCAAGGTATTTTATTTAAATGAATAATTTGGATTTCAAGGATACGGATTTTTAATCAAAATATGTGATTCAATATTCCTATATATATTGTAGGAATATTAATCGAAGTTAGTTGAATTTTTGAAAAAGTGTATACGTAAGTATTATTTAATGTGGACTTATTATTTCATATTTGTTTGGGGACTTCATATAAGAATTTCCCATTTAACCAATAAACTCGAACATGTTAAAGGAGGAGGCTTATTGACTTGCATTCATTTCATGTAAGTCAATACCGATAATATCCTCAATCTATTTAGGTCCTAGGTCAATGATGTTATAACACTCAAATATTTTTAGAGGAAGAGTGGAAGTTAAACGACTTTGAAGAAAGTGTTGTAAAAGTAATTTATTTGGAATGGAAAAATCTAGTACTTTTGATACCCAAAAACGTTTTGAAACATTAGATGAAAACAATAGAGACCTAGAAATGTCTAGAAGATGTCTATTCTTTCTCTCATCTATCCTATTTTGCTAAGGGGTATCTACATAGGAAATTTGGTGTATGATTCCCTTAGTTGATAGATATGAGCCAAGATTAGAATTAAAAAACTCTCTTCCTTTATCGGATCTAAGTATTTGAATGAAATTTTAGAATTAATTTTTAATCATTATGTTGAAATTCTTAAATATTTGAAGAACATTTGAATTATTTTTCATGAGAAAAATCCATGTGAGTCCTGTGTGATCTTCTATGAAAGAGATGAACCATCGAGCCTATGTGACATTTAGAACTTGAGATGGACCCTAAACGTCACTATGGATTATAGAAAAAGGTTTTGATGCTTTGTATGACCGAGTGGGGTATAAACTGCGAATGCGTTTTGTAAATTGACAAATTTCATATTGAAAAGAACTAGCACATTTTTTTCGAATAAAGTTGGAAAAAACTTAGACAAGTACATAAAACTTGGGTGTCCTAACTCGTAATGCCACACCATGACCGACCTCTCACTCTCGGTTTTCCACTCACTAATAGACAAGCAAGAATTATTTTTACAAGAAATAGGATCACTCACTCTTAGATGAGATTGTCTTATAGAATCCGATTGAACCTCGAGATGATAGAGCCCGAGCATGATTTCTAGCATCGCCAATTATCCTCCTCGAAGTCACATCCCGAAATTCACAAACATGAGGAGAAAATTAGCTAGCTAGACAATAAAGACCTTAGGTAATTTTATTTATGGAGAGTAGGTTATAGTATAGATTAGAAATATATCGAACAAACTTTAGTGTTATATCTTTGAATACCGCAATCAAACCAGTCCATTCAACTTTTGCAAAAGAACCATCTATAATTCTAACTATGAGAGCATCATTATAGGGAGAATATGTGTGGAAAACTCTCTTATCTTTTGGAATATGATCGGAAGCACCGTAGTTTACAATCCAAGACTTATAGAGCTCTTATTTGACGATCAAAGCTTTAAGAATTTTGAGTTATGGAACTCGACCTAATAATTGATGGATTTTTTTATGATTGCATTAACCTTCTTAGTCTATCAAGTTTTTCTTTGATAAGAGTTGTAGTATGCTCTAAATTGCTGACCATTTTGCCTTGAATTTTATTCCCTATTGTTATTTTTGGCTTCGAATCAACTAGCTTTCCATGGAGTGTCCAACGGGTTTCTTTGGTATGACCCGGGCAACAACGAATGTTCATACTATGTCCTTCCCCTCTATATGGCTGCTGCTAATTTTGGACTACCAAGGCCAATGACTTATCACCGAGTAGCTGATTTTTTTGGTCCCCAGCATCAAATGACGTTTGCTTTCTTTCCTTTGGACCTTAAAGAAGGCTTTGCATACGATTGGGAATGGTTTTGTGTTAAATATGATGGCGACGAGTCTTTTTTCATGTTATAAAATCTATATTTTTAAATAAAATAATGTAATTAATGTTTCAAAAAAAAATTTGGCTCTTTTTTTTAAAAAACAATTAATAACTAGTTAAAAAAAATTCACGAGTTTTATATATATAATCGAATTTATTGAAATAAATTTTATAGTAATTTTTATTTAAATCTATTTACTTCGATATATTCCATGCGATTTAAGTGGGTTTTATTTATTTATTTTATATATTCTGAATCGCTAAGTAATATATATATATATATGTAGTTTTGTTAGAAATTAATTATATCCGCCCCCATAACACCAATTATTTGTTATTTATTTTTTTCATGTTATAAAATCTGTATTTTTAAACAAAATAATTTAATTAATGTTTCGAAAGAACTTCTTACTTATTCAAATATAAATTTTTATATTGATATTATAAATTATTTTGTTAATAAATATATAAATCAAATAAGTTCGCTCAATGTATAAATTCAATTTACATTAATTTTTAAAAAGAAAATATATACTCGTATTATATCATGTAAATCGTTAATTTTATATATATAATGATTGTTTGACCGTTGCATAAGTAGGTATCTAACTAATTAACTAATAAACTAAAACAAAACGTTAGTTTACTCGTTCCAAATACTGTTCATACACTAATATTTCACTATTTATTGATTTTTTTATACTTTGGTCCTCGATCTTTGCCAACGAATCTTTCGATCGACATCTTCATGTACTCATCTATTTTGGTCCCTGGATGAGAGAGAGGGAAGGAGGGAAGAGAGAGACGGGAGGAGAGAGAGATCGTCGGTCAAGTTTATTTAGGCCACTTTGGTCGGCGAAAATCTACTAGAATTTTGTTATCTTTAAGAGATGAGTTTGTCCATGATTGTTTCAAGCCATGAAACAATTAGAGGAGGTAGATTGGAGCCAAAAAAGGAAACAATGTTTCGATTTGATTGTGTAATTTTTTTTTTTTTGTTTTTGTGTGCATTAAATTGATTTTTAAAGTTTTAGATATGTTTATTGACTTTATTTCGATCATTTAGAGGTGTTTGGGAAAAAAATGATGTCGGAATTCAATTTCTAAGGGGTTTGACTATTTATTGACTTTATTTCGATCATTTAGAGGTGTTTGGGAAAAAAACGATGCCGGAATTCAATTTCTAAAGGGTTTGACTCGTTTGTTGACTTTATTTCGTCATTTAGAGGTGTTTGAGAAAAAACGATGTCGAAATTCAATTTCTAAGGGGTTTGAAACTTGATTCTCGATTTTTCAACGAAGATTCCGATGACCTTCGGGTGTTGGAAGTTGCAAACTGTTTTTTTTTTTGGAGCGAGCAGTCTAAGCTCGACGCGCAGGCTCGACGACTCCCGGCGCACGAGGCTTTTTTTTTCTTCTTCTTCTTCTTTTTCTTCTCCCGTTTCTGGTTAGGAAATTGACTTTTATTTTGGTCCCTTCTTTCTATTTTTTTTTTAATTTTGCTCATTAAACTTTTTTTATCTTTGATTTTTATCCCTATCGTAAATATTAAAATTTTAATATATGTGATTTTTATCCTTATAATAATTTTTTTAAAAAATATGAATAAAAATTTATGTTCTTTTTTTGTTTCTATTTTTTAATATGTTTTTATTTTAGTCATTAAAGTTTTCTCATATTTGATTTTTATCCTTGCTATACTGAAACTAAATAAAGTTTATTATCCTAAGTTTTTTTTTTCTTTTACTGAAATTTTCTTTCTATTCTAATTTATGTTTTGTGATTTTTTTCTTTGTTTTCGTCATTAAATTTAGTAGAATTTTTTTAGTCTTTTTTTTTGTAATTTTTTTTATTTTGATCATTAAATTTTTTCCCTACAATGAACTATTTTTTACTTTTAGTAAAACTTTTTGTTATATTTTGGTTTTTGTTTTATGATCTTTCATTTATTTTGATAATTAAACTTTTATTATATTTAATTATTATTCACTCTACATTAAAATTAAATACATTTTAACTATGCTAAGTTTTTTTTTTTAGTGAAAAAATTTTCTGTTTTGATTCTTATTTTATTAATTTTTTTTATTTTGGTCATTAAAATTCTATAATATTTACTTTGGTTCCTGCTTTATGCATAATGAAAACTTTTTAGTCTTATTGTTTATAAATATTTTTTGTATGCTTCTAGTGAATTTTTTTTTTAATCTTTTTTATGATCTTTACTTTATTTTAATCATTTAATTTTTATTATGTGTAATTTTATCTCTATTTTCTTTGCCAAATTCTCAATTTGACCAAGTTTTTTTGTCTTTTTATTAAGTGGTCTCTATGTCTCAGTAACAAATTACAAATGAATAATATATAATAAAAATTAATCATCGAAAATTCAAAAAATAACCATAATATTATTTTAATTATCTCGTTATTAATAAAATACATATTTATATCAAACAATATCTAATTATCAATATTATATTAATCAACATTGTAAAATTTTTCATTTAGCTAACCTTACAATAAATTATGAAATATATATTTTAATATTTTTTTAATTATTTTTATATGATATTGTTAAATAATGATTTGTAAAGATTAAATTTTACATAAACGAATTCATAAAAAGGTTATATAACTCATCCAATGACAACTCGCGAGATATATACTAGTGAAAACTATTCAGCAAGGCCCCACAGTGCAGGTTATTTGTACATAGAAAAAAGAAAATTTCGGCTGCCCATAGCCGGGATTGCAGTGCTCCTTAATTCATCACTGCAAAGAGTTTTTCAGTACGGATTAAGCAGGGAAAGAAATAACTCTGCCAAATCACCAAGGCAAAAGTCAAATCAGAACCTGTGATTCCACATGTGGGACAACCTCTTCTGCATCATGCTGACAAAACAGCAAGTAGTAGGTGTCGTGTCCAATTTGATAATGGATATCTGGACAACCTATCAGCGTTTGGATTGCCATCTTTTTAAGAAATTATATTTTTTTGGGGTTCAGTGAAAATATCGCGTTGTCTCTTTATGACTTTCGGAGTAAAATACAGTAAGTAGATCAACGAAAAGCATAAACAGGTAGAAAGAAAGATCAGAGCAGAAGCAATGAAGAAAGCAGAGCTGATTTTTGTTCCAGGCCCCGGTGTCGGTCACGTAGCATCAGGCCTTGAATTAGCAAACCGCCTTCTCGACCATGATGATCGAATATCTATCACTACACTTGTTATGAATCTACCTTTCGGTCCGTCTGTTGATGCATACACAAGATCGCTCGTTGCTTCAAAACCCCGCATCAAACTGGTTGACCTTCCCGAAGTGGATTCTCCTCCCCCACCAGAGCTTTTAGTGAAGTCCCCTGAAGCTTATATCTGTGACTTCATTGACAGTTACATGCCCCTCGTCAAAACTACTGTCACAAATATTATATCATCCCTCTCTAACTCGGATTCTGTTCGAGTTGTCGGGTTCATTCTTGATTTCTTTTGCGTGTCCATGATTGACATCGCAAATGAATTCAGTCTCCCTTCTTATATCTTTGTAACCTCCAACGCAGGGTTCTTGGGTCTTATGCTATACCTACCCAAACGCCATTATGAAATCAGCGAGGAGATGCAAATGTCCGATCCTGATTCGTTAATACCAGGTTTTTCCAATCCTGTTCCTGCTTCAGTCTTGCCTGATGCTGTATTTAATAAATATGGTGGTTATGCTGCTTATGTTAAGGTTGCTCAAAGGTTCAAGGATGGAAGAGGAATAATCGTGAACACATTTGCTGAGCTTGAGCCTTTTGCCCTTAGGTCCTTCTCTGATGATCCCCAAATCCCTTCAGTTTACCCTGTTGGACCAGTGCTACAGCTGAAGGGTCAGCCTCACCCTGATTTACACCGCGATCAGTTGGACAAGATCATGAAATGGCTTGATGAACAGCCTCAATCATCTGTGGTGTTTCTATGCTTTGGAAGCTTTGGGAGCTTTAGTCCCCCACAAGTGAAAGAAATAGCACTTGGTATCGACCAAAGTGGGTTCAAATTCTTGTGGTCCGTCCGTTTCCCAGGTCCACAATCTGGTCAGTTCACGAGTCCTGAAGAGGTGTTACCAGAAGGATTCTTGGAACGTATAGAAGGACAAGGAATGATATGTGGATGGGCACCCCAGGTTGAGGTCCTAGCTCACACGGCCATAGGAGGCTTCGTGTCTCACTGTGGGTGGAACTCCATCTTGGAGAGCTTGTGGTATGGTGTTCCTATTGCCACATTGCCTATATATGCTGAACAGCAGCTTAATGCATTTAGGATGGTGAAGGAATTGGGATTATCGGTGGAGCTGAAATTGGATTACAGGAAAGATGGTGATCTTGTGATGGCGGATGAGATAGCAAGGGCTGTAAAGTGTGTAATGCAAAGTGATAGTGAAGTGAGGAAGAAGGTGAAAGAAATGAGCCAGGTAGCCAGGAAGGCTGTGATGGATGGTGGATCTTCCTTCACTTCTATTACAAAACTCATTCAGGATATGACAGGAAACAGCTGATGTGAATGTTGGCCACCTGTAAAGGGATGATTTCCATTATTGTTAAAGAAATAGTATGAAAAATAAGGTATTGCTGGATGTAATACATTACCAAAACTTTACAGTAACCTTTCATTTTGCTGTACCATGAACTTTTCTTCTTGTTTTTTCTCGTTGTCAGGGCGTGTGATGTTGTTTGAACTTGATCTTCTATATTGTTAGCAGTCCTGAGATTGATCTTGCTGCAGAATAAAATATGACAGTTTGAAATGTTCAAACTTCATCATGTTGCAAGTATAAGCTTCCAAAATTGTTGTCTTATCTCTGTCATACGGACCTCCAAATTAATTCTGCAAGTGCTTTTTTTTTTTTTTTTTTTTAATCTTTGATTCTGCAATTCTAGCATGTTCTGTCTGTTACTATTTTTAGATGGTATGGTCTCTTTATTATTAACGAACGAATTCTAGAATTATCTGTTTAGAGTGGACTCCAACTGGACCACGTGCCTTCATGGACCTACTCATGCTTGCCAAGTTGTATGAAAATATCTAATCTTAAGGAAATTGCCCGATTTGAAAGGCTGGACCAGTCTAGAGAATTTGGCGAACTCGGATCTTATGCTGATGTTCCCTATTCACTTATTTCATCTTATAACTATTCTTGAAATCTTTTGTCATTTACAATTTTTATCTATAGATATGACATTAGAGGAGTTCATCAAGATATCATTATTTTCACTCAATTTTTTATTTGTACAGTTAGAATGTTCTAAAGCAATTATTTTAAATTTTCTTATGTTTGTTATTTATCTTGGCGTTTAAACAATTCTTTTTCCAACACTGATCCTAACAAAAATTACACTAGTTGTCATGTATTATTATAGAGGAAGTCTATATGATCAAAAAATTAGGAAAAAAAAAGTCTAGAATGCTAGCATAAACACGATACTATAGGTTATTTTTAAATAATAAAGCATTAAGGGAATTTATGGAAAAAAAAATTAAATATATCATGTGGTGTGGAGATATATTTTTAAAATTATTTGAAAAAAAAATTAATATCTTTTTAGGCATAAGTTGGTGTGATGATGCTTTTGCTGTCAAATTAATTTAAAAAAAAAAAAATCCTATCAGGCATCAACATTTTCGTATTCAACGTTCTAACAACCTCATTATTATTATTATTATTATTATTATTATTATTATTATTATTATTGTATGCACATCACATCTGTCCTGGGATGGTGGGTCAACTATCAATACTTTGAAATCTCTTTCGTGCTCTCCCACCATATAAATCCGATGAGCATATTGTTGCGATCCGTGAAAAAAGAACAAAATTCTTGAGATTAAAATAACTTTTCGAAAGGCTACAGAGAACTGGAGAGAATGTTATATAGATCCCAAAGCTTCTAGGAGTCTCTAGATTATTGACAAAGCTTCTAGGCTATTCAAAAGAAATCTTAACATATCCTAAATAATTCTAGAGAAATAATTATAGAGAATCTCTAAATTATTTTAAAATATACATAACTAGAATATGTTTCGTAAATATCTAGATGTAAGAGTTATAGATAATCGATTGTAATCATTAGATCAAATTGATGATGATCATTCATTTAGAAAGTGAAAGTCTATAAATAGATAAAAAGATTCTCATTTGACCAAAAAGTTATAAACATTTCAAGATCAATAATAGGGGTTTCTATAAACATATCTCTTATGTGACTTTCTTGTTTCACAATTTAGCATAAGAAAAAAGCCAATTTAGTTTAGTTCAAATGAGAAGTAAGCCAAATGTTGCATAGTGAGTTTAGAAAAGGCCAAGTCCATGACAAATGGTATCAAAACTAGATTGCAAGCTAAGTGTCCAAAAATAAGCATGCCTAACTTTGGTGTTGATAACAAAGGTATGAATCCCGAAAGGAGACTATCCCTCCTCAACTTAAGAAAAGAAATATAAAGTTTTGCGATGCAATTACTACCTTTAAAGAATGTCTTTTAAGGGCAAATGAGCACCTTACTAACTTCAAAGAGAGACTAAAGGTGGACTAAAGGTGATGGAAAAGGACAATGAAGAAGGGACACTAGGCAAGACAAGCTTATGTGAAGCACTCTTTAGTCTTCAAACTCGAGTAAAGTTGGTTAAGAGGTACATAAAAAAGAATGCTACCGGAAAGGATGCTTTTGCTAACTAGACCAAGAGATTGTTTGCATAATATTAAGAGGTAATAGCCAAGTATGAACAAATTCTCGAATAACTTAAGAAATACTCGGGCAATTTTTCATAAAGCTATAGCCAACGGTGTTGTCTTGAAAGGCACGTTAAAAATGAAAATCTCGAAGCCATAATATTATGTTGCCAAGATATAAGCTAAAGACATTGATACCTTCTTTTGGCAAGTAGAGCAATACTTTAAGGTAGTGGCTTAATTAAGAATATAAGTCACGTCAAAATCATTATCCTCAATCTTATGGAGGATGTTATTCCGTGGTAGTGCATTAAGCATCAAAAGCTCGAAAGATAAAAATCGTGAGCTACATGGTTAGGTTGAGTTCAAGTAAACTATCTATACCTACTAGTTCTATATGGAGGAAGTAGATTGGGAAGCATGAGACAAGTTATGAACTCGAATCACTTAGGAACTATTTACAAATATGTTAAAGAATAGATCTCTTTTACAATTTAAGCATGAGGCAAACCTAGCTATGATCATTTGTATGACTTTATTAAAGAATTTTAAACACAAGCACCACAAGAGATGTGAGGTCAAAAGTCTAAGACTTTCTTTAAAACTATAAACATAACTGAATCCCCGGTAAAGTACAAGAAGAATGGTGAACTCTCTAAGCCTAAGAAAGACTTCAAAAATAAAGATGAGGGAGCCCAAGCAAAGAAGGGTTATAAGGATGGATATGATAAAGAACACAAGTCTAAAGGTTTTTTCAAAGACAAAGACAATAGGGAAGTCAAGCCCAAGGATTGCTATTTATGTGATAGGCCACATCGGTTGTAAGAGTACCCTAAGCGATAAGCCTTTAATGTCGCGATAGAAAAGAATGAGTGCACTTTTAAAAATGATAAGCATGTGGTCATTGTAGCTATTCAATACCCTTAAAGGTCAAGCTCGTACCCAAGGCACCGTTAAAGTATGGGTTGATATATGTAGATATGGATGTAAATGGCAAAGTCATCCTTACATGCTAAATATGGGTGCCATACAAAATTTATGGTTAAGAATGAAGCTAAGAGACTTAGTTTGGTGGTGATTAAGTCATCCAACGAGTATGAAAATGGTGAATGTTTCCCTAAACCTACTAGTGGAGGGGCATATAAGGTAAGCCTTAGCATCATCGTATAGAAAAAGGCATTGGATTTTATGATTGCTCGTAATGGACGAATTCAAGATTGAGTTAGGCATAGAGTTCTTTAATTAAGTCAAAGTCATGCCTACACCATGCTTAGAGCAAATAGTAATTCTAAAAGAAAAGAGAGTGTGCACAGTACCAACCAAAGTATGTGACAAATCGGATATGAAGCTTTTTCTATCATGCGAGTAAAGAAGGGCTTCAACTAAAAAAAAAAAAGTTGCTTACTTGGTAACACTAAAGAAAGATGGGCTGGTAGAGGATGATGTCGCTGAGATGTCTAAGAAAATCACCAAGATATTGGCTGAATTTGATGATGTAATGCCACTAGAGTTGTCTAAAAAGTTATTGCTTAAGAGAGATTAATTATTAGATCGAGTTGATGACTGGTGCCAAGCTACCAATTATAACACCTTATCTAATAGCCCTTCCCGAGTTGAAGGAAATGAGGAACAATTGAAGACCATATTGAAAGCAAGACAAATCCAACCATATAAATCTCACTATGGTTCGCCCGTACTATTCTAGAAAAAGTATGATAAATCACTAAATATTTATGTAGACTATCGAGTGTTGAATAACGTTATAATGAAGAAAAAATACCCATTTTTATTGATAACAAATTTGTTCAACTAATTAGAAAAAAAGCTTAATTCCATACTAAACTTAACTTGAGATTAAAGTACTATCAAGTCCAGATTGCTATTGAAGAATTGCTAAAGACTACGTGCGTGAAAAAATATAGTTCTTTTAAATTCCTTATTGTGTCGTTTAGTCCTATTTATGCCCCAACTACCTTCTAAACCTTGATGAACAAAATATTTCATTTATACCTAGATCGGTTTGTAGTGGTCTACTTTAATGGTATTGTGATCTATAACTCCATGTTGGAGAAGCATGTAAACTAGTTATGTATCATGTTCAAGGTACTAAAAGAGAACGAGTTGTATATTAAAAAAAAAATGCTCCTTCATAAAATAGGAAGTACTCGAAATGAAAAGGTTGATAATAGATATGGAAAAGGTTAAAGCTATCTCGGAATGAAAAGAACCAATCAAAATGCTAGAGTTTTGCTCTTTCCTTGAGTTAGTAAACTACTATCGTTGCTTTATTTATGACTACTTGAAGAAGGCGATCCTTTTTACTCGACTTGTTGAAAAAGAGTAAGACATGAAAGTGGATCAATCAATGCCAAGAATTTTTTAAAAAGCTAAAGAGAGTCATCACTAAGGAGTCAATATTGAGTTTGGCGATTCCATCAAACCATAAAAAGTACGGACCAATGTCTCCGATTTTGCTATAGGTGGTGTGTTAATGCGGTAACAACACTTTATAACTTATGAGAGATGGAAGCTGAAGATCAATCCAAGTATTCCACGAAATTATGTTGAATCTATACCATATGGATGATAAAGATCCAAGTCGAGGAGTTTCCAATAAGGTGCCTATAATAATGGTTCACTCGTATTACAAAGAGGTTAATGTCATAATTGATGATCATACAGTTTGACATTATAGGTGCCACCAAGAAAAGAGTTCTACATGGAATGAAAAGAGCTACCACAAAGCGAGGCTAGTCGGTAATTTGCAAAAGCTTTATGGCGGCTCATGTGGAAGATCGAGGAGTATCACGAAGACACAAGGAGAGTGTCACCGGATTAGTTGGAGGAGAGTGTGATGCCTATGGAAAAAAAATTCTAAAAGTTAAACATACTTTCTAAAAGGCTCTAGAAACTTGGAGAGAATGCCGGATAGACTCGAAAGCATTCAAAAAGCATCTAGACTATTGAAGAAAAATCTACAAATGTCCAAGATAATTCTAGAGAGTTTCTAGATCATTCAAAAGTATATATATCTAGAATGTTTTCCGTAAATATTTTGATAAGAGAGTTTTAGAGAATTAATTGTAACCATTGGATCAAATTAATCTTAGTCATTCATTGAGAATGTGAAAACCAATAAATAGATAAAGCTCTTATTTGACCAAACCATCCAATTGTAAGATTTTTTAGAATAATACAAAGAGTTTTCATATCTTTTTTTGTATGACTTTCTTACTTCGGATCTTAGTATATAAGAAATAGTAACTTGGTTTGGTTTAAACGAGAAGTGAGCTAAATACCTTACAACGAGTTTGAAAAAAACCAAGCCCAAGACAACATGCTCATAAATAGCGTTGATTTCATTTATTTATTTACTTTTAACTTTTTATTATTATTTTATTATCTTTTGGGCTTTAAAAAAGTGAAGTACATGTTCGCTTATCAACCTGTCATATATCATATGCTGATATACTAATGCTTATTAAGAGCTTATTTTACAAAGATATGTGATAAGCCACAAAGAAACATATTAATCTAAAAATTAATAAAGAATAATACCGACACGAACATATTGATGCATTAAGTCCAAAAAAAACCTAAACAATAGACGGAACGCAATTTGAGTGAATTATAATTTAATTCACGCAATATCAAACTATTTAAATAGTCTTTTTATAATCGAAATGATTAAATAATTTTTCGATTCATAATGGCCATCTTGATTAGTATTTTTTTCCCCCTAAAAGAGCTTTATTTTCTAATCAAATGTTCACATCTTACCTACTTCTCTTTTCATTATTCTATTGATCAAAAATCAAAATTGGATAACATGAAAAATGTATGGAATTTACGGAGGAACCAGGTTATAAATGGATTTAAAGATATAAGCATTGATTGTAATTTCTGAAACTAGAAGGACTAACTAATTGGTCTTGTTAATTACAAAGACTAAGTTATACTTCATGCGGTCTTGACTCTTAGACCAAAAAAAAAAAAACAAACCTGAACGAATGACAAGCTGCTCTGCTGCAGCCTGCATTTTGGCAGTTTTGAGTCAAATACCAGCAATGAGAAGAGCAGATAAGGATTTAACCTCATAGTTCTGTAGAAGAAGAAGATGGCTGGTACCTGGATTTAGTCTTCAAATCTATAAATTGAGAAAATAATCTCAACATAACATCCATGGCAACCCTAAGGACCCCTCTTGCCTCTCTCCCAATTAACCCAAACCCCACCATGTTAACTGCCAATAACGACCAAAAAAACAATCCCTCCACAGTCTCAGTGCTCATCGACAAATGCACCAACACCAAACACCTGAAACAACTTCATGCTCATATGCTACGCACTGGCCTATTCTTCGCCCCTCCATCAGCTACCGAACTCTTCGCTGCATGTGCTTTGTCCTCTTCCTCCAGCCTCGATTATGCTTGCAAGGTGTTCGATCAAATTCCCCAACCAAATCTGTACACTTGGAACACTCTCATTCGTGCTTTTGCTTCAAGTCCCAAACCTGTCCAAGGCCTCTTGATATTTAACCAGATGCTTCGTGAGGGCCAACGTTTTCCTAACAGGTTCACTTTCCCTTTTGTTATTAAGGCAGCCACGAAGGTTTCTAGTTTACTTGTTGGACAGGCTATTCATGGAATGGTTATGAAGGCATCGTTTGGTTCTAATTTGTTTATTTCGAACTCACTAATTCATTTCTATTCCTCGTCAGGGGATTTGGATTCGGCTTATTTAGTTTTTTCGAAGATTGTTGAGAAAGATATTGTGTCATGGAATTCAATGATATCGGGGTTTGTGCAAGGAGGTTGTCCTGAGGAGGCATTGCAGTTGTTTAAAAGAATGAAGATGGAGAATGCGAGGCCCAATCGCGTGACAATGGTGGGTGTTTTATCTGCTTGCGCAAAGAAGATGGATTTGGAGTTTGGTAGATGGGCTTGCGATTACATTGAGAGGAATGGTATTGATGTAAATTTGATTTTGAGTAATGCAATGCTTGATATGTATGTGAAATGTGGGAGCCTTGAAGATGCTAGAAGATTGTTTGATAAGAAGGAGGAGAAAGATATTGTTTCGTGGACAACTATGATTGATGGGTATGCGAAAGTGGGTGATTATGATGCTGCTAGGAGGGTTTTTGATGCCATGCCCAGGGAAGATATTACTGCCTGGAATGCATTAATATCTTCCTATCAACAGAATGGGAAGCCAAAAGAGGCACTAGCCATTTTCCGTGAATTGCAGCTTAATAAGAATACAAAACCAAATGAAGTTACACTTGTAAGTACTTTGGCAGCATGTGCTCAGCTGGGAGCAGTGGATTTAGGTGGGTGGATTCATGTGTACGTAAAGAAGCAAGACATTAAGTTAAACTGCCATCTCACAACCTCTCTTATTGACATGTATTCTAAGTGTGGTCATCTGGAGAAGGCACTTGAGGTGTTTTATTCAGTGGAAAGGAGAGACGTGTTTGTATGGAGTGCCATGATTGCTGGGTTGGCAATGCATGGGCATGGGAGAGCTGCTATAGATTTGTTCTCCAAGATGCAAGAAGCTAAGGTAAAGCCCAATGCTGTGACATTTACCAATTTGTTGTGTGCTTGTAGTCACTCGGGACTAGTGGATGAGGGCAGGTTATTTTTCAATCAAATGAGGCCAGTTTATGGTGTTGTGCCTGGAAGCAAGCATTATGCTTGCTTGGTTGATACTCTTGGTCGTGCAGGCTGCCTTGAAGAAGCTGTTGAATTAATAGAGAAAATGCCAATAGTCCCAAGTGCTTCTGTGTGGGGTGCTCTGCTTGGAGCCTGCAGAATTCATGGAAATGTTGAGCTTGCTGAAAAGGCATGTAGCCGTTTGCTCGAGACAGACTCCAGTAATCATGGAGCATATGTGCTCTTATCCAATATATATGCCAAAGCAGGCAAATGGGACTGTGTTTCTAGGTTAAGGCAGCACATGAAAGTTTCTGGATTAGAGAAGGAACCAGGTTCTAGCTCAATTGAGGTTAATGGCATCATTCATGAGTTCCTTGTTGGAGATAACTCTCACCCTCTCTCCCCAGAAATCTACTCTAAGTTGGACGAGATTGTAGCTAGACTAAAATCAATTGGTTATGTGCCTGAGGAGTCTGAACTTCTACAATCTGTTGAAGAAGAATGCACCAAGGAGCATGCCCTTAACCTTCACAGTGAAAAATTGGCAATTGCCTTTGGGCTTATTAGGATGGAACCATCACAACCAATTAGGATTATGAAAAATCTTCGTGTTTGTGGGGACTGTCATTCAGTTGCTAAGCTAATATCTCAACTTTATAATAGAGATATACTACTGAGAGATCGGTATCGATTCCATCATTTTAGTGGAGGGCATTGCTCGTGTATGGATTACTGGTAAATATGGGCAGAATATGATTTGAAGATTTCCCCTCAATTCTCTACAGAATGACGTAATTCCACGTTTGGAATCTGGGGGGAGCAAGATTGATGGAGTTGCAGATCAAATGGGAGCGCCAAGCTGTAAAACCTTCAAGTCTCCGGCCTTTTCATGGTGTTTATCCAAGGCTTTGAGCTCAAGTCAGAAAGCAGCATCTTACTCAGATGGTGTATATGTCATACAGAACAAAAAGTTGTTCGAACCATGCTTTAAGGAGGTCTGGCTTTTTAACTGCTATGCAAAGCAAACTGTGGAAAAGTGAAATTCCAGATGTTGTGCATGTTTTCTAGGTATTTCTTTTCCCAAGCACATGGTTAGTACTGAAGTTTAAAATTTAGGTGTAATATTTTCTTTGTTATGTTGTGCACCTCTTGGTTCCCAAGTCCCAACTTCCCTAAAAACCCAACTTTACTAACTTTCAGACACTGATGAGTCCTTTGACGAACTCGTCAGCCATTACGTTTCTAGAATGCACACAGCTGATGTGGATTCGATTTCTTGAGGACAGTTTGGTTGATGACAATTCAACGTCGTTGAGGGTAGATTTTAGGAGGAACTTGCAAATATTGTAAGCTTGTGAAGTTTGAAACATAATTACTGCTGGAGGCTTTTCATTTTGTTTTGTTAGATGAAGAGGGCAAACCTGTAGTTCATTATGATCTTGTCTCTTGACTGCATTGATGGGTGACGCAGTAACTGTTGTTACTGTGTAGGACTTGCAACTTTTTACCGTGGAATTATAATTTGGCTTCCGTTTTTTGCTGACTCACTAACGTCTTGTTTGAATAATTCCTCTTAGGAGGAAAGAAAAGAGAGAAAAGAAAATGAGAAAAAAAAAAAGAGGAAAGAAAATTATTTTTCACTTGTTGTTTGGATAAGACTAGAAAGGAAAGGAAATAAAATACATTTTCCTTGTTTAGATAATTGTAAAAAAACAAAAAATTGTATTATTGTATATTTACTGTAATACCTTTAGGATTATATTTTTATTTTTATTTTTTTATTCTCATTAATTTTTTTCATAACATTTATTTATTTATTTTTCCTTTTTAATAGAAAAACAATAAATATAAAAAATATAAAATAGAAGAAAAACTAATTTATTAATTTTCAAAATAGAAATAACTAAATAATTTATTTCTCGAAACTCGTACAGAACAATGTATAATTTATTCCTACACAAAATTGCACTTAGTTTTGATTTATTAAAAGCTTATCTAAAAATATTTCTTAATTAATTTAAAGAAAAAAGAAAAAAAAACAATTGAAATAAACTCCAGAGCTACACTAATCCATTGCAGCCGTGAGATGCGAGGAAAATTAGAATTTATTATTATTATTTTCTTGTCACATGGATGGAGCAACGGTAAAAACGGGAAAGCAAACAAAAAAAAAGGCAGCTTCAGGTTTTCTTCCGTTTCCTCTCAAAATTGAGAGAAAAATGGATCTCACGAAAAAAACATTTATTTATTTATCTTTCCTCTTATTAGAAAATTTTTATTTCCATCCTATTTTCTTTCTTTTCCCTCACTTTCATCTCACTTTCATCCCTATCCAAACAGGAGGTAAGCGTCAGTTGCTAGAAGTTGAATGATTATTTTTAGGCTCCAGATTCTCCGATGAGAGTTCAAATTTCTTGACCACATTTCCTTCCATGTGCTGCCCATCTCAGCGCTCCCATTGGGAAGCTCCGCGCTGTTGATAAATATATACACACACTGTTGAAAGTAGTTGAAATGTGGAAGTTTCTGAAAGAGAATCCAGTATCCAGCAACATGAAAAGAGATTTATCTGATAGATGAATTGTCGTCTAATCCATATACAAGGTTTCTTAGAAACGGACGACACTTATCAAATAAAAACCCCAAGAAAAGAATAACTCCTCTCGACCAGCAAGAAGGAAAGTTCTTTTTTTTTTTTTTCATGTTCATTAAAAAAAAAAAAACCACACACACCTTAAGAGTCTTGACCGAGTATCAATCCAAAACAATGAAAGATCATGCTAAAAAACCTGGTAAAGATCCTTAAAACTCTCGTCTGTTGAGATTAACAGAAAATCAAACAAAGAAGCTCTTGTAGATATGCCACGTGTCAAAAACCCACAACTTTATTTCAGATCCGAAGCCTTGTCATTGCTTAGTCTTCTCACAGGGTATATAATACACCCGGCACGCTCTTCACTCTGCAGATATTAAACGTCTCTTGTAGTTCCACAAGACCCAAGCTTTGGCCTTTGTGTTAGCAATGGAAACTTTAACTAGCTTGTCCACTAAGGTCTTTACAAAAAGCAACAGCGAAACTTTATCACCGTCAAGATCAGCCCAACTGGGACGATCTGATTTTGGCTTTTCTCCATCTCCAATTCTAAAGAAAGCACATTTTGATCATTTGATTTTGTTTCGACGCAGAGATGCTCCGTTGTTGGTCATGAAATCTCATTCCGCTTCTGATGCAGAGGTACCTTGTTTCTTTAATAAGTTCCTTGTATTCTCATTTCATTGTGTATTGGTGTCTAAATATTTTGGTTCTCTCTATTTATATCATTTTTTTTTCGTTGAACAATCAGCAGAACTCGCGTGTGATTAGAAATGAAACTCATTTGTTTCTGTTTAGAAACATGAAATGTTCCTTTATGCATTGGAAATCAGAACGGACTTTCTGATATGAGCATGTATGAATGCATAAAAACCTATAATTAAACACGGATTACTTTCATTTTTCCTGGATTAAAATTTATCAAGATGGAACATAACAGGATCTTTTAGTCCATTTTCCCCTATAAAGATACTCACAGGTTCAATGTTGACGACGAGTACTAGTTATGGTCTTATGGAAGAATTAGCTGATGTGAAGAACTTGAAAGTCATAATTGTGATTATCAAATACAAGAGGTGCACTAAGTTCTAAACTCGTAGGTTGTATCTGTGGTGCAATGATGGTGCCACTTCAATGGTCTAAGATTAAGACCACCTTCAAATTTTGTTCCAAATTGGTAGTGAGCCATGCTCATGCTCCACTGAGGTCACTCTTAAGATCAAGATAACGCTGGAGTTGTTTTCTGATGAACTTCTTTTTATCACAACATGGGAGCTTGATTAATTTCATCTAAAAGTTTCATTTTGTAGCTTGGTTGATGGCAATTAAACTTCTTGATTTAAATTTTCAAATAGGTGTTCACTGGGTTTGAGACTGCAGTGTCCGGGAACCAAAAAATTAGTAGTAAGTCATACTGTGTTCTGTATTCTTCAATCCAATTTTGTGCTTACTGTGACTTCAAAACAATGATTGTAGCTTCTCTGCTTTGCAGAACCTACAAAAACTGTTCACGTGAAGTTCCAGTTGCAGAAGGAGTGTATGTTCGGGGAGCAATTTCTCCTGGTTGGGGAAGAACCAATGCTTGGTCTGTGGGATCCATCAAATGCCATGCCACTAAACTGGTCAGAGGGACACACATGGATTGTTGAGCTGGTAGGAAGGAACTATTAAAGACACTATTTTACTGGTATTCAATGAGATATATGATACAAACTCCTGAATTCTGGCAGGATGTGCGCGTTGATTTGACAATGCAATACAAGTTTATTCTTAAAAGAAGCACAGGAGAAATCATTTGGCAACCTGGTCCTGACAGAATTTTCAAAACATGGGAAAGCAATGGCAGTGTAGTGGTTGCAGAGGATTGGGAAAATGCTGGAGCCCAAAAAATTTTAGAGGAGCAAGTGATCAATACTCCTGATTTGGAGACTGTTGTTGCTGGAAATGTTTCTGATCAAGGGGAGGAAGTTATGGCTGGTGTCAACAAGGATTTAATGCTTTCAGGGCACATTGCCTACGCAGAAGATAAATCAAATGGTAAGCATGAGGTTGTCAATGGTATTGCCTATGCGGTGGAGGGACACATAATTAATCCAAACATAAAACTTGAGTCAGAGGAATCTGTTGGTAACAGAAAAGAGGTGCCAGCGGACAACAATAATTTTACAACTCTAACTAGCAAGAGCCCAGTAACCATGGATGATGAAGAAACCTTGTTGACTTATGAACAAGGCACTGTTCTTGCACCTGGTTTGAACCCCTCCGCGATCAGTCTCTATTGAAGAAGCACTTTCCAAGGAAATTGACTCCATCTCTGCTGAAACCTTAATTGGAATCTAAGCAACTAAGTCCAGGACGTGCCTGGGATAACTTTTTGATGAACCAAATTGTTGCTATTAATTTTTTTTCTTTTTTCTTTTCCAAACTTCTTTTGGGAGCAATAATCCATGCATTCTCCCCCTTTATGCTGAGATACATATAGAATTATGTAAATATGGCTGCTGTTTGAATAATGCACTTGCTGCCCCTAATTAAATACATATACATACATACATACATACATACATACATATATATATAGCAGCTCGATTGCTCTATGCTGTGTTATGCCACTGAATTTTCTTTACGATGAACAGATGTTAAGGTTTTGGGCATCGTGCAGCTGAGATCCAGTTCGCAATTTGCTAATTTGCCGTTCCAGAATTTTGGTAGCTGAATCTCTTCAAGAGAGTGAACACCTGTTTCTAGTAAATTTAGGTCGTCCTATATTCTAAAAGATCTAGCTCTATGACCCAAGGACTTGACTTCCCATCCATGGAGTGCATATGCTTGAACAACAGCTTCCTGCCTAAACGGCTTGAAACAGCGTACTATCATTTCATGTATTAGAATAGTCATTTGTCCTGCACTTGTAGGAGAGCATTTGAAAATGTTCCGACTGTTGAAATGCAAGGCATGCTTTCTGTGATGAAACATGACCTTAATTCAGTACTGCTCGACTCTGGATCAAGTTCAAACCTCAAGGTTGATCAAAGAGGGATTAATTCTCTGCATTGCTATCAAATCGGGGGCTGAATATCGCACCGTTACTTTCATTCCTCATTTGCTGAATAGCAGAGTCGGTTCAACAAATTGCCCAAGGGTCTTGGCTCGTTGATTTTGAGCAACTCTCTGCTCTCTCGTGAAAATTAAGAGCGCATAGATAATTGAGACAAAACGTGATAGACCAATATCAACCTGATGAAGGCATATAAGCCCCTAGAGGGTAATATCAGATGCAAGAACTAAGTTTTCTAGTCTCCTATAGGGACCTCCTGGAATCTTCTGATTGTTGGGATCTATTCCGCAAGCTATGCAGTTCATCAGCTTGACGCACTCTATCCAACATCCTAGATGAACATGAAGCAGATCAAAAGGATTATGCCCACATGGAAGTGTGCATACTGAGAGCCTGATGGTAAACGGCGTCATGGCACAGTTATCGAGTAAGAAAGAACTTGGGCTATTGGCTATCTGGCCTGTATAACAAAATGAAAAGGTACCAGATACAGGGTACAAGGCATCCATCTCTTGCATGCCGATCCAAAATTACCTGTCATGCATACCTATGAAAGATTTGAACCAACAACAGGACAAATATCTAGGGTAATTTGCACCCAGAAATAACTCAAGAACAGTGCAACAGTCATCAATATGACTGACCATAGGGTGTTTCGTTTTTGAAGTTCTTGGAATTTGCAATTACTTCATCAGCATTTTACCCGTAGCAAAAAGGGAATAAATGCCACCTCAATACCATCAACCAATTGCAATTAACTTTCAACATATTATAGAGAAGTGAGATTGTATTTCCCCTAAATGATGTCAAACTGTTCTACAAATCCATCCTTTCGAAACAACATATCATCAGACACTCTGCTCTGTCAAGCTGCCACTACACAGATTTTGACACAAAATTTCATACTACAAGTCTATGATCAACCATTGCGCCCAAAACAAAAGCCATTGCCACTCTCAGAAACCATAATAAGAATGATCTGGTTGGATACTGGCAAAGTAAGCATATCTCATAATGGGAGCATTATCTCTCTGATTTACGCCGATGATCATCTCTTTCTCTGTGGCGATTGGAGGAAGAATCCCTCCCACGGGCAGACGATTTGTCCCCTCGTCTCTTATCTTGCTCTTCTCTAGAATAGGACTCTATTTCATTCCTTCTTGATCTCTTTTCTTCCCTCGTATCATCATCTTCTCTTGACATTGGTTCAAATTCATCACGATCATGCCTCCTCGAAATTTTTTCCTCCCTTCTATAGTTATTTCCTCTCGACTTCAGCTCTGGTACATCATCCTTGAGCTTTTTCAATCTAGTTTCATCTCTCTTATAATCATCTTCTCTTGGCTTTGGCTCAAATTCATCATCTTTGAGCCTTCTCAATTTCTTGTCTTCCCTTCTGTTATAATCTTCTCTTGGCTTCTGCACAATTTCATTATCATCATACCGTCTTGATCTGTTTTCCTCCCTCCTATTACTTTGTTTAGGGTGGCTCTCTGAGGGCATCTCATAGCTGGATCTTCTCTCACTCTTCTTTGGGCCCTCAAACATTTCATGTCCCCATTTAGAACTTTTATCTTGAGAACCCCAACCCGTATTTGCGGCTCTCTAGATACAAAAACAAACCAAAAGCATTAAATACATGAGCCAGCTATATCGAAATGCAATATGAGTTGCAATAACCTAATCTGCACAGCACACAACAACCGAACTCCACAAAGTAATTTAAACCAGTAATATTCTTTTGGTCAGAAAATGAATTAAAATCACAAAATAACAAAGCAGATAAGTGGATTGCATGATGAGTTTCAAATGAAATAAACAAATCCCCAGCCAATAAAGAAGGTATGCAAATAGGAAATAAGTAAACTTGAAGGCTTAAAGCAACAAGTAGAAAAGACTCTCAACTGCCATTGTCCAGTTCAATGAGCCATCTTTGTAGGCAAGAAAGAAAATTTATCTCAAATCAGAATTAAGTACTATCAATACTGATCTCCATGTTAGTATTTGGAATCAATATAATAGTACTTATTATATTAGTACTTATGATGGGCAGTTCTGATGCATGGGCAATTTCTCTGGTTATTGGTTCCCAGATTCATTCTACATCAACATTAACAAACACTGACCACTAAATAATCAGACTTCAAACCAATGGATATGCAAGACAATTTGCCACCAAATGACTACAGCTAACTACATACAGAAAGGTTCAATTGCATGGGCAGGTTTCTAAGAGCAACCTTTAAAAGTAGAGCAGCAAGCTGCATGTGGGTTGCATTAATGAACTGGTTAGATTTTAAAATATCAACTAATTACTTTTCAAAAAGGAAAAAAAAAAAACAAGCACACACTTGTAAAATGATTCTCTCATGTAGAATGATTGCTGTGCAATATACACTATCATCCAATTAATTTCAAAAGGATATAAAGAATAAGGTAAAAAAGGAGAAAAAATAATAAAACCAAATGTTAGTTATAAGAGCCTTAAATTCATTTTGAATCTTCCATATTCATGATCACACACAAAGAGTATGCAGACTACTAAAGGAAAGCCATCCGAAAAACAAAGAATATTAACAATGTCTTCCCCAAAGGTCTATGAACCTTACTTGTTCATCATGGGAAAATTTGCACCCAGCTCCACGATTGCATTCACCTCTCTGGAACGCATGACAAACCCCTCGTGCCTCCCTCTTCTGCTGCGCTGTTTCTTCATCTTCTTCTTCTTTCTTCTTGTACTTAGTAACATGGTCAACCCTTATAATTCGGCCAAGAACCTGAGCTCCATTCAGATTATCTGAAAGAAAGCCAGAGGCAAAAATAAGCAGAAATACTTAGCTAGTAGCTATTCTCCATTACAAGCCTGCCAGAGATGGAGGGGACCAACCTACAGCAAGATTTGTACTTCTTTGATCCTCGTAAGCAAGAAATGCAAAACCTTTTGATTTGCCAGTACCCTTGTCTCTTACTAGATTAACATCAACTACTTCTCCATATCTGAAAAAAGCCAATTTTGAAACACATATATTAGTGAAAAACAAGATAATCCGTTAGCTAATCTCTTCAAACTCACTTCTAAGCAGCTAATTCCAAATATAAGAATAACAATAATCAATAGAAAACTACACACTGCCTTTTTCCAAGACCAAAAGGGAAAAAGAAAATAAAACCCACCAATGTTAAACCCTATTAATTAGTATTAAAATCACAATACACCGAATTGAATAGAGAGAAAGAGTTACTGAGCAAAGACAGCGAGGAGATCGCCTTCGCTGAGATCGAAAGGAATGCCACCAACAAAGACATAAGCAGAATCTTTGTACTTAGCGTGCCATGAAGCTTGCTCTGAAATCCCTAACGCGGCTTCTTTTGAGTTTATGTCTTGGATTCGTTTCACCAGCGTCAACGGATTCATAGCTACCACCTCCCTCTCTCTCTAAACCTCTCTTTTCTCTCCTCCCTCTCTCCCTGTGTCTCTGTGTTCCATTTTCTATTCTTTTCATCAAAGGTAATGGGCCGGGCTCCCGGGGCAAACCATTTCGTCTTTTTGATACGGTTTAACTGGACCGACTTAGTCGACCCCGCGTGGTTCCAAAGTTCTAATAATAATTTATTATTAGGTACTTCGTTGGAGTTGGAACGCTATTTCGCTCGCATATGAATCCCACTTTCATACAAGTGAGGAAAATATCCATACATGTCGATTTTTTTTTTTTTTTGAAAAATATATTTGTATGTATATTAATTGAGATTAAATTTTTTTCATAGAATTTTAAAAATATATTTTTACATTGATTTGATATATTCATATGAATTTATTAAAAAAATAATTGCAAACTCTGCAAATTGAACCTAAAAATTAAAATAAATAAATAAATCTTTTTAACTACTAAATAAATCCCTTTTAGTTAAATATTGATGATTTATTATAAAGTAGATATACAAATTAATATATATATATATATATATATAAAATTATGTTTTGCTTTCTTATAATCCATAAAGTTTTCAACTTGGATCACGAGCTTAAAAAATATTTGATCTCGAATTTCAAATTATTGAGGAATATTATCAGGTTTAATACCACTTATTTTTTTCATTTTAGCTTTTATCATTGATTTGATACAATATTTATTTAATCTCAAAATACGACGAATATGTGATATAAAACATTATTCATCGATAAAGTATTTATTTTCTTATTTTAAATCAAAAGCAATTTTTTTAGTCATGAATAAAAGCAAAACTTTATTTTAGCAGCTCAAACTCGTGCACAATTTTTTTTATTCCTTCTATTGTTAGTAGCACACAAAAGGAATATAATTAAATAATAAAAATTAACTTAATAAATAAATAAATTTATTATAAATTAAAATAAATAAAGAATTAGAACATTTTTCCTTGATCATTAAAAAAATTAATGATTAAAATAACATTATCATGTTTTGCAATATAAAAGTAAGCGAACCACCAAAATAGTTTTACCATAATTTTTAGGTGATTGACTCGAGGCACAACCAGATTGCTTTCTGAGATGATACGCGCCATCGGTGGAATTTATTTGATGCAACGGATAAAAATTATATTGCACACTATTTCGGGGATACAACAAGCTCAGCCACCTTATCGTGTCTTAACAAATTTGCACTACTTTGAAGATTTGAAACTCTAAATAAAATTTAGTACCTCTTTTATCTAAATAAAATAAAATAAATAAATATTATATGGCTTTTTATAGTAAGAGATTAAAGAACAAAAAAAAAATGAAGAATTATTTTTCTTCACTAGAAAATACTACTGCACTTTTTCTCTTTAATAAGCAAGAATATAAAAATGTTGTGCACTTTTTTCCTCTCAAATTATATGAAGAAAAGTCTTGTATATGTAATGTGTATATTACCCGTTGGACAATTGATTGAATAAAAGCTGAAAACGGTAAGAAAAGGACAAACGTTCCAAATAAATGTCAAGAAGCCGTTTGCAATTGAATACGTAACAGCCCTTTTGAAATGAAACTTTCAATAGTTTCAAAAAGCTAAGTAATAATTAATTAACATGTGCTTTAATTATTTTTTATTAACACTTAATATAGTTTTTAATATTGATTAAAAAATATTTCAACGATCCCTCACTTATTTTTTAATAAAATATAAGTCATATTTTTTTGTAAGTAAACGACCATAATACATAATAAGGGTGTTAATGACTTAAACCTTTACTTCGTATTTCAACAACATTTCTCTCAAGCAAATAATAAACATTGTCTTGAACTAAGGTTTTTTAAGTGAAACAAATATTGTATTACACATATTATATTCAAGTACTCGCAACGAGTTTCGAGCCGACAGATTAACAGTCTTATGCTTGATCCCGGCTTCATAAGTGTTCGGAGAATTAGCCCGATTCTCATAGGAAGCGGTTCTACTTCTTCGCTCATATAGATGTGTCTATCAAGCATGCTCTTATAATTTTAACATCTCATTCAAAAAAAAAACTATACACCACATTAAAAGTTTCATTTAAAGAAACTTAAACTCTTTTTCGTTATGGGATTCATGCACAACATTATAGGGACGGACATATGAGTATTATAACTCGAAGAAATTGTGCATGTAATCGGACTACTCCTCGCTCGTTCTTCTTCTTGAACCTAGTTATTGGGATCTCCAGTCTTTAAGTAGAGTATCCACATAGGTGATTTTATTTATTTATGGGCTTAGTCTAATCCCCCTCATTGTATCATCTAATCCTTTGACTTTAGCTAAAGATTTACTCCCATAATATTCAATATACACTCAAAGGATTAGGTAACTAGCACTTAATTAATTTATCGATGCTAAGACAAGTGATAGGAATTTTCATCCTCATTATTTTTTTTTCTTTAGATGAAGCATAACATCCACTTGTTTTTGTCATTGGCATTGGCTTTTTAGCCAATTTAAGTTTCACCACGCACACACTAGCCAATGATAATCATACTTTTATTTATTTCTTGCATCATCATCATCACGTTAAAGCATGATGACATCATTGTATTGTTTTTTTTAATACAATGAAAAACATTTAACCTAATCACATTGAGGTGAATAAGTACATTTTCTAATCTCTAGTTTCTCATATAAATTTGACATCATTGTATCCCATCTATGCAATAAGAATGTCAATATTTAGCTAGGGATTTAAATTTCTCAAAATATTATCAATTGTCTTGTTAGACAATATCATTATAACACCATGGTATCTTAATTATACAATAGGAGTGTCTTTAATTTCACTTATTGGATAATATCATCAAAACACCATTGTACCTTAATTATATAATAGGAGTGTCTTTGATTCCATCAATTCTCTCGGTGAAATGCTTTTATAAATATTTCAAAAGTATCATTATACCTTTTGTATAATAGGAATACTTTTATAAATATCTCAAATAGCATCACATTAAAAATTTACATGTGGCGAAAAATTCAAACATCATGAGAAAAATTATGATAATTTATCATCATAAGAGAATTATGATAATTTATCTTGAATTACATAATAATTTTCTCAAACAATATTTTAATGCAATATCATTTTTTTATGCCCTCGTTATTCACATAATAAATAATTTTCTTGCTACCACTATAGACAAAATGATGACATGCATTGTTCTATTATTTCATCATTAGCACTTATAATTTATTATTGTGAATAAATAATCAACAAGATATATTTTTTTTAAATAAGATAACATATCAAATTTTATTTTTTTCATAGAAAATATTACACGATAAGCTCTTTTATTAGGTCATGTACCTTACCAATTTATCTTACTAATAATCTACTAATAAGATTATGAGTTTCACAGATTGTTCATAATGCTATAATCAAGTAAGGGTGTCAAATAATTTCAACACGAGTCACGTGAAAATAACTGACATTCAAACCACAATTGATTTTAATTATATCAATACATGGTATTTCAAGTCTCAATAAAACAATCATGTGAATCATCATTAATTCAATATTAATACATGACATTTCAAGTCTCAATAAACCAAACATGTGAACCATCATTAATTCAATATTAATAATAAAAATTTATATGATAATTCATATTTTCCCTCCGTTTTGTTTTTTGAATCATGACTTATAGATTAAATAACTCAAGTATGGACCAATAAATATTCATACAAGAGTCTAAAATTACTTGCAAATATAAGTATCACATGCATTCATCACCAAACGTGATCAATCTCAAATATATGAGATAATAAATAAATAAAAATTAACAATTTAACATTTAGAATACTTACTTGACTTTTTATACTTATTGTATAGTAAGTACTATTGGAGATTTGAAATACTTTTTATTGATAAAGCTTCCATGGACTTCAATGCCAAATAAATTTGATTTCCTTGACTTTGCATATAAAGATATTGGATATGCAATCTTTATTGGGTTCTCATTTATCTCGGTCACATAACATCACAACACAACAAGTAATTTTAATGTCAATTATCATTGAACGATATAAATCAATTTGTAAATCATTTAAATTTGTACCAATAATAAAATGCACATAAATAAATTAATCGCATGGCTAATGTCACAAATATTAATTTTCAACACTATCTATGTTCTTGACCTTGCATAATAATATTTGATAGAAAACCGTAAGTTACAAAATACATTACGGATCAATATGTTTGTCATGCAATTTATTTCATAAATATTCACATAAAATATATTAGCAAAAAATAATATATATTTTTTCATGCAACACGACCTTGATATCTCGGTAGCTATATGTTAATGATAATTTCATTGTTATTATTTTTTTCAAGAACAACACAATCACACGAACATAGGACTAACATAGAAATAAGTTTATTGTCTCTAGGGCTCAATAAAATAAAGAATTAACAATATATGTATATTATCAAATATAAAGGATCATCATTTCACCCATAACAATATATGGTCTCGGAGGTAAGAGTAAAATAAGACAATAAATGAAATGACTTTTTTTTTCACATGGCTAATTAGCATCTATAAATTTATTTTCAATTAATAAAATTTGCTAGATGTATACAACCAAATAAGATATCAGCAAAATAATATTTTTTTTCGATACTTGCTTTATTTTCCATTAAGTAACAAGAATCATCAAACACCAATCAAAACTCACAATAGACAAGTAATGACATAGACATTATAAAAAAATATATATTAAAAATTTTCATGCCCAAATTCATTTCACAATTTTAATCATTAAATTACAATATGAAATTGTCTTAGATTGTTATTCCAAGCACACAAAAGGAACATAATTAAATAATAAAAATTGACCTAATAAATAAATAAATTTATTGAAAATTAAAATCAATAAAGAATTGGAGCCTTTTACCTTGATCATTAGAAAAATTAATGATTAAAATCACATTACCATGTTTTGCGGTATAAAGGTGAGCAAACCACCAAAATAGTTTTACTATAATTTTTAGGTGATCGACTCGAGGCACAACTAGATTACTTTCTTGAGACGATACGCGCCATCTCGCAGAATTTATTTGATGCAACGGATAAAAATTATATTTCACGCCATCTCGGAGATACAACAAGCTCAGCTACCTTGTCGTGTCTTAACAAATTTGCACTACTTGTAAGACTTTAAACTCTAAATAAAATTTAATACCTCTTTTATCCAAAAAATAAAATAAATAAATTTTATATGGCTTTTTATAATAAGAGATTAAAGAACACAAAAAAAAAAAGAATTATTTTTCTTCACTAGAAAATACTACCGCACTTTTTAATAAGCAAGAATATAAAACTTTTTAGGTGATTGACTCGAGACACAACCAGGTTGCTTTCTTGAAACGATACGTGTCATCTGCAGAATTTATTTGATGCAACGGATAAAAATTATATTTCACATCATCTCGGGGATACAACAAGTTCAACCACCTTGTCGTGTCTTAACAAATTTGTACTACTTGTAAGACTTGACTCTAAATAAAATTTAATACCTCTTTTACGTAAAAAAATAAAATAAATAAGTATTATATGGCTTTTTATAGTAGGAGATTAAAGAACACAAAAAAGAAAAGAAAAAATGATGAATTATTTTTCTTCACTAGAAAATACTACTGCATTTTTTCTCTTTAATAAGCAAGAATATAAAAATGTTGTGCACTTTTTTCCTCTCAAATTATATGAAGAAAAGTCTTGTATATATAATGTGTATATTACCCGTTGGACAATTAATTGAATAAAAGCTGAAAACGATAAGAAAAGGACAAACGTTCCAAATAAATGTCAAGAAGCCGTTTGTAATTAATACGTAACAGCCCTTTTGAAATGAAACTTTCAACAGTTTCAAAAAGCTAAGCAATAATCAATTAACATGTGCTTTAATTATTTTTTATTAACACTTAATATAGTTTTTAATGTTTTATTAAAAAATATATCAACACTTGCTATTTGACGGTAAGAGTTATTTTTTAATTGATTGGATAAATATTATCGTGTTTTATATTGGTGTGTTATATTTAAAAGAATAATATTCTCTTCAATACTACTACTAAAATTTGAATTCAACAAGTAGAAGAGATGGATGAAATTTCTCCCGGAATTAAACATATCTCCGATGTTTTCATGCATGATTCATAACGAGTAAATAAATAAATAAATAAATTATATTGTGCTTTCTCTTTCAATTTTTTTCTTGAGACGAAATATGTTATATTTAATAGTTTATTTATTTATTTTTGGTACACGTGACAACAAAAAGCGACTTGTCAAACTGTTCGGTGTATATGTGGGATAGGAAAAGATGATTTTACCATGTTTCATGAAAAAGATTTTTGTTCTACTACCTCCTATAATAAGCTTGTGTTGTCCTGTGAGACAAAACTTACACAGGCATTCTTCCCAAACCACCACTCTCATTTCCTTAAAATCGAAAATATCATTCACTCGTTTTGGTGTTGGATTATTTTATTGTATTTTTATTTATGAAAATAAATAAATTAATAAAAAATTAATCATTTTTTAAAATAAAATTATTTATTTTCTTATAAAATAATTGATTAATTATTTATAAGACTTATAAAATAATTTAATAAAATTTATTTGATTTATAAAAAAATATAATATAAAATAATTTATTTTTCAACATAAATAAATTCAATAAAGAATCTAAAACAATTATTTTATATACCAAACAAATAAAAATAAATAAATAAAAGAATCTAAAATGATTAGTTTTATGACATTGATAATTATTTCTACTGATTACTTTTTTAACATAAATTAATTCAATAACGAATTTAAAATAATTATTTTATTTACCAAACAAATAAAAACTAAATAATAGAATCTAAAATGATTTATTTTTACCACATCAATAATTATTTTCACATTAAACTAATAAATTAGTTGTTTCTATGATTGGAGCACAGTTTACAAAGAATTATATTATCATTTTTGTATTTACATACATAAGAGCGAATAAGAATATTATTGCTCTTATGACATATTGTTATGTGGTATCTCATCCTTACCAAATGCAAATATTTGTCCGATCTATTCCAGCATGCATCAACAGTCGATAAGATGGCTATTTATTTTGTCATTTCATGTTATGCGTACCTAATATAATCCAGTCTCAACCCTTTAATAATACCAAACGTACTAAGAACACCTTCATTTATTTAGTTTCAAGAAAAACTTCAATTTAGTACCAAACCTATGTGCTAATTCTCAATTGCATTCAAAACTTATAAATATTATCAATTAAATCCCAAACGTTTCTTACATTGTATTTTATCGATTTCTTTTAATAATTTTTGTATAACATGCAAATTCTATGCACTAAAACGGTGTTGATTTAAATAAAATTTTACAGAAAAGTTATTAAATATTAACATTTTTTGTCCAATGTGTATATTTATCTACTAAAATGATATTAATTTAAAGAAAATTTGACAAAAATATTGATGAACATTAAATAAAATTAATTGAGAATTTTTTGGGTTTAATGGAAATTTTTGTCCTCAATTTATTGTAATTTGATAATTTCGGATCCATATTATCAAATTAAGTAATTTAAACCTTAAAGTATTAGAGACAAAGTAAAATCGATCCAATTTTCTTAATTAACATTAAATATAATTGATCGTTGTCGTTTTAATTTTTTTTTAACCGTTATTAAAATCAAGGGTAAGAAAGGAGAGAGAGATGGACGAGACAAATTAAATTTTTTTTATGCAAATAAAAGGAGAGAGAGAGAGAGTTACCTTGATTTTACATTTGTCTCTCTCTTTCTCCCTTTATGAAACTGTACTAAAAAAATATAGAGCTGTGGCAGAATTCATAATCTTACTGCAGGTTGCATACAACTACCGAGCCGCCCTCACCTAGAGTCCTATGATGATCATAGCATTCACCCATGCACATGCATACACTCAAGGTGATTTGCATGCTCTGTTCATATCGAATGAGTTCGAGGTCCTAAACTACGTTGGATTCCTGCCTTTGTCATATTCTGGATTAAATGCATATAGGTTCGTGTCGTAGGTTGCACAAAAGACTATATTTTTTCCACATCATGCTTAGCTTGCACAATACAACTGCAGTTTTAAGAGTGGTGGCTGAAATTTATAGGGTCTTAGCTATATTTGAAAGGACAACTAATAATCCTGATCGGAGTTCTTACTTCGGATACTATGTTCACTTTGGACTGCAATACTTATAGGACCTAGGGGCCAAACAATGCCCACACTTAGTGTATACGCTTACTTATCAATAGAATATGAAGGGAATCACTGAGAATGAAATATTATGTAGAATCAAGATAATAGTGCCAATTCTCTCTCTCTCAATTGCAGAATAAATTTTAATCTGGCTTCTCTCTCTTTTCCCGATCGTTGCCATGGGTTTGATTAGGGATATAAAGTAGGCGATGCGTCGTTTACCTTATATCCCTAACCTTACACTTAATTTTAATAATTGTTTTAAAAAAATTAAATAGCAATAGTAATTGTCAACTATGTTGATGGTTACATTTAATGTCATTTAAAAAAATTGAATCAATTTTTCCTAATCTATAATATTTTGAGATTTAAATTACGCGATTTGATACTATGGATCCAAAATTGTCAAATTACAATAGATTAAGGATAAAAATTACTTTTAAACTAAATTTTTTGAATGTACAAGACCTAATTTGAGTGGGATTAAAATTATGTTTACCATAGTTGATCGTTACATTTAACATCAATGAAAAAAATTGAATCAATTTTATCCAATCTCTAATATTTTAAAATTTAAATTATACAATTTGATGCTATATATCTAAAATTATCAAATTATAATAGATTGAGGGTAAAAATTGCCTTTAAACCGAATTTTTTGCACGTGTGAGACCTAATTTGAGTGGGATACTTTTTTTATTTTTTTAATGCTTTTGCATGTTGTTTTCCTCGACACATTTTGTTTTATCCATCTCTCTGAAAAAGGAAAAACGAAAAATCCAGGTAGGTACAGGTTACCCTTCTCCACTAGATTGAGTAATCAACGGCTTAAAGACGACAAATGGGCCCACAAAGCACTAATCGAACCGTCCATGACCTCAGAGAAAGTTGAAAATCAAGCGGGAACGAAGGCAGCCGGCACCGCTCTGTCCTTTCCGTTTTAACACTCAATCAGACAGAAAAAAGCTAACACTAAGTGGGCCCCTAAATTAGCTGGACGATAAAGCCAAGCTTGCCTAACTCCTTTTCAGTTTTTTCTCTCTCTTTCAGTTCCTAACATCTTCAACGATCTTTCATTTGTTTCCCCTTCAAAAGAAGAAAAAAACAACAACGATCTTTAATTTGTTTTGACTCTTCCTCATTAATCACTCAGAAAAAAAAAACTGTCTTCAAAGCTTCTTCAAATCTGGTGAGGTTATTATTATGTTAGATTTGCTTGACGAGCATTGCTTTTTCCTTACTCTTCTTTTCCTTTTGGATGGCAGAAAATCAGAGAAGAGAATGAGCAACAATGTCAAAGGAGAGTGACTCAGGATTCGAGGGTGCAGGAGTCAAACCGTATCCTTTATTTATTAGTTATTAATTAATGTGATTTTGCTTCTTCTTCTTCTTTTTTGTTTTTTTGAGTTCATTAATTGCTTCTTCTTCCTTATCGTCATCCTGTGTTTAGTGGCTTAGAAATCTGGTGCGTGGAGAACCAACTCCGGTTGGTTCCAGTCCCAAAATCTCTGCATGGCAAGTTTTATTCTGGAAATGCATATGTAATTTTGAATGTAAGTTGTTGCTTCTCCCATTTTACTGTTTGCATATAAATCCCATTTTTGTTAGAACCATAATTTTTCTCTGTGTTGATTTTTTCATATTTAGACAGATAATATTGAGCTTCATTACTTGTTTGTGTTGTGCCACAGACGGTTTTGCTAAAAAGCGGCCCGCCTCAGCACGACATTCATTACTGGCTGGGAAAAGATGCCAATGAGGTTTTTTTTCCCATTATCTTTCTTTCTTATCTTTAATTACTTACTTACTTACTATTTAGTCAACCTACATTGCTATGGGAACTACTATATTTTGATTTGCTAGCTTAGATCGCAAAGATAAAATGAAATACATGTGAACGAATGAGTACACCTAAGAAAGAGATCAACTGAGCCCAATATTTAACTTACCGAGTCAAAACATTTTGTTGACACAATTGATGACCTGCTATTTCTTTATACTTTAAAAAATGGAAAGACGAAATGGAGTATAGAGACGAGACTGAGCTTTCCCCGGATGCACCCTCAATTTATTGTTGTTACTTTTCAGTGACTTTTGGTCTAGTAGATTGATGAAAAATTGTTTAGTTGACTATGGGCCTCGTCCATCTCTGAATGTAACGTTCTGTAGACTGCAAAATTCTACATTTGACAGCTTGCATTAGTACAAGGTTTTCTAACTCTAAGGTTGCTTAATGGTATTTGCAGGTGGAATCAACCTTTGCATCAGACAAAGCACTTGAATTAGATTCAGCTCTAGGGTCCTGTACTGTTCAGTATAGGGAAGTTCAGGGGCAAGAAACAGAGAAATTCCTGTCATACTTTAAGCCGTGTGTCATACCCATTGAAGGGGTGTTTTCTTTAGAGTCTGGGCAGTTAAATGGTGAATCATACAAAAATAGCTTGTTAACATGCAAAGGAGAGCATGTTGTTTCTGTGAAAGAAGTAAGTTATGAACAACTTTTGTGGAAATTGAATTAGCTACCTATTACTTGAGAGATGCTGAAGATTTGTCACTCATTTATTGACAAAACCCTCGGCTATTTCAGATGCGCATATAGTAATATTTATCATTGCCGAATTCTTCTAGAGGGAGCCTGAAATTGCAACTTATGAAAGTGTAGCTAACATAATTTTAGGCAGCATTTGTTTACACACTTCATTCTTTGTTGGCAATGCATGCTTTAGGTTAATTTAGACCAACTTCTAAAAGCAGAATGATTGGATTTTGAGTTTTTATTTAAGATTTTATTCATTAATAAAAATGCACCTGCTTGCATATGTCCTAGTCCTGGTCAGATTTTGGTGAATATGGTTTTAAAGGTGTGTGTGCTGACCAGGTGCCTTTTTCTCGGTCATCCTTGAACCACAATGATGTATTCATACTTGACACTGCATCCAAAATTTTCCTCTTTAGTGGGTGCAATTCTAGCACACAAGAAAGGGCTAAAGCTTTGGAGGTTGTTCAGTATATCAAGGAGAACAAGCATGGCAGAAACTGTGAAGTGGCCACTGTAGGTCAGAATCTCTCTCTCTCTCTCTCTATAGAGAAAAAAAATTGTGATTAATTATTCTGGTGCTGCAGAGGATGGGAAACTTGTTGGCGATCCTGATGTTGGTGAATTCTGGAGTTTATTTGGTGGATATGCTCCCATTCCCAGGGACTCACCTTCTGGTGTTGAAAAACAGCCTGAGACTCCATTCTTGCAACTATTCTGGTGAGTTTTTTCTTCATCTATAGACGTTCTATGCTGCTTTGGACATGTGCTCACTTCTGCATATTGCCAAGTTTACGGATGCCATTCAAAAACTCGGTCAGTTTGCCTAGGATTAGAATTGGTAACATTTAACTATTGAACTGATCTTGTATATGGCCATCAAAAGGATACTATATTGTGTTACCTACAAATACAAGCAATTATGCTCTGCCCTTAACTTGCCTAAATTCATAGAAGATTCACTTTTTTGGATTCTGGATGTAGTTGTGTGTGCATGTCTGCCATTATGTGCCTGCATGCGTTGTGTGTGTTTTCTGTTTCCCTTAATTTTTCCTTCCATTTAAATAGCACCTCGTGCTTCTTTTTTCTGAAAATACTTAAGATTCCCTTATTAACAGGATAACGACACAGGGCGAGCTGTGCCCTGGTGAAAGTAGTTCGTTGAACAAAGAAATGCTGGAGACAAACAAGTGCTATATGCTTGACTGTGGTGCCGAGATTTTTGTATGGATGGGAAGAAATACCTCAATTGCAGAAAGGAAGAAATCAATTTCAGTTACTGAGGTCAGAAAATAACCTTTTCAAAATTTTGCGTTTCATGCTAGCTGTAGGGGTTCTTGCGAGTATTGCTCTTACCTTTTTTATCGGCTACTCATTTGCAGGATTTACTGAGAAATCAGGGAAGGTCAACGGCAACCCATTTAACTTTTCTAACTGAAGGATTAGAGACTTCCATATTTAGGTCATATTTTAAGAATTGGCCTCAAGTGGTGGAGCCAAAGTTATATGAAGAAGGTCGAGGAAAAGTAGCAGGTTTGTTACGTATGCAGCAAAATTATAGGAAAGATTAGAAAAGGTGATAGCAGAACTGGTGGTTTTACTAATTTAGTTTTAATGCTAATCATTTTTATTCACCATCTCTTTTCAGCAATGTTTAAGCAAATGGGTTATGATGTGAAGGAACTGCCTGATGAAGAAGATTGCCTGCCGTTTATAAATTGCCGAGGAAAACTAAAGGTAGTTTCTTAATAAAATGCCTTTTATTTTATTTTTTGAGATAAGCGTGTACTTTGAGATTTTTTACAACTGAGTGTGTCAGCATTTATCTATTTATTTTTTATTTTTTTCAAATGAATGTGTAGACTCTCAAAATTGTAACAATCAAGTGAATTTTGAAGATGTCGCAGGTATGACAAGAAAATTTGCTTAGGTGTCGTTTCAGTGCTGAGGTGGCATACATGATCTGGATTTAAGGGATGATGTGGCAGATGATTGATGACATGGTACTAATGCAAGGAAAGCACTCTTGGAGGGAAATTCCCCCTTATTAGCCAGGTTAGGTTAGCAAAAAAGGTTCAAAAAAAAAAAAAAAAGAGTTAGTTTCCCTCCAAAAGTGCATTCCTTGTTATTAGTGCCACATAATCAATCAATCATCCCTTATATCCAGATCATATATACCACCTCAGCACCGAAATGACAACTAAGCAAAATTTTCATGTCGTACCTGCCATATCTTCAAAAATTCACTTGATTGTTATCATTTTGAGAGTCCACACATCCACTTGAAAAAAATAAATATTGACACACATGATTGTAAAAACTCTCAAAGTAGACACTTAATATGTTATTAAGGGATGGTGTGGCAGATGATTGATGACATGGCACTAATGACAAGGAAAGCACTTTTGGAGGGAAATTCCCCCTTCAAGGTTTTTTAAAAATGGAGGTAAATTTCCCTTCAAAAGTGCTTTCCTTGTCATTAGTGACACACAATCATCCCTTGAATCCATGTCATACATGCCACCTTAGCACTAAAATGACATCTAAGCAAAATTTTCAAGTCATACCCGTCACATCTTCGAATTTCACTTGATTATTACCATTTTGAGAGTCCACACATCCATTTGATAAAAACAAATATTGACGCGCTTGATTGTAAAAATTCTCAAAGTACACACTTATTATGTTATTGTTTCCCTGTCGCTCTCTCTCAGTTTTGACAACAACCCAATATAATCCTGGTTTCCTGTTTGACGCAATGTTAATAATTCAGGTTTGGCGGATAAATGGAGAAGAGTTAATCCTTATTCCTGTTCCAGAGCAAACAAAATTCTTCAGTGGAGATTGCTATGTTGTTCAGTATACATATCCTGGCAATGGGAGGGATGAACATTTGTTTTATGCATGGCTTGGTCGTGACAGTGTACCGGTAAGCGTAGCAGATTATGGTAGACTTCAAAGATTGGGATCAACCATAATAATAAATATTTTGACTAGTATCTGTACACGTTACCAAAGCAGCTCAGACATGTGATAGTGGAACTTGGGGCAAGATTTAGCTGACAATTCTTTTGGTTCCTATAAGGTCATGTGTGATTTACTATATGTTTATGTATATTTTGGGAAAAATAAAAAATAAAAATGAAGAAGCTATTATAGTTTCTTCACTGGGAATTCTAAAAGTTATGACCATTGGGTTGTGAGGTCTTAAAGGTAGAGGGAAAAAATATGAGAGGAGAGGAATCAGTATTTTTGTTTTTCATTTGAAATTTTCTTTCTGCAAATTAATTTTTTTTAATAAAGGAAAAATGAAAACTGTAGGTGTCGTCGCAAATTATTTCTACTTAAGTTTACAAACAAACCATAGTTGCCTGGAAACGCAAAACCATTTGGTATTGGAATTTAAATGCTTGTTGTCCTTTGGAAACATTTAATGGTTTTCCTTCCTTTTTTTCACTTTCTAATTTAATGTCATAAAAGATGAAAAGGACGCCCTTAAAACTTATAATCTCAGTTTCTATCTGATGTGTTCACAACCCTTTCCTGCTTGCAGGAAGATAGAGCGGAAGTTATCTCCCATATGAATGCTATAGCAGACACAAGCAAAGGGGATCCAGTTTTGGTTTGTTCTTTTTCCTGACTTTTATGTGCAGTGTCTTGGAAATCTTCAATCAAGTTATTCGAGCAAATGATGTGCTACAGATTGAACTAATATTCTGAATTTAGGCTCAAGTTATTCAAGACAAGGAGCCACTTATATTTTTCTCAATTTTTCAGACAGTAATTATATTCAAGGTCTGTACTTAATGAACTTGTATGATCATTCTTTTTATTTTCTTTTATTGTCAATTGTATTTTGCCCGTCATTTCTCAAGTTAATGCACTGTTAAATGTGTGTAATGCTTTTTCTTTTTGTCTTTTTTTGTCATTTACTTTAGGGAGGTTTAAGTAAACGATACAAGGACTCGATAGCAGAGAAAGGAATTGTGGATGAAACTTATAACGAACAGAAGACTGCACTTTTTCGAGTCCAAGGGATCGGTCCAGAGAACATGCAAGCTATCCAAGTTGACCAAGTAAGTTAACATGGTGGAATGTACACAATTGTGTCACCCTTACTTTCTCTCACAGATCTCTTGCTGGATGTTCTTTTGCAAAAATCATTCTCCTTGTGATTGTAATGCTACAAATCACTGTGTAATGCAAATGTCAACTTTTGACACCAAACCATGTAATTGTCTCCATCCCACCAGTAATATTTTTAAAACAGATATGAACAGTCGTGTGCCTATATTGGTTATGCCCCTATCTGTTCAACACACTAAAATGATGTTCTGTTTTAATTCCTGGTTTTCTTTTTCACTTTGCTATTTATTTCACCTAGCCACCCATTACGTGGTCTGTAGGATGAAAGCAATGAACAGCAGAATACACCAAAACAGAGAATGTTTGTCTTTGCTTCTAAAATGCTGTTGTAATTTGATCGTTAATTGATCGTGAGCTGCAACTCATGCAGGTTTCAAATTCCCTGAACTCGTCATTTTGTTACATCTTGCAAACTGGAACATCCATCTTCACATGGATAGGGAATCTCTCTTCTACCGTAGACCATGCTCTTCTTGACAGAATGCTGGAATTGATTAATGTATGTACTCTGTTTGAGCCTTCACTAGGTGGCCACTTTTTAATGGTTATGTGCTTAGACTGTAGGTTTATTGACTCTACATTGCATTTGGCTTAGCTTTTAGGAGGGATAAGTGGGAAAATTGGGTGTTAGTTTCTAAAAGGTTTTAGATTTTACAGTAAAGTTCTTCGATTTCATGGTAAAATTTTAGCATTTATAATTAAACATTTTAGGATTTATCCCAAGGTTTAGTATGTTAAAGTAAAAGTTTGACGTTAAGTTAGGAGTAGCTTACAAGCCTTACATTTGAGCTAAAACATCATGTTGCACTTCAATACTTGCTTCTCTCCAAAACACCCATATTTCAAAAGAAGATTTTTTACAAAATTGCCTTCTGTCACTTGCTTTTCCATCAATTTAAAAACCAAATAGTGTAAGTCTTCTCTTTCTCTCTCTGATTGTCCCTCTGATGAGCGACTGAGCTCATAGTTATTTGAATTGAATTTTCTTCTTAACTTTCCAAAAGAGTAAAGAGTACTATATTTTATCGGGTCATTTGCAGCCAACATGGCAACCTATATCAGTGCGGGAAGGGAGTGAACCTGATATTTTTTGGAATGCACTTGGTGGAAAAACCGAGTATCCAAGGCAAAAGGAGATAAAGCAACATGTTGAAGATCCACATCTATTTACGTCTACATGCACTGATGGTATGCAAGATACACTTTCTTTTAAATTTCGTTCTCTCCAAAGATGATGTGCTCTGCCTTGGTTCTGAATTGTTACAGGTGTAAATTACTGTCAAAATTTATCTAATGATGGATTATGTCTCTTATGCTGATTGGTTGAATTTTGTTGCAGGCGATTTCAAGGTACAGTTAAATGTGGTTCCACAGGTCCATATGCAATTAGAAGGTGGTGGACCTTTATGGTACATTATATAAGCTTCGTATACAATGGTTTGAATGCCTGATTCAAGCATGAAGTCTGCCTTGTTGTTAGTAAATTCAAGTAGTTTCTAAATTCCTTCCACAAATTTTAAGTTCAAAGGCCAATAGCTGGGTCACTATTTTAGTAAATTTTGGCAATTATAAACAAGATGCAAACTGCTATAGCAAATTACTTTTGTATGGTACATTTAGAAAATGATTCTTATTTTTATCTGTCAATGCAAAAATTCTGTTAAGCATGTTCTCTATATTTTCAGGTGAAAGAGATATACAACTTTGCTCAAGATGATTTAACCACTGAAGATGTGTTAATACTCGACTGCCATGAGGAAATATATGTCTGGATTGGATGCCATTCAAACGTCAAATCAAAGCAACAAGCCATCTCGCTTGGCATGGTAATTTATTTGTTTTGATTTGTTTCAAGTTATTTTCTTGGATGCAAGTATCTTTGTTTAACAGTATGAGTAGCTCATTTTCTGAATCACTGTATGATATGAACCTTAACATTTCCACTCAACTATTCGAAAGATGTTCAAGGAAATCTGATGGTTCATAGGGCATATATTGTATTAAGGTTTCAGTTCTTGGTTAATGGTCTCATGTGTGATGGCATTCCATATGCCACTTAGTCCAATACATGACATTGATTCGAGTGCATTGATTAGCTAAGAATATACTTGAGGTTCTTTAGTTTTCACCTCTATCTGTATTTTTTCTCTCTCATAGTTTCACTTGGAACTGGCAGAAATTCCTTCAGACAGACCCGCTTGTTGAAGGACTATCTTCCGAGACTCCTATTTATGTCATCACAGAAGGGCGGGAGCCACCTTTCTTCACTCGTTTCTTTGAGTGGGATTCATCGAAGGCAAATGTAAGTGGATTGTATGCCACACCGAATATGGTATATTTTGCAGAATGGAGGCTGAATGTGTGGATAATTCCTTTTTGTCTAGCAAATGCTATTTTCCTAAAATTAAAGGTGCTGTGATGGGAAATATCGTAACTGGAAAATGGCAGGGGCAGAAACAGATTATCTTTTGCACATAAGGTGATGTGTTCGTGTATTGGGGAGTTGTGGGGATTTCATAGCCCATTGTCATAATTGCTGCCAATAAACGTTCTTCGTAAACAAAGAAACATATATTCCTAGTCTCCTTCTGGTCCCTTTTTAGATTACTTTATGACTAGACATGCTTACATTTTGAAATACATGGTGGAACTCTGTGGAAACTAGAAGATATCAATGACATTTCCTTATTATGTATTCAGTGCATAAGGAACTCTAGTCAATGATTTTGACTTGGTTATGGACCTTGTAGATGCATGGAAACTCCTTTGAACGAAAGCTTGCTATTCTGAAAGGAAAGAAGCAAAATCTTGAAGTAAGTGTGGTATCTTGCCTTTGCAATATTTGTCTTGTGCATTTGAATTTGTGATGTTCTTTTTCCCCCTTTAATGCTGTTGGGTGCATTTCCTGGCACTGAAAGCTCTAATAAAATTCTGAAGCAGCCAAAGAATGTCACTGGTCCAAATTTTCCTTAATCAGTAATGAGCATTGCTAAAAAAAAATTCAGTGGGATGCATAGCCTAAGCATTTCACTGTGTATTGATATGGCATGCGTTTAACTGATTCTTGCTTCAGGCTCAATCCGGCCATAGTGTTTTAGGCCATTGTAATTTCATTTCATCTCATGTGGCTATTATTAGCTTGAGGGGATGAAGGCAAGGTAGATGATTTTGTGGAAAAAGAATACAAATTATAGGAGTCGACTCTTTCTGCCTTTTTAGGAGTTATTAACCTTGTATTTATTGTTATCAGGATTTTTTTGGCACATTGGGCTCTGGACTATGTTAGGCCTCTTTGATTGTAATATAAGGTTGACTTTATCCATGCTTAATTTTATTTTCTGTGCAGAGTCATATAAGAAACTCCTGGAAAGCATCCTCTATGGAGACTACTCCAAAAGGTTTGAGAAGCAAGTCTGTAAGTTCAAATGGGAAGAGAAGTAGCTCATCTCCAGTATCCAGTGCTTCAGTCTCGCACTTTAATTCTTTGACCAACTACCTAATCTCCACCCCAACTCCAGCAGCAAGGAAGCTCTTTCCTGGGTCTCCCTTTGCTGATGGTGCTGGTAATAAAGAATCATCTATTTTGTTAACATGGCATGCAGCGAACAAAATTTTATCTTTTTTACCGATTTTATGTAATGACAGTGAAACCTTGGCATACACAATTGTAGTTATGGCAACGTGGTATATGCCCTCTGATCAGATAATGGCTAGTTAAAAGCATATCAGATTGAATAGATTAAGCCACCAAAGCTTTATAACAGGAAGGAAATTGATATGATTAAACTACAAAGTTTTTATTTGACAGTATTTTGTGGATTTTGACCTGGTAATCCTGTTGCATGATCTGTTGGAAGAATAATGAACTAAAGTATGAATGAACCACTAAGAAGGATATGATCCTGCTGGAATCTGGATGCTGGCTTGTTACCCTTGAAAACTTGATGACAATTTTCTGATTGACATTTTCATTAAAAATTCATCATTGGTCATTTCAGGTTCTCCAAAAGCAGAGTTAGACTCTCCTTCTCAGACTCCAGATTTAGTTCAGGTTGATAGGAATAATGCTAGGGAAGACTCATTAATCTATCCCTATGAGCGATTGAAAGTGAATTCAAGTGATCCAGTAACAGGCATAAATGTGACTAAAAGAGAGGTATCCATTTTGTTTTCATCCAAACCTTCTCCATTTATCGTTTCAGCATGCCATTTGACAATAAAACTAGCTACTATAATTTTATTTGACTTGAGGAAATTTTTAGCTACATTCAGAACGCTGGGTGTAAAAGTTTTGAAGAATTTTGTTCAATGACAATACCATTTAAGATTTTGAGTGGCCTTTTATTTTAGTTTGATTCTGCTGTGTTTTGCCTTTGCCATTGCATTGCTGTGGTGGTATCTCTATCAATTTGAATGTCAGTTCTATTCAGCAGCTAATTGCAGTTTCCGATTTTAGGTATACCTATGCGAGGAAGAGTTTCAAGAGAAGTTTGGAATGCCAAAAAAAGCATTCTATGAGCTCCCAAAATGGAGACAGAACAAGCTGAAGATGTCTCTTCATCTTTTTTAAGGGAAATCAAAGCTTGATACGTGACTATCATTATCCTTCTATCTTAAACAAGGGAAAATTTTTCTTCTTGTTAACAGGTTTTGGGCATTGCTGGGGCCCAACTAGGGTTTGTTGAATATGTTATATTGTCTACAATCAATCTCCAGAGTATAATCATTATGGATGTAGAGATGCTGTAGAATAAAAAGATCCTTCGAGGTAGCTGGTCTAACTGATGTTTTCTTTCCTTGTAGTTGAAACCAATTTTTTAATCAGTTACTTGAATTGACTTCCTCCAGTAGAGCTAGCTAGCCATGGATGTGTCTTGTTCAACCCTTCTAATCGACGTGTCTTCCCATGAAATAATTATTAGTAATATATTCCTAATTTATGTAGATAAAATAAATCAAACTGTCAACTTCTTATGCTAATTGCCAAATGGTTGATGTAAATGCGCACCCGGCCAATAATTTATATGGATCTTAAGGGTTAAGACTGGTTGAAAAAGTCATGTGGGAATTATTGGTTTGACGAATTATAATTGTATATGACGGTTATGTTCTCTCTTTTGTTTGTAAATACTCTTTGCACATAAAGTTAGTAACTGTTTTCTGATGGATAATTGGATTCAGGCATGAGGACACTGGACAGGACTACTGATGCCTGTCTTGTAAGGAAGCAAAAGCAAAACAAAGATTCTCACAGGAAAAGCTGAAAATAATTTTCTTGTCACGAAAGAACGCGTAATAAACAGATGCTTAAGGGCTAAGCTCGATTATATCAGAAACTGCAATTCTTCCATTTCCATTGCTTTTACTCCAGCAAGCTTGATCATAACAAGAAGCAACCAAATTCTAAAATCATGATGGTCCCAACTACCCAACGACTTATAAATCAAACGTTCCGACCGTAGAAATAGTCCCGTGATTTGGAAACTCTTCTAGTAACTGGCCTCTCTACCACCCAAAAATGCTGTGATACTTGGTAGTATCTCAACCTACTATTTTCTATCCGTTTATTAAAATCCAAACCTGAAAAAAAAAATCAAATAAATAAATCTCCGTCAACTGTCTCCAGTCACATTAAAGAGGGGAAAACCCTACACTTAAAATCACATTTTGCTGATAACAATCAACACTTAAAATTCAAGTCAAGCGTATCGTTCTCTCTTTTCCAAGGCATATGCCGTATATATGCCCTCTGCTTCCACATTTATAAAATCACAACACTTCACCTTCCTGTATTAAACTCCTGTGGCCTGCTCCATTATTACACATGCACCCCTAAAAACACTTTCCTTTCCCAAAAAACTCCCTGGAATTTTACAGTTCCCCGTCGTCGGAAATGGCTTGTCGTCGGTTACCACTCACTTTTTTATTCTTTCTATATTTAGTAATTTCTTCTCAGTCCCTGGACTTTGAAAATTTACACAAAAAGCACAAATCCAAAATCAAAGGCCCCATCAAAACCCTAGTGGTTCTCGTCATGGAGAATCGCTCCTTTGACCATGTCCTCGGCTGGCTTAAGTCAACCCGACCGGACATCGATGGCTTAACTGGATCCGAATCCAATCGAATCTCTGTTTCCGACCCCAACTCCGACGAAATCGTCGTCTCCGATGACGCAGTCTTCATTGACTCGGACCCTGGCCACTCATTCCAAGCGATCCGAGAACAGATATTCGGGTCAAGCGAGAGCTCAGCTGACCCGGCTCCAATGAACGGGTTCGCGCAACAAGCAGCGAGCATGAGTGAAACCATGTCGAAAACCGTCATGAGCGGGTTCAGACCGAGTCGGGTACCTGTATACACCGAGTTAGCGAACGAGTTCGCCGTTTTTGATCGGTGGTTCGCATCGGTTCCCGCGTCAACTCAGCCGAACCGGTTCTATGTCCATTCGGCAACCTCACACGGTGCCATGAGTAACGTCCGCAAGGACCTCATCCATGGATTCCCTCAAAAAACGATTTTCGACTCACTTGACGAGAATGGCCTCAGTTTTGGAATTTATTACCAAAACATCCCTGCAACCCTTTTTTCAAGTCGTTGAGAAAATTAAAGCACGTGTTGAAGTTTCACAGTTACGGATTGAAGTTCAAATTGCACGCAAAGCTAGGGAAGTTACCTAATTATGTGGTCGTGGAGCAGAGGTATTTTGATGTGAATTTATTTCCAGCCAATGATGATCATCCATCACATGACGTGGCGAGAGGACAGAGGTTTGTGAAGGAGGTGTATGAGACCTTGAGGAGTAGTCCGCAGTGGAAAGAAATGGCCCTTTTGATTACTTATGATGAACACGGTGGATTTTATGATCACGTGCCTACACCCGTACGTGGGGTACCGAATCCGGATGGGATTTTTGGACCTGACCCGTATTATTTTCAGTTTGACCGGTTGGGTGTTCGGGTTCCTACTCTTCTGATCTCTCCTTGGATTGACAAGGGTACTGGTGAGTGTTTAAATTTTGATTGTTTTGATAGTGTTTATTTTGTTGCTGTTGGTGCTGGTCTGCTTGTTTAACGATCATGTTGTGTAGATTTTTTTTTTTTTTTTTGCGCACAAATAAACAGTAGGTAGTGTGAAGTGGATTGATCAGGAAATGAATTTGAATGTGTGGTGCATCGCAGTGATACATGAGCCAGTTGGGCCAAGATCAACTTCTCAATTCGAGCATTCTTCAATCCCTGCTACGGTGAAGAAGCTGTTTAACTTGAAATCGAATTTCTTGACAAGGAGGGATGCATGGGCTGGTAGTTTCGAGAATTACTTTAGCCTTCGTGACACTCCGCGTGATGATTGTCCAGGTTTGGCATCCATATCCTGATCACTAACGATTTTGTTTTTCTTTTGAACAACCAAGTTACGTTGTCTTGTAGTTTATGAAATGTTACTGAACTTTGTTGATTGCTTGAGGCTTCAAGTAGGATATGGTCCTGCACCCCTGTTTAATTGGGTAGTATTTATATTTGATTTGGTGCTATACCAGGCTGCTTTTGTTTGATTTAACTATAATTTCATCCTATGATGGGATTTCCCCTTTTGTCCCGAGATAGAGTTTATGGTACCCGCTGGTGTTCAAATTCGTCTGTAATATTTTCTAACAGAGAAGTTGAATCTGTGCAAATGTGAGAGCGCATACAGAGTCTTTAAATCTGTGCAAATGTGAGAGCACATACAGTCTTCTGCATATGATGTCCAGGGTGCTGATTTCGGTGGCAACATGCCAGACCTTTACTCATATTTTTCTGTCGTCTTTTTGCTAGCAGAAGAGCTGCACAACATAATTTGTTAAGAGTGTTGTTTTCTTCATCTTTTTAAGCACATCCTACTTATCTTTTTATGTCTATAGCCAAATGAAGATTGGAGAGGAAGATTTAAGCCTGTAGACTAGCTACTGCATTTAGATATAGATGCCATTCAAGAGTGAAGAGACCCTATCATCTGTTTCAGGCTATGCAGATGTTGTGTATGATATATATCTACACATCTCCACCATGGCATTTCATGAGTTGTTGGCTCATACAGAATCTCTTATGATCAAACATTATTTAGAAATCTTGGTATATAATCCTGCACCATATGATTCAGAATTAATCCTGAAATCTGTATACAGAAACCCTTCCCAAGGTGACAACATCATTGAGGCCATGGGGACCAAAAGAAGATTCAAGCCTCTCGGAGTTTCAGGTTGAGATGATCCAGCTTGCATCACAGCTCAATGGTGATTATGTACTGAAAGCTTACCCAGATATTGGCAAAAGCATGACAGTGGGTGAAGCCAACAGGTACGCGGAGGATGCAGTTAGGAGGTTCCTTGAAGCTGGCAGGGCTGCTCTAAGAGCTGGAGCAAATGAATCTGCTCTTGTTACAATGAGACCTTCCCTCACCAGCCGAATCCCAGTGGGGGGTCATGGTAACTACCAGAAAGCCTATTAATTCCCCTGAAATCCACCATTTCAGATATGGATTTAAGTACAAATATACAATTACTGTATAAATATTTACCACGTAATGGCAAAGAAGAGAGCCAGACTTGCGTTGTCTCAGATGTATTCTTTTGTGTCATTATCGTGAAGTAGATGGTCAATGGCTACTAAGTATTGTCCCTAGTTACATGTGCTAGTGGTGTTTGTAGTATCAGATGTATGTAATAGTTACTCCTTTTCTGTCTTACAGTTAATTCTTATTATCAGATTCTCAAGAATTGAAATTGTGTGTCGTGTCTTGTTCTTGAGAACACAGAAATGAGTGGCCTTGCAGCCATTTATAATGAGAGTTGCTGTTGAAAAAATCGCCTTTGGTTAGATAACTTTCTTATTAGTTAGCAAAATAACTTTAGTTTGAGTTACGGAAATTGAACGTAATAATATAATTAGACGTCTCTCTCACCTTAGGTCCCTTCATCATTCAACATCAGCATCCATATCGCTGAATCAAAAGTTAAAACGACCCAGTTTTAGGCCTATCCATTCTGTATACAAGCCTTTGAAGTAGAATGCTCAGCCAGTCAAAAACCCATTCTAAATGCCATCGGTCCTACAAAAAATAACAAGAAGGCCACAGGAGTAGCTACCATTCAACGTACAATCTATACGCAACAATAATTAATAAGAGTAGCAAACTACTAGCAGGCTTTATCTTCCATCTCCAGCTTGCACCAACCAATACTCTCTACCAAGTACCAAAATAACAATGGAGGTCTCATGGGAGCAAAGTGTTACAGACTCTATCAACACCATATACCTGCTCTTCTCAGCTTACTTGGTCTTTGTGATGCAACTTGGCTTTGCCATGCTATGTGCTGGCTCAGTCAGGGCCAAGAATGCCATGAACATCATGCTTACAAATGTTGTTGATGCTGTTGTTGGGAGCATCTCTTATTACCTCTTCGGCTTCGCTTTTGCATTTGGTGAAGGTGCCAATTCTAACCCTTTCATAGGTACAACCTTCTTTGCTCTCAAAGATATTCCCAATACCTCATATGACTATAGTTACTTTCTTTACCAATGGGCTTTTGCTATAGCAGTTGCTGGAATTACCAGTGGCTCAATAGCCGAAAGAACCCAATTCAGTGCCTATCTTGTTTTCTCATTTTTCCTTTCTGGATTTGTGTACCCAATTGTGGTTCATTGGGTTTGGTCATCAAATGGTTGGCTGTCTCCTAGTTCAAGTAAGCTGTTAGGCTCTGGTGCTATTGACTTTGCTGGCAGTGGTGTGGTTCATCTGGTGGGAGGGATTGCTGGACTTTGGGGCACTTTCATACAAGGCCCTCGAGTGGGTCGGTTTGATGCGTTTGGCAAACCCGTTCCAATGCGTGGGCACAATGCAACTCTTGTGGTGCTTGGAACATTCTTATTGTGGTTTGGCTGGTTTGGGTTTAATCCTGGCTCATTTGATAAGATTCTTGTGGCCTACCCTAACACAACCGATCAAGGTAACTGGACTGGTGTTGGCCGGACTGCAGTAACAACTACATTGGCAGGTTCGACAGCTGGAATCACAACCCTATTCGGCCGGCGATTACTAGTTGGCCATTGGGATGCATTAGATGTTTGCAATGGATTGCTTGGCGGTTTTGTTGCAATTACTTCAGGATGTTCTGTCGTGGAGCCATGGGCCGCAATTGTATGTGGGTTTTGTGCAGCTTGGGTCTTGATTGGGCTAAACATCTTGACCCTAAAGCTGCAATTTGATGACCCATTAGAAGCAACTCAACTGCACGGTGGGTGTGGTGCTTGGGGTTTGATTTTCACTGGATTATTTGCCAAAGAGGAGTTCGTGATCCAAGCTTATAATTCAGGCGAGGCAGGTGTGTCGAGACCCTATGGCCTTTTATTGGGTGGTGGATGGGGTCTGCTTGGATGCCAAGTGATTGAGATTTTGGTAATAGTAGGCTGGGTTAGCATAACAATGGGACCTGTTTTCTTTGCACTTGACAAGCTTAAGATGCTGAGGATATCAGTTGATGAAGAAGTAGCAGGCCTTGATATCTCTAGTCACGGGGGCTATGCCTATGCTGCGCATCCAGAAGAGAGCCATCCTCGCTTCTATGCAGATTATATGCGTATCCAAGATCAAAATCATTCATGATTCAATAGCATTTCTCCACTGCATCATTGGCACTTTGCTTAGGTTGCTTTTTTTATATATACATCTTTTTTCGTTTTTTGGTGAATTCAAGTGTTTCTGCTCATTGATTTTTTTTTTTTTTTTTTTCCATTTAACTTGTTGCTCCTTTAGGAGAGACAACATACTTATTCTTTTTGCTGTATATAGCTTTGTCGAAGCTTTCCCAAGCACCTGCCTGTTACCTGACAACAATCAATCAGCAGCCTGTATATGATCCCTCGGACTTGACGGCAGCAGTAAGAGCGACTGAATACAAAATGTAACAAATGATATAACTATAAATAACTTTTTTGCAAGAAAAATTTGGATCTAGAAAATATCAACGATGATAAATCAGTTTTAAAAATTAAGAAATTGATAAAATGAAATATAAAAGTTGCTTGGTGCCCAAAACTTTTTAACTTTTAGTTATTAATACCATTCGATTCCAGTCAAAAAGGCTTAGTATACAAAATATGGAGTAGCTATTTCAAGAGTAGAATGCTAAATATTAAGAAAATATGACCCAAAAAACAAAATACTTCAATAATACGCATGAACTGTTAGATCATATGATCTTATGAGTAGAATCCACTTGTAAGTACCACTAATCCAACTGTTCAGATGCATTTTTATTGTGTTTTCTTATCATATATTTTCTTGATATTTGGCATTTCTTGATGTCGTGAATCTCAATTTGTCTAAATTTAAGGCAGGCATGGTATCAACTGGTGTTGTTAATGGTAGTGGACATGCTTGGAAGACGGCCTCTTAGGGGACTTGAACCCTAGACCACAAAAGTGTGGCAATCGGACCAAACCCAGGATGGTTCCATACACCATAAAAGATTTTACAAAAATTCTGACTCCAGAGCTCTGAATTGATATAATTATTCATTCAACATTACACCTCGGAGTTACCAAAACTTGAAGCAGTTAAAGAATAATTTAAACAAAACCTTTGGGCAAGGCCACAAGTAAATCAACAAAATCATAAGATTACTGATTACAATTCGCTCCACCAAAATTTGTGTTACAGGATGATATTGATCTTAGCTAATACCTTACAAATTGTCTCTTTTCATCTCCATCACTCTGCCTTCCATACGGATTGCTCTCACTGAAACCATTTCTGGCTTCCTTTATTTGCTTTCTTCCTAAACTTGGAAGCATTGCTGTCCATATTCAGATTCACCTTTGGTGGAGAGGAAAAGCAAAATGAAGCAGCAACAGCCTACAAATATCCAATATTAGCAATTTCATTGCTTAAGAAAAATAGATATAATCATTCGCACATGTAATCGCCTTCAAGAATGCAAGCAACAAGAATAGTACCTGCAGATCGAGCCGGTGAACATTAAAGATGTCCTTCATAGAATGTGAATTATAAGCCAATATGTAAGATCTATATGCATCTTTTGCTGACTGATTCAAATAGTAGTTGTTGGCCACCAACTTCTCCTGACACAATCCAGGAGTTCTATTTAAGTTCCTTATAACTTTAGTTACTACTAGATGAAACATATAACAGCGAAGAAGTAGGAAAGTACCAGATGAGACTGAACATTTGCCAGCTTCTTCTGGTCAAACTCATACTCTTTTACAGGGACTTTTGCTGCCTAGAAGAGAGAGAATAAGTTAAAGAGTACACAAAGGCAATTACAAAAGCAACCTTTACTCCTTATAAAGCTTCTCTTTTTCAATCTGATAGCCAGCAGATTTCAAGTATTCTTGCTTTTCAAAATCTTAAATGTTGTGAATCCTACTGCATGGTGAATTATAACCAACTATTCATTGCACTAAGGTGGTGCCCTCTTGGTAAAATAAAATAAATGAAGATGTGTAAGATTAGCAGCCATGATGAATCTGCTATATACCTTCAAATAGCGCAAAAATTGCAGCTCTTCCGGAATCAGGAAAAGCAAGGCATTTCCTTTTGCACCTTCCCCTCGGGCTGTTCGACCAACCCTGTGAATGTATTCCTGAAAGCAGTAATTTCAGGGCAAATGTTACTGAACATGCATGAACAAGACCATTGAGATATTAACTGAAACATACTAGCCAAAAAGTGTGAGCACCTTGGGTTCATCAGGAGGATCAAACTGCACAATCCAGTCCTACAAGCAGAAAGGGAAAGATAAGGAATAAATATTAGCTGACTTAAAAAGGAAATACAGCTTCCATGGTCCCAAAATCCCCAAAACCCATGTCTGAGTTCAAACAAATCCAAATCTATACCATCTTTGATGGTTGACCACATTAATGACCACTCTTTCTTTTTCTAAAAAGATCATTTAATTCTAGTAATACGCACCAAAATATATTATTTCAAGCTAAACAGAATTCCACCTATACTCCCAGATGTTCACAAGTCAGTTTCAAAATTTCAGTGTCCTGAAATATACATATAGCACATGAAAGTCAGAATCCTAATTCTGACATCTTCCAACACATTTTTAAGCACAAATTCCAAGAAAGTAACACTGTCCACACTATTAAAGGTAATTTTGCAAATAAAATTTCAAATACACAAGTCAATTAATAAATCTCAATACCCATTCCCAAAAAAAAAAAAAGGAATTTCCAGAGGGCGTCTCAATACACAGAGGCCAGATAAATATTGAAGATGAAATATAATGACTAAAAATATTATTTCAATTGCCAGAGGGTGTCTTAAACACAACATATGCACACTTCTAAGGGCAAAGATACCAATAAAATGTGCTGAAATTATGACCTTGTCATAACAGTTGAAAGAAAGCCTTGGAGAACAAAAGAATTATACCACGTTAGCAAGCCCTAGGTCACTTGGAGAAAGAAACATACCACAGCAGGAATATCAAGTCCACGGGCAGCAACATCAGTACAAAGCAAAATGCCCTTCTCTGCTTTGCAGAAATCAAAAAAGGTAGAAGTTCTTTTCTGTTGCTTTTGTTTTCCATGGATATCGAAGCATTCCACATGGATGTATCTAAGAAGGTCAGAATGGAACTTGACCGAGTTACAAGAAGAGAAGAAGACCATCACTTTCTTTGACAAATTTCTCTTCAAAAAGGAGTACAAAAGAATAAATCTCTTGGCACTTGGCACTACACAATAGCCTTGCTGCAGACCTTCATTCGTGACCTACAATACCCAACATCTTGTTAGGTTTAAAGGCAGAAAGCTTGTGCTTGCATGCACATACGTTCATATGTATGAAAACATTTAGAGGTTTAGAAGCAACAGCATATCCACCTTCATTCTGCCATCATCAACATCAATATAGACAGGAGCAGTCTGAAATGATAAGCGAGCAAGGTCTTCCACCTGAGATGGAAATCCAGCATCAGTTGGATCGACCAGAAAACAAAATACTGAATTTCATATATATATATATATATATTAAAAACAAACTGTAAGAAGGAAAAAAAGAAGAAAGTCTGAATTTGCTTTACATGCTTAATCATTGAAATTCTGATTAAAGAGAAAAAAATGGTTCAAATATCGAAAGGAAAAGCATGAGTAAATTAAACAAATGCCAAAATGTGATGCATTGTAAAACATACCTTTTTAGTCTGGGTAGCTGAAAATAGCGCGGTTTGCCTAACCTACACATTGATTAGTAAACCCATCAGCTAAAAACATGAAATATAGCCAAAAAGAATCTAATTGCCCTTGCAACCACAAAAAAAGGAGCATGGCTCAATGAAAGTGACCATATCACTGAATTTTATCATACATCAGCATTTGAACTCAAGTTTTTGCTAAAGACACACGATCAAGATTGCCAGTAAGCAATGAAAACAACAAGACATTAATGAGACATATTTAATGCAATGATATCAAATACTAAACAAGCAGCTGATCAACTTCAAATTGCTGCCATTAATATTGTATGGAAAACACAGGTTGGATCGGCATAGTTAACACATTGTTTCCGAAAGTAGATTGTATCTAAAGAATGCAGATTTTGCTGGTTTTACTTAACTTTCACAGATGCCTTTGCATTACGAACATATCGTTTTTACTTCTAAATCAAAAATCATATACAATTATATAATTTACCTTTGGTAGAAGCTTGATAATTTGCTTCATTTCTTCATCAAAGTTTGCCTCCAATATCCTGTCTGCTTCATCAATCACGAGGCACTACAAGTTCCAAAGTTCATTTAAGAATTAGGTCATACTTCTGTTCATCAAACAACTAATTTTAGCTACAGGGAGGAACATATGGATTTCTACGAGTCTCATACTGCATTTACTAGACATTATAACTAATATGGTTATATGCTATTCAATCAATGGTATTCGTTTGAAAATAAAACGAGAAAATCATCTTGTATAACAAGTTTAAAGCTTTATAGAAGTTACCTTTAGGTTTTTATAGATAAATCCCTTTGTGTTTTGAAGATGATCAAGAAGTCGACCAGGGGTTGCCACCAGTAAATTTACCCCTTTAGCAATGCGTTCTGCTTCTCCTCGTCTTGCTGCACCACCAATAACCAAGCCAAGAGTCTGGGAGTGATATTTGAGAAGGTCTTTTGCCACAGCATGGGTCTGAGAATTAATTGTTGAATTAGTCAAAGGAAAACAAAAGCGAACCATCCAGAGGAACAAAATCTTCTCTTTTCCAAGGTTATTTTTCCCCTCCTTTCAATCTGTAGCAAGTTGATACCAAATCATAGCATGCTACCAATATATAGTCGCATCACTTTCCTCTAAAGCTAAAATAGCAAATTCAAATTGCAAAAGCCATCAAAGCGAAGTCCATCAGCTAAGTGATGCATTCTGCCAACTAGTTTACAATTCAAATATAAAATGATAACTTATAATTTGCACATAGTAAGAAGCATGGGTATGTCGCTGCAAAGTACAGGAATCGATCACACATTACCATGCCAGGACCATATCAATCGTTTAGCATCCAACTTCCAGAATATCGAAGAAGCATCAACTCCACCATTAAAATTAGAGTTTATTAACATGCATGAATTATTCATAATGTGTACAAGGGAAAAAGGTCAATTCACACGAAGAAAACTACACCAATAGATTCCATTTTTCTTGGCATACTCTCATAATGACAATGAGGGAAAAGAGGCAACAACTGCCAGTCCATAAATAATCCTCCTGCTGGTTTACAGATAAATTCTACAGTTCTCCTAATTCTCAATGAAGCTGGGTTTGACTAATACCATCTGAAAGGGGATAAAATGCAACTTCACAGGGAAACATCTGCAGTACGAGGATTATATGGAATTCCTTACCTGTATAGCAAGTTCTCTTGTCGGGCAAATAACAACAACGCCCAATCCATTGCGAGGTGCGAAATGAACATTATATAATAACTCTACAGCTGGTATTAGAAATGCAAGAGTTTTCCCAGAACCTGTCCTTGCAGCACCAAGAACATCTTTTCCTACTAGAAGCGGCGGGATTGCCCTGGCTTGAATCTGTATTGGCAATGATATATCAGATATAACAAAAAAAAATGCATAAATGAAACAAATATGTAGGATGTCCAACATTGTGCAGAAATTACAGTGGACAGTATATTCTTTTTCTAGGCAAAGCTACAGAAACGTTTTTTAGACAGAAGTCCCAAATAGACATAAATATTGCAAAAGCTGGCAAAAAACTCATTAAGAATCTCGAAAGCTTGAAGTTATAATAAAACTATTGCACAGGACATTAGTAGAGGCAAAACATGTTCCTTAGCAAACTACAAAAAGAAAACATATACCTGAGTCAAATACTCAAATCCCATCTCTTGAATAGCCTTACGAGTGGGTTCAGATAATCCCAATGAGTCAAAAGACTCTGTACTCATAATTCCACCTCCACTTTTCACCTTCTTCACCGTCTCTTTCTCTTTCTCTTTCTCTTCCTCTTCCTCTTCCACTTCCTCTTCTTCTTCAATCATCTCTTCACTTTCCTTCTTACTCTTCTTATTTTTCTTCTTCTTCTCTTTCACCTCCTCAACTTCCCTGTCCTCCTCCTCTTCCTCTCCTCCTTCGGTTTCATTGGAATTTTTCTCTTCTGCTTCCTTTTCTTCTTTTTTATTTCTGTTTCTCTTACGCTTTCTCTTCTTCTTCATATCTTCTTCTTCTGCTGACCGGTTCTGCTTTTGTTCTGCCATGGCGGCCACTGATTTCTGATTCTAGCTAGCTAGGGTTTTGTTGAGAGGAATTGCGACGACGAGTGCCCCTGGGGTTTTTGTTTTTTCGTATGTCAAACCCTTAAACCCCTTAAATATGAGTCCAATAGGGCCCGATAAGAGAGAGAGAGATGAGAATAGACTGGACTCCTGGGATCATAAGTTTCAGTTTTGATTTGGGCTATGCTAACCACTGGTTTTGAGGGTCCATTTTCCCCGTTAAACACTTATGTTTGATACCGGGTGAAGAGGGCGAAAAGTTACACTTATAACATTTCACCCTCTTTACTTATGTTTGGAATGATCGTGGGAGGAGAAGTTTACAGCAGATTAGGTTTTTTCTTTTTCCCCCAAAGCTTTTCTATTTTATTTTTCATTTTATTTATAATTTCTATTTCGATAATTCCTTTCCAGCTACCTCCTGGTACAAAGCACGAACAAACATCTGAGCTAAGCCCATCATGTTCAATAAGAACATATGAATTATGCTTTAGTATATTTTAAATATTGTCAATTGGGGATTGTATATGGTTTAGATTTTTCCACCGACTACTGCTCAAGAAAAAAGCCATCCACCAACTAATTGTTGGATAAAGAATGTTCATCTTTGAATAGTATTATTTGTCCACCCATGTCCATGACATAGTATAAATATGAATCATTGAAGATAAACACTAATTATTGAGATTTCGTATTATTCTTCAAAGATGATGAGATCAATATAAGAAATTGTTTTGTATTGGTTAATAAAAATATTTTTAAACCAATTTATTTGTCAAATGAAACCTTTTTTTTTTTTTAAAGGATCGCATTTTTATATTTATTTAATACATTTAAATATAAAACATTTAGAGAAACTTAATAATTTTTTAAAATATTAATTTCAAATTTTAAACTTAAGAAGTCAAAAAAAAAAAAAACGTTTTTAATAACTAGATCAGCATACACTCAATTGATTCAATATCAATAAAACTAGAAAAAAATAATGGAGAGTAAAATCGAGTATATACATTAAAATTAATAAAACAAATTATTGCATAACCGATCTTATAGTCTCAAAGCGGTATAGTTTATTTATCACATTGGTGCTTTTGTATGGATAGATAATAGCGAGCTAGATTTACTGGATACTTTGTTTCGTTTTCTTCAAAAAATAACAATAGAGGCATGAGAAATTTTAAGACTTCTACGATCGGAATGTTGTTTTTGTTTTTCTGAAATGATCAAATCATTGAAGTTGTCCAACAAAGTGTAACTTTTAGATATTTTTTAATGTTTGTCTTATTGTAGACTTGTTCTTTAGTGAGCTCTCTGCTTCATGATGAACACTCCTCGTTGTAGCTACACAGCGGGCCACGATCATTGAGAGAAAGTGGCATGGCCAACAACATTACTAGAAGGGTTTTTTTTTTTTTAACGAAGCTAATTAGCCGTTGTCTTTTTTTAAAAAAAATTACTATATTTATTCAAAGAACATAGGCATATAGCTATAAGATTAATATGTTAATTAGTTGATTAGTCTTTGTCCATGACATAAATTGCCCGACATAAATATTAATCATATGGTTTCATATTTTGAAAATTTCGTAAGATTGAAGTCAATTACAACTTTTTGGCTGCATGCCATTAAATAATCATCCATTGATCACTTATTCAATAGCAATAGCATAGTCGAACTATGTCATCTTTTTATTGCATAGAAGGTCCTTTGCATCGTTGCACCAAATGATATATCGTATTTCTCTTTGTTTTCACTTTTCACATACTTTTCGAGGCTACAAATTTTCTTCTTTCACCTTTATAAAATTAATTACATGGAAAAGTGAACACTAACAAATCCAAAACGAAAGACAAGCAAATTATAACGAGTACTATGGAGAGAAACACAATAAATAGATAAGAATTTTCAGCAAACAAGGGCACCAATAAGGTGACAATCAGTCCATTGGATAGGGAAAAAAAGAGAGAAAATGGGTGCAGCATAGTTGAATTTGCTGACAAGCTTCATTAGTAAGAAAAATTGGGGGCAACTAAACGGTGGAAAAGAGGTTGCTTAGATTAATAATGATCAACATAGCTCTCTAACTAAAACAAGCAAGAGTTTTATCAAAATGGATCCTTTTTTTAAATCAATTATGTCGGAGATGGTTGCAGATAATAGTGATGGGATTAATTCTGTACAAACCAAATCTTTAGGACACAATTAAAAATGTCGAAATTCATTGTTCATGTTTTAAGTTTACCACAATCAGAATTCTCACAATAATTAGGTAGTAATTATCTCCATCATTGAACCAAATCAACACGGCCAATAGATATTTATATTGCATTCAAATACTTTTTAGGATGATGCTACATGAACTATACTGTAACTTTTTTTTCCCCTTAACAAGCCAATATGTATGCGTGGTTAGTTGTTGGTGCTAGAAGAGAAGGAGAACTGGATGAATTGAATTGTAAATGGAAATAAAATGTTTAGTTTAAGTTGAACAAAGTTTTTCCAATCCTACCATTTGGAAGAAAGGTATTCACTTCACATACGTTCATCTTTGAACATAATTATTGCAACGCCTGTTGCTGTGTAAGATGGCAAACAAATAAGAGCAGCATTAGCAAAGCATTGGCTATATTTTAGAATATGACTAATGATATACTTCCAGGATGGCAATCATGACATGTGATTAAACTATTAACAATACAAGTGCTAGTTGTGCGTTTTCTAAGTTCGAATAATCTTAATTTCCTTAACATTTTGATATAAAAATGCCATTTCCCGATTTATAGAGTGAATTACTAATTAATCATTCTAGTTTATAGTGAATTTATTTTTCTATCATCTTTCTCTTTAATTCTACTATTGTTATCATTTCTTTTACAACATTTTTGAGTTTTGTTTTATTTAAAAAATTTAAAAAGAAATATGAAAAGAAAAAAAGAATTAATTAAGGTATAAATAAATTTAAGAACACATGCACTAATTAATTAGTTTTTGAAAATAGAAAGATTATTTAATTCATTTTTCAAAATGAAGGTACTAATGTATAATTTACTCTTCACAAATTTGCCTCCCTTACCTTAAATTAAATGCAATAATGGGTATCTTCACACCAAAGACTTACTATTAGGTAGAGAACAGAATAATTGTTTGACAATGTTTCCAATTATACGTGTAGAAGTATCTAACTGAGGAAAGTTATCTCAACGAGGGTTCCAATTGATAAAATAGGTAGTTAGGACACTCAATTGAGAAATCATACATAGTTGGGATACTTATCTAAGGTTTTCTCAAAGTAATCTAGGGGTACCATTAATAAGATATTTAAATAAATAAATTTCGAAAAGTAAAATATTTCAGTCAAATCTAAACTTTCAAGTGGATATCAAGAGCCGTTGAATAGAAAAACAAAGACATTTATGTCTATTACTTTATTCAAGTTGATCATATTTCTACCTATATAAAGATCAAGACATTGTTTTATATTTTAAGCTAAAAAACACATATAACATTACATATCTTCTACTTGGAGATAAATACAATTAAAAATATTCGTGTCAAACGTTTCTCTTCATATGATAGTTTAGTCATCAAAGTATCATCTAAACATAAGAGAACTTATTTCTATTGATTTAAAATAAAACTAGTTACATCAACCAGTAGATCACTTGAATCACAAGTGAATCTAACCATCAATTTTAATTCAAGAATCATGAACTCATCAACTAACAAACCAGTGAAAGAATTGAATATCCAGCCAAGGCAATCCCTTTCCACCGTGTAAAAAAATAAAAATGAAATAGCCTCGACCTTTTAGAATCTTGATTGCAAAAAATGCATGTTTCGTTCTGCACTAGACACAGTGGAACAAAATAGATATCTGAAAAGAAACATAATCGCAGCGTGTGGAAAACAAAGCTTTCTATCTTATTAATGGCATTGAGTATAGTAAACAGTGCCCTGAATCATACAGGGGCATTAACTCTAAGGAATATGCTTGCCCTACTATATACATACATCTACCGACCAGGTGCATATTCGAGTAGCTATCCTTGAGCATCGGGCTTCAGAGCCGAAGCTCGATAGATCGTGAAGAGAGCTTTGCCTGACAGAAAAGACATTTGTATGAGCAATACAAGAAATCAAAATAGCATGCAGCTATGCATGGCGTCCCCCATAGCGTCTCTGCCTCTGCTGATAGGAAGTTAAGGCCTCTATAAACTCAGCTTTTCCAAAATCAGGCCAGAGTGCTTCTGCAAAGAAAAGTTCAGTGTAGGCCAACTGCCACAGTAAGAAATTGCTGATTCTAAGTTCTCCGCTGGTTCGTATCAATAAATCAGGGCATGGATACTCGGCACAATTTGTTTCCAACTCCTGTTCAAGTAGGCTTTCGCTGACGTCTTCAAGTTGAACAGTACCATCCTTTACCTTTTTAGCGATGCTTTTGCATGCCTGTACAACATCATATTTCCCACTATAGCTAACTGCCACGATAAGGTGGAGCCTGGAGTTGTCATTCGTCTTCTCCTCTGCGTCACTTATCAGTTTCTTTAGAGGCTGCGAGAGCCTGGAGGAGTCTCCAATTGAAGAGACACGAATACCCTGCCTGTGAGTAGCATAAGAAGCATCAAGACCGATAAAAGTGATGACAATAAATCAAACTAATGCTTAAGTTTTAATGCTTTTGGGTACTTTCAAATAGCCACAGTTTTATCGCATTCTACAGATTTTTCACTGGTTACCATGTGATCACATCTCTAACATTTTGATGTTCAAATTTATACATTAATTATTTTCCTACGCACAAATCAAGCAAACTTAGTCAATCAGAAAGACTCTAGGATTAGGTTGGCATTAAAGCATGCTGGTCTGATCATACAAAGGAAAGGAAGCATGTTTTTTTAGCAAAACATTCATCCAGGACTATCTTTAGATAGAAAGTCTAGATGGAAGTGATTTAGAAAAGGGATTTTCCCATGACTCAAAACTTGATGAAACTCTCGCACGCAAAAGCATTTGAAGAAACGGTTTCAGTCTATTAAATGATTGGACTTTTGGAAACCAACAAATTGGATAGGGATTTATCAATTAGATTTCTCATCAATAGCAATATCTTATTAATTTAGCAAGATAAAAATGATGCACAGGTTCATCATTTGATAATTTTACTGTAATTTTAGTCCTCTATTTTGGTCCCCAAGCAATAATCTCAACTTTCGTTTTTCTGGTCTGATGTTATAAAACTAAAGATTCTGATCGCCATTGCATACCAAAATCATTTGAGTTTCTACAACAACGCCCCATATAAGCAAAGAAAGAAAAGTACACACAAATATGAAGACACTGGATGAGTGGTAAGAGAATGAACTAACAGATAGACAGCTACCTCATAAAATTATCCAACTCAGACTTCAACATCCTTTCAAATAAACCCATCAAGAAATCAACCTCCTCCTGAGCTACATATCACATACTCCAATCACAATCGAAGTAAAGAAATATGAAAGCCAATTTAAGGTCTTTCACTTGAAGAGTTTGTGAACTCGTCACTACTACAAAACTTGCCAAAAGAAAGGCAAAGAGCGAGAAGGCTACTGACCTTAGGCCTAATCCAATTATCATAAGAAAAGGCAAAAACAGTGAGAACTCCAACCCCCCACTCACAACACAATTCCACAAGCTCCCTAAGTGACCGTGCACCAGCTTCATGCCCAGCGGATGCTCCTATAATCCCACGCTGCCTGGCCCACCTCGCATTGCCATCCATTATCACAGCCACATGTCGGGGCATTGCCTCCCTCTGTAGCCCCTCCGGCAAACGCACAACCGTCACTCCTTTATCTTCTTCCTCTTTGAGAGCCGGGTCATATTTGGCCGCGAGAGTTAAAGTAGGGAAACGGTGCGTTTGGTCTCTTTTGTTTCGAAAGAGAAAATGCTTATTATTGATGCTGTTGTAAATTGGGATTGGGAAGTTCAAGGATTGCATTATCCCGTTTAAATTGAGCAATGGTTAGCAGTATTTAACCAGCGGTTTGCTTTTGATGTTCTTTTGCCACTCGCCTGCTTGCTATGGAGTATTGGTTACATGACGACCGTCTGTTTTCTGGTAGCTATAATAAGTAGAAGGATTGCTTGTCCATTTCTCATCGTGTCCGAACTATTGTTAGCCGCTAGCTGTATGAATGGTGCCAACGTGAGATGGATTTCTCCCTTCTTGTCTTTTCTTCAAATTATTTTGATGAATTGGACCAACGATGTGGGGAGATCTTTCAAGTTTTCCCTGTCGATTGCAACAATTGATGAAACGTGATCTTTTCAAATTGTTTTTCCGTTTCAACTTGAAAAACTCATTGTGAATGATGTGGTTTTCGTAAAAAAGGAAACAAGTTTTTTTTTTTGTGCTAGTCAGAAAATAAAATGAAATTGAAAAGATATAAGGTGCAAACTCTCCAAATGTTATTATCTCTTTCAAAAATTCTGGAAAAATTGTGACATGTAATGTTATTTTGGAGTTGATTATCATTTATGGGCATGAACATGTGTTTTTGATGCGTTTACAACCATGCCAATCAATGTAGAGAGGTATACAGCCATGTTGGTCAATGTAAAATTTTCGTGAGTTCAATTTAATCTAGTGGCCTTTAATTTTCAAATTAATGGCAAGATTGGTCCTTTTATCATTAAGATTTTTGGTAATTTGGCTTCTTCTTTTTTTTTAATTTACAGATTCTTTTTATACTAATGTAACTTTTCTTATGAGTTTCCGGCTAAATTTCCAAGCAAAAGTGATATGTGGCAAAAAAAAAAAAAATTGACACGTGTAATATTATGCTATGTCAGATAAAATTATTATGTGACCACAAAAATTAAAAAGCAAAATAATAAAAAAAATTAGCATCCTAAAAAAAATCTAGCTCTTCTGCAATGGTAGAAATGGATCTTTAAATATTTTATCAGTCTCTGTAAATTGGAAATTGATCAAGTAGAGATGGAAGTGAGGTGGGACTCTTTTTGTTTTGGGTGGGGTGGGTGGGTGGTGGATTGCGATTTGCAGAGATTTATAGTGGAGTAATAACAAGCTGTTGTGTAAGAAATACGCACTGACTTATCTCTTGATGTGCCATTAAACAGCGACTAGTCCACTTCTTGAGCTAGGCTATGGATTAAATAAAATATATTTATTTTAATTTGATCGTTTACTTTATCTTATTAGTCTATTAAAATATATAAAATTAAAAATAAAAGAAAAAATTTCATTTAATTTCATATTTTTTAATAAAAATTTTATATTTAATTTATTTTTTTTCATAAATTCTCTTCTCGTTAAAATTGATATCTTTAATTTGCTGCTTTTTATGAAAATTCTCATCAAATTAATTTTTATTCTTTTTTATATAATTTTATTTATTAATAAATATGATTTACTTTTCTCTCTACACGGATTTTTAAATAAGTTTTTAAAAATAAATAATCAATTAAAAAATAAAATTCACGCGTTTTATTTTCTTATTTTTATATAATTAACATATATCGAAATCAATTTTGTAATTATTTTTATTACAATCTACTAACTTCAATATATTTCTTACAACTTAAGTTTTTTTTAAAAAATATGTTTCGATTTTATATTACACACTCGACCCACTCGAATATATATATATATATATTGAGATCTTTGGTTTTATTAAATATTAAATATGCATCTACACATATAACACTAATCATTTACTATTTTTTAATATTATAAAATTAATTTCATAATTTTTAATAAAAAAATTATATTTAATTTATTCTTCTTTATGTTTTTTTATTAAGAAAACATGATTTGTTCTTTCTTATCTATTCATTCTTAAATAAAAACTCTGTAATAATCTAAATACAAAATTTAAGAATGTCTTAGTATTTTTTTCATAAGATTGCTAGCAACGATTAATATAAAAACTTGTATAAAGACTAACAAATAAATCTTTTTTATTTTTTATAATACCGATGAGAAGATCAATTTTTTTAAAAAATATGTATATTTAATTTATATATATTTATTTAGAAAATAATTCATAATATTAGTATAAAAACCTATATTTAAATTATTGGATAATCCTTCTAAAATGTTATTTTACTTATTTATTTAAAAGAAATTAATTCTCGAATATGAAAAAAAAATTAATACCAAATGGTTGGTGTTATATATGTACATGCATAATTAATTTCTAATAAAACCAATGATCTTAATTTTTTTTAAACATCATGATCATACTCGGTGGGTTGCCATGCAGTATAAATAAAAAAATATTTTTAAAAAAACTTAAGTTGTAAAAAATATATTGAAGTTAATGGACTGCAATAAAAATAATTATAAAATTAATTTTGATAAATTTTGATTATATAAAAAATAAGCAAACAAATCACTTGAATTTTATTTTTTAATTGATTATTTACTCTTAAAATAATTTATTAAAAAATCCATACATGGAGAAAAATACATCATATTTATTAAAAAATTAAATGACATAAAAATAAGAATAAAAAATTAATTTGATGAAAATGTTCATAAGAAACTACAAATTGAAGAGACCAATGTTAAACAATAAGAATAATATAATATGTGTGTGTGTTCATTTTAAAATCTAAAAACATAAATAACATTTGGTTTTTTATAATTTTCACACACAATTCAATAATAAACAAATTAAAATAATTTGCTAGAAAAAAATAAAGGAGCAAGCATGCATGTTTGGTACATCTAGAGACCAATAATATCTTTTAAAAATATTAAGAAACAAAATAGAATACAATGTTAAATTTGCATATGAATATCCTAAAAAACTAAAAAATCATGAAAATACTATTGTATAGTGAAAATATATAGTACACATAAATCTGAGTGAATAGTATAAATAAGTACAAGTAAATAGTATTATAAATAGTAACTCATCACAAATCTTTTAATTTTTTTTTTTTTTTTATGATTATAATGTGTTTAGAGTCTCATATGGAAATAACGCTCCTCTATAGCTGAGTGTTGTTTATTCAGATTCTGAATTTTTTACTACTCGCTGTACTATGATGTTCTGTTTTTCATTTTTTATGTAATGACCAAAGGTTTATATAACACAAGGAGACCATGCGGGAGATGGTGTGACAGTATCCTTGGTTACCCCAAATGAGCCTGGTTCCAAGAATGCTTTACTGAGAAGTAAAGAGTGAGCTCCAAAATCGAGCAAAGGTTATAAATACTTCAATTACACTTCTGGTTATTTTCACCACTGCAACTTTAAGGATTTTAAGGTATGCACTATGCTGAATTTTTTACTCAAGAATATTGTTTATGAACTGGAAATAAAAAGATTGTAATTTGTAATTCAATTTTATTATATCATTGCAGTATGATACCAAGTATTAGAGTTAATCACATAAAATGTTCTTCCGACTGTTTTTTTGATCAATTTTATGATTAAAACTGACAGTTAGCAAAAAACAATTCACATTAATTTGCCACTCGAATAAAAAGAAAGAAAAAAAAATTTTCTCCTCTTCTGCCTACAGATTGCAATTAATGCATTAATTTATAACAGAAATCAAAATTAAAACTTCAAGAAAAAATCAAAATAATTACAGAGAAAATAGAGAAAGATGATGATGAAAAAAATTATGCTAACTATCAATTTTGATCAAAAAATAGTGAAAGAGATCACATTGAAAAAAATTAAAAAGTAGAGAACGATGATGAAAAAAAAATATATAGGAGTCACATTGAAAAAAATAAAAGAATAAAAGGAAGGTTTTAGGGATTAACTCCCATGCATTATTATGAGGTTGGAATTGGGAACACAACAAGACAATTATGATGGTTTACTCCTCCTCCTAAACCTGGGCCTGATGTCCCATACACTTTTGGTCTCATAGGTATGGTTCAAATTCTTTTCATTTTTATTTTTAATTTCTAGAAAACAATTTGGTTAGAGTGATTTATACTTGTATCAATGTTTCTGTAAGATTATATTTTCTTCTTATTTGAACTAACATTTTGAAAGGAATTTGGATCAGACTCTTGATTCAAAAATGACAGTTACCCACTATGAATTAAATCCAACAAAGGGGCATACAGTATTTTTTGTTGGGGATCTCTCTTATGCAGATGATTATCCATTTCATGACAAAATAAGGTGTTCCACTTGGGGAAGGTTAGTAAAAAAATAGAGAATAGTTTGTTATATATATATATATATATATATATATATATATATAAACTAGGTTATAAAGTTTGAAATATTTTCTCGATTTTATTTATTGATTTCAATTAAATCCTTCGATAGGTTCATGAAAAGAAAAGGAAAACGGGGAGAAGGAAGGTGAAGGGGTTGACGAAAATGAAGAGGAATTTGAGGAGGTAGAAGAAGAAAGGTGCTGGAATTTCGTCATGGTCATCATATGAATCAAAATTATGTATATGAGTTTGTGAAGAATCTCGAGTCTGAAAGAGAAACAAAATAGAGAAAGTGAATTTTTCAAAGACTGTTGAGGATGAAGGGAAAGAAACACTAAAAAAAGGTTTGTTTTTTGGGAAAAAAAATCCTTAACTTTTATTTCTATAATTTTGTTTCTATTTTGTTTTTACAACTAAACTATGTTTTTCCCCTTTCATTTTTTCAGCTAATTTTTTTTTAAATTTTTTTGCCGCATAACAATTTTATCTAATATGACATTATATGTGTCAAATTTTTTGCCACGTACCGTGTATGTTAAAAAAATTAGCTAACAAATCATTAGAGGGTGCCATTAAAAAATTTAAGAAGTGGAGGGACGCAATTAAAAAAAAAGAATAAAAAAGCCAAATTAAAAAATTATCAAGAATAAAAGACGAATCATGCCATTAATCCTTTACTTTTCTTGTAAAATTGCAATATTTATCTTTTCTAAAACATTATTTCACATCCGCCTGCATCTATTTATTTTTCTTGGAGGTAAGGAAACTTAAACATAGAGTTAGCCTAACTCTGCCACCTCATCTGCAAACTAGCTGAGGGCCCGTGCAGTTGCGCAATGCCCAGGTTGTATTTGTAATATCTTAATTCTATTACTATTGTTCTTGTAAAATTGCAAGATTAGTCTTTTCAAGACACTATTTGAAAACCACCAACATGGCTAGATTGTCTCTTGCGCTAGGAAATGAAACTTAAATATAGAGATAGGCCGAGTTTATTATCTCATATGTCTAGTCTGTAAACTAGATTAATGAAACATACATTGAGAAATATAAATAGAAATACGAAATATGGAATATGAATATGACACGATATGACATGATAGGTATCTTAATTTTTTTAAGATGTTGTATATCACAAAAAAATAAAAAAAAATCGACAAAAAAAAAAATTAGTGTCTAAGAATAAATACCAACGTTTTAATGTCTAATTAATTGAATACCTTCCATAAACCATAATAACCTAAATAACTGACGCATGACTTTCGCTTCATGAGAACCCTTCGTCATAGTTGAGTTTCTTAAGTAGATCACATAAGTACATAGTTATGGTTTAGTGGCAATGGATACTAGGAATTGCAATTCTCTTCAAAATTGTTGCTTTTAATCATGTGATTGTAATGCTAGTTTGAATACACCTAGGTTATTATCTCTTAGTTTTTCTCGTGTCATAAAGCTGATTTGTGAAAAGATTGCAATGATAGATTTATTCATTAATTGATGATGTAATCTTTCCTATCAATGAAATTTTTTTTTATAGGTTTTGGTAGAAAAAAAGAAAAATTGAATTTAAGATTATATAAAATTGTAAGAAATTTTGATAGTTATCAATAAATTTTAGATATCTAAATATTAAATTAACTTTGAAAATCATTACGAAAGCATCAATTATAATTTCAGTTTTCTATTTTAAATTGAATCAATGCTATTCATCTTCCTTTTAATCTGGTATCCATTACAAAAATATACAATTGTCAATCTAGAGACATAATTTTGAGTTTCTTAATATAAAAAATTATGAGAAAAATTTATGACTGCATTTTATTTAAAATACCTATAACCTTCGGATAATCTTTTATTTCTGTTAAAATACATGTAACAAAGACAAATAATATTTCAGGAACTGTGAAGAACTAGATGATCCTTTACTCTTTTTTTTTCTTATGTTTTATTTTTGTTATAGTAAATCTTTTTTTTTTTTTTTTTTCCCGTATAAAGCGGAATTTAAAGGACTGCTCGAAGGTAGCTTGTCATGATTATTTCAAGGCTTTTTTGTACGTAGAAGAAGATGCAGACAACGCGTGGTCTGCTTCTCCACCATTTTTTTTTCTCTGCACACCTGGCCTGTCTGACCCAGACAAATTGGCCCATGCGTGTAATGGGCCAACTTATTTTTTTTAGTTTTTCTTCTTTTTCTCTCTTTTTTCTTTCTCTAATATTTTATTTTCTCAATATCAAATTTTCAATGAATAATTGATAATTATTTTACATTTTCATACAGTCTAAAAAAAAAATTATTTAACGAAATTTTGATTTTTTTTTAAAAATGAGTACAAAAATAGTGGTTATTGTAAAAAATAATGATTTTTCATGTAACCTTACAAAAACAATAATGACCAATTACCAAATATTATTGACAATAATAGGGAGTTGATAATAGATAACTGATCAATTTAATACGCATAGTTTTAAAAAATTTAATGACAACAATTCAGAAACAAAATTGATATAATGTTGATTTTTTTATTTAAAAAATATATCGACACCGACCATAGATAAACATTATAAGAAAAAAAATCTACTTAACAATAATTTAATGATTAATAATTTATCATCTTTTAGTTTATATTGATTTTTGAGCGATCATGTCTCGCTTCAAAATTGATCATGATTATTCAATATGTATTAAAAAATTATTATTTGGAATTATGTTATTGCAAAACAAGAGAGAAAAACTATCAAGTAGATAATGATAAGATTTTTTCGTCAATAGCAACGGACTCATTATCATAATTAAATTCCCTTCTAACATAGATTGCTCAAGCACTACTTTATTGTTGATTATTGTCTTATTCGAATTACTAGTTCTCTTAATTAAATTTTTATATGATATAAATAATTGACAGTATATTTGTTATCTATATCTATCAAAATCAAACCCTTCTACAAAATACATTTGAATTCAAAAATAAAAATACACACAATATTATAAAAAAAACACAAATTAAATTGAAAACAATTAATATTGTTTGTTTTGATTTCGTTTGCCTAATTTTTTGAATTAATTAAAATATTAAAGGTCATCCGCAGCAACAGGCGGACCCCGATATTAGTTTGAACCAATCGGCCAAATAAAACGGTGCCGTTTCAATTCGACGACCCACGTGTGAATGCCAGGAGGTGGATAAGGAGCCACGTCAACTCCCGCCATACCCCAAACATTTAATACCGTAAGTACCCTTTTTTTTTACCGCATCCCAATCACATCTCACCCTCTCTTTCTCACTCAACAGCCATCAAAAAGACGGTTCTTGCATCAGTAATAGAAAGATAACAATCTCAGGAGTCAAAGGAGAATTTAGTAATTCAGGTCCGTACTATCAAAAGTCGGTTTTGTAGGTCTCAGATTTTCTAATCCCTTCACATTTCCGTCTCTACTTCTTCAGTCGTTTCGGATGTTTGTCGTTGTTCTGTTGTGTCTTTCTTCTCCGTGAAATACCAAAAATGGCCCCTCGAACAAGAAGAACGGCGTTCCCAAAAGTGGTGATTGAAAGAGACACCGACTCTGAACAAAGTTCGTCATCAGACGATGAAGAAGAAGTGGAAAAGGAAGAAGAAGAAGAGTGCCCCCCATCAGAATCAGAATCAGAACCAGAAGAGGAGGATGCAACCAAAAATGGAAATGGAGAGAAAATTGAAGTAGATTTAAGTTCAAAAAAGAAAGGAAAAACACCCATTACTATTAGTCTCAAGAAAGTTTGTAAAGTAAGCTTCTTTCCTCTTTAGTTTCTCTTAAAGATTTTTTGTTTATACTGGTTCATTGATTGTTTATGGTGCTTTAGGTTTGTAAGAAACCGGGACATGAAGCGGGATTTAAAGGAGCTACGTACATAGACTGTCCCATGAAACCCTGCTTTCTCTGCAAAATGCCTGGTTTGTGCTCATTTTGGCTCTACCACGAATCGATACTAGCATTAATTCAATTCAAGGCCTATAACTTTTTGTTGTTAAAGTTGGCCTTTTGAGATTCTGACAAGTTATCACTTTTTTTTGTTTTATAACTCACACACCCAAGCTCCTAACAGAGCTAGTCTGCTAGTATTTGAACCTGTGACCTCTTGTTGCAAGAGGCCACTACCACTGGGTTACAAGCTCTTTGGTTGACAAGTTATCACGTGCTTTTTGAATTTTTGGAATTGTTTTACTTAACTAATTTGTTTCCAAAAATACTACCGCGTGTAATGCTTTGTACTCGCGTTGAAAATAATTTTTTCCCATGCAATTTATTATCTCACGTTGCTTTTGTATTTATAATGAGTTACTTTCTTTCCAGTTCTGTGTAAATTCTTGTCAATATGATGGATTTTTATTGAATTCATTTTTTTCAATGGATTGTTTTTATCATTTGTGTTATATATTGATTCGATGGTATTGACATTCTATAGCACTGCTGAATGTGCACATTGATGTTAATGATTATGTATTGATGTTGATCGTGTGTTTTGTCAATGGCCAGGCCACACGACGATGACATGCCCTCACAGAGTGGCTATTGAGCATGGGGTAATCCCAGCTTCCCGCCCAAATACTCATAATTCAGTGGAATTTGTTTTTCAGCGCCAGCTTAGACCAACAATCCCTCCAGTAAGTTGTGTTCTCTCTCTCATGTGTGTGGGGTGCGTGCATGCCTTTTATATTATTAGTAGTTTTTTGGGGTGGGGACTTGCCAGTGTTGATGGTGCGTTCATGTTTAGAAAAATTCACCAGTTCTTGAGAGCTCTCTAGTCTTGAAACAGTTGGACTTATAGCAATTTGATGATGATTTGACATATTTTTTCAAAATTATTTAGTATAAATTTATTCTATTGCGATGATTTCATCTGGTTTAAGTAATTTTGGAAAATTCAGCTTTCTTAGCATTTTTAATTCCTATTTTATTCAGTCCATCTCTGAGAAATTAGTATGTTCCAGATTGGATAGCTCGACATTGTCTTCAAGCATTATCTTTTATTTAGTGATTTTGAGCTGCTGTTACATATCTTCACAAATGAATTATTTTTACCTTTTGTTTTGTGAAACAGATAAAGCCAGCATATGTCATACCAGATCAAGTATGTTGTGCCGTTATCAGATACCACAGCAGGCGAGTAACATGCTTGGAATTTCACCCAACAAAAAATAACATCCTTTTATCTGGGGATAAGGTTAGGCTCATTCTATACATCATAGTCGATACAAGTTTACTTTTGATAAGGATTCAATTATTTCATTATAATGACCTGCCTTTTCCTTAAGTTATCTACCTTTTCTTTTCTTTTGGGTCTACTAAAAAAGAAAGGACAAGTTGGAGTTTGGGATTTTGACAAGGTGCATGAAAGGATGGTTTATCAAAACATACACACTTGTATTGTCAATAACATGAGGTGAGCTCTGATTCATGAAGTTTTAGTTTTCTTTTTATTCACTTGAAAGTTTTGGGGTACATAAAGAACAACTTTCATGTGTATTTTCAGGTTTAAATCTACAAATGATGGTATGATATATGCTGCTTCCTCTGATGGAACAATTAGTTGCACTGATTTGGAGACTGGATTGTCATCATCTCTGATGAGCCTTAATCCTAATGGGTGGCAGGTAATTTGACTTTAACTACTATTCATGTGATGCCCCGTAGTAACTAAAGGTGATATGGATTGTCTTGAGTTTTATGTCTGTCCTCTTGGGAGTTGTTTGTTAGGATTTGTTTATCTGTGGATGCTTTTGGTTTGAATGCTGAACTTCAGTCAACTCTTCTCTTGTTGTAATTTTATGAATGGATGGCCTAATGTGTTAAAAACCGGTGTCTATATCTATGAAAGGTTCCTGCATGCATGTTGATTCATCGGGTAGAAGCAGAGGCCAAGGCGAAGGAAGAAAACTGAATTTTTGTTATATTTGCTTAATGAACTGATTTCTGATTCTTAATTGAAGGATGACTTAAATATGGCACTGTTGCAGGGTCCAAGCACCTGGAGAATGCTTTATGGCATGGATATCAACTCAGAGAAAGGTGTTGTGGTTGTTGCTGATAACTTTGGTTTTCTTTACTTGTAAGATTCAAATTTTTAGACAACTTTGTCTGTACAAAGAAATTAGTTGAGTGAATGGAATCCCTTATGAGCTAGTCCCTGAATTCTTGCACTTAGCAATTAGTTGGACAAGTTTTAGGTATGGTTTTCTTCCACCTTTCAAGAAGCATACCACATTTACAGCAATTGATATTGAGATGCTGAAGTATATTTATATATTTGTCAGTTACCATTAATCGATGTGATGGAAACATGATTGCCTTATAATCTTATTAGTTTATTGATGAGCCGCCTTTTTAGGAGGGGGTAATGGTTTGACACATGTTGATATTTGATACTATTTTCTTCTGGTAATTATGTATGCATCCTGAACTTTGTTCTAACTGCTAAACATTTCTTTAATAGTGGATAAGAGCACAAGTCATGATCAGGGTGCTAGTAATTGGAAGACCAAGTGCTTCCATAGACAACCTTCAGATTCATATAGTAGAATAACATATATTGTTTTACTGCTGCAACACAATAAAACCTGAAAGAAAACTATAGAATTCATTTTGAGACTTCTACTGCAGTGCTGCCAGTTTGTTTGAATATTCATTTTTTTATGACTTTAAAAAGCAAATGAGGAAATAGAAAAAGGAATGAACTATACAACAAGAATCAAGCACCTCATCAGGCAACTTCTGACATTTTTGCTTTGTTTCCCCATCTTCTTTGTGCATTCTTTAAATAACATGCTCAAAGTTGGGTTTTGTGCTCTTATGGCTTACTCAGGGTGGATACACGATCCAACAGTAAAACTGGGGAGGCAATTTTGATCCATAAGAAGGGTAGTAAAGTTGTTGGTCTCCATTGCAATCCAGTTCAACCAGACCTGCTTTTGAGTTGTGGAAATGATCATTTTGTAAGTTTTTAATTTTATTAGTTCTCATACTTTTTGTATTTGCCCTTGTTGCTGCTGGGGCCATCTGGCTTTTCTATAAACTTTGTATGTACTCTGTTCCTCTTTTTTTCCCCCTTCTGTTTCAGACTGTCTTAAAGTATCATTTGTGCGGGAAATTAAAATAAAAAAGAACTGTCGTAAACATGCTTGTTTTTCCCAGCAATGCATAAATATATGTTTATATTGTTTTGTTTATCTTGTCCTGTTCATACTAGCAGTAAGCAATATCTTCATCTCAGGCTCGTATATGGGATATGCGTCGACTGGAAGCTGGATCTTCTCTTTTTGACCTTGCACACAAGCGTGTTGTTAACTCTGCATATTTTTCTCCACTGTCTGGTAGCAAGATTCTTAGTACTTCTCAAGATAACCGCCTTCGTATTTGGGATTCTATCTTTGGAAACATGGATGCCCCAAGCCGAGAAATCGTACACAGTCATGATTTCAACAGACATCTGACTCCTTTCCGTGCTGAATGGGATCCGAAGGTGATAGAATTTGATTGATGTGTGCATAGCTTTCAGCCTTATTTTTTTTTCTTCATGAATTTCAAAACACCTTTTGATGCAGGACCCATCAGAGTCCCTTGCAGTTATTGGTCGTTACATAAGTGAAAATTACAATGGAGCTGCCTTGCATCCGATTGATTTTATTGATGTTAGCACTGGGCAACTAGTTGCTGAAGTTATGGATCCAAACATCACAACTATTAGTCCTGTGAACAAGCTACATCCTCGAGATGATATTTTGGCATCTGGCAGTTCGAGGTTGCTCTCTGTTATCTCATTGACTCAATATACGTCATGGCGGTGAAACTAATTATTTATCTCTAACAGCTTGACCTTTTGACAATGAAATGCTGTAGGATGATCCAATGCACCTTCTTAATTGGAGCATTTACATGCACATTTGTCATGCATCATACAGAAATTATAATGCATCACTCCTATTAATCCTTAAGCTAACTTTGGTGTCCATGATAAACACATCTCATCCAAAGTGGCACATCATGAGATTTAAAAATCCAGCTCCCATATATTTAGGTTACTTTTGATATTGATATTAACTTGGATTAAGACCATAGATAGGGGCCCCAAAGTCTGAGTAACTAACATTTAATTATTGATATTTTCATGGTCAACTTAATGTTGTAATTCTATTTAGTGTTTAGATTATATAATGTTTTTCCTCCAGTCTTTTGTGCTCTTAATAAGCTTCTCTTGCAGGTCCCTTTTCATTTGGAGGCCAAAGGAGAAGTCCGAACCTGTGGAACAGAAAGATGAAAGCAAGATTGTTATCTGTGGAGGTGCTAAGAAAAAGCGTAAAGGGAAGTTTGATGGTGAAAACGATGATGATTCTGATCAGGAGGGATGGCTATCCAAGACCAAGAATTTAAAATTTAAAAATTCTGAATCGAAATCAGCTCGCAGGCCTCGCAAGGTTAAAAATTAAGCTAGCAAATGGGAACGTCCTTGGCATGTAGACCTATATTTATTATCTGCTGCTTTGGATGAAAGTTTTGTCCAAGTTTTTGTTTGATTCCAACTGGTAACCCTTGCATGGGCCATGGATCACCAAGCAACCTTTGCCTTGACGGAAGTGCACTTTCAATAGAAGCAGCAGCAGTATTGTTAAGCTTCTAACAAATCACTGTTTGATTTTGTATTCTGTGTAATTGCCAACTAACTGCAAAGAAATGTGTAAATCTCGTCTGTATGTTCTACTAGCAAAATTACAGCAGGATTTTCATATCTATCCTTTTTTTGATTGTATTGTTGCGTGATGTTGGATTTTCTATTTTTTGGTTAGTTTTCCAATCCGGTGTTCAGTTTCTTGCAATGAAAACTTTGGGGCTTCAATTTGAGTTAGAAAACTCGCGACCTGTTGACTGATTGAGCACAAATGACCTGACATGGTGAATGCATGTTTCACATTTAAGTTATCTCCAGCGATCGCTGTAATATTCCACCATTTTACCTGCCATTACTTGAAAAACCGCAGGCGGACTCTTACAGGCTGCCTCTGGCATTTCTTAACTCAAACGACATTACGAATCTGGTGTTTAGGTGGCTCCCTAATGTTCCTAGTTATTCTTTCAGGTTTTCATCTTGATTAAGTAATAGGGATAGATAATTGAAAAACTGATCGCTTTGATTCAATATGAATTACTCCTGTAATCGATTTCATGCTATAGACATTTATAAAACAACTGAAACTAAAGAGATCTAGTAGTAGTATAAAGTTGATAGGTTAGTTGAAACGTTGTCTGATTTGATTTTGATACAAAACAAAGTTAGAGTAGAATACAAGGATTACCAAATCCTAAACAAGAAACAAATTATCGCAGAGATGCATAGCACTAACCCTAAACTTAGTATTTTCCGAGTCTGTAATCTTATAGGCCAAACCCGCACAGCTCAAAGAGGCATCGAAGGGAACCCAAACTATTGATGTAGCAGAGTGGATTTCAGAAAGAGATTGAAGGACACCAAAATTATGGAGAAATTTTATATTACTTTAATAATAACTACCAACACTTACTCAACAAGAAAGAGAGAGACCGACACAAAGAAGAATAGAGAAAAATAAGAAGATTTTTTTAAAAAAAGTTTGACTCTGGATAGAAATATTCTTGTCATTTTTTGTGAGTTTAGATATAATATATTTTTTTAAATTTTTATACCTATCTCTTTTTTTAAAAGTAGACCTGTAGAGTAATTATTAGAAATATATAATAATTGCTTTAGAAATATTTTAAAATTTCTCAAAATTAATAGTTATTTTTTTAAAAAAAAAAATCTTTTTGACTTTATTTGATATAAACCGTTAATATGAAGGTCCATTGGAATCAATCATCGTTATTGGATTAACTAAGGTGCATGTAGCAACCATTTATTGTATCACAAATGCAGTTTTGAGACCATAACCATAAAAGCTAATACAATATGCGTGTTTGACGATACGGGATGGGATGCAAATGTGTTTACAAAAAAAGCATTTAGATTAATGCTTTTCCAGATGCTTATATATATATATTTGACATTTAAATTAAAACACAATGTCAAACGCAGCGTATAAGTGGTTCTAAACAAAATGAAATCCAGTGTTATTTGATTAAAACAAAAAAAGCATCAAATCAAGACTTTCTTTGATATTCGTTTTTCTGGTACAGCCTTCTTTGATATTTGAATTATGACCAGTGTACGTAGATTATACTTTGAAACCAGATAAGTGTTACTCGGAATCGTTTACCTGTTCAATGAAATTAAGCAATTTAGAGGCAGACATTAATATGTACGTACAGACTTGCTTCAACCCAATGATAGCAGAAAAAAGAAGCCCATTTGTGGTATTAATTAACATCCACATGCGTTTTTTACTTCCTGGATTAGTTGGGTTCCATCAGCAAATGTTTAGGACTAAAACCGCGCAATGCAATTCGAGCATGCGTCTTGCTTGCATTTTTACCGCTGGTCTTCCAATTTACAGTTGCATGATAATTGTGGAGCAGGCACCCCAAAATGTGGAATTACGACAGCTAGCGTGTAAACAAATCAAGCTAGCTGAAAAGGAAGAATTTCCACGTCAAATGGCATCAAAATAGTTTCAGATTCCAACCTCAAAATTTGAGCTGAGATTTCTTCCTGCTTCAAATGCCATAGTTATTTACCCCGGGTAAATTCAGCATCATTTGTAAATGTTTTCCTTTACAGTTTTCACCTTATGATTTAAAAAATATCAGCGCTGGCCTTGTTTTTCAACATCTTTTTTGAAGACGTAAAAAACGCATCATCATAAATAAAAGAGAGATTTGATTAATTAATTAAGTGGAGCAAAGCGATAATTATGTAAATACTTTAATTTTACACTGGAATAATCCACCAGCCTTTAGTCCTTAACCCTGTGATCTTCTAGAAATAGTTGGTCTCCCCGCAGAAACCAAAAAAAGGAGGAAACTAACTATTAAATCATCTAGTTATAAGTGTCAATCAAGCAGCCACCAGTACATACCTATTACCAATTTTGTTTCTCCAACAGACTCAGCAAACTAAGCAGCTGAAAAAAATAAAAAAATAAAATTATATATATATGATCTTCTAGATCCTAAATTCTCCTTTTATTTTTACTAAGTAAAAAAAAAAAACCCTACCTTCTAGATCCTAAGTCCTCCTTTTACTTTTACTAAGTCATTTACCGTTCATTGTACCGTATCCAACTCAATTTACCGAGGTAATTAAATTTGGCTATTTTAATTTTCAACCCTTTTAAATACACCCGGACGCTTCTCTTTAATTCTTAACAAACCTCCGCATCTCCCTCTCTCAGTTTTGTAACCATAAGACTCTTCCCTCTATAAAACGAACTCTGTTAGAGAAGAGAGACAGTCGTCCTTGGATTTCCCTTGCAAGAAAGCAAACAATTTAGCTGATTTTTAACAATGGCAGCAGCTTCCAATGGAAGCGAGTTTTTTGAACTGGACATTGATCCAGTGAGGGAGTCATTTTCACGGCCATCGAATGCCGAAGCGGTGGAAGAGGACGAAGATGAGCTTGTTTGGGAGGCGATTTCTAGGCTTCCATCGCAGCAGAGAGGGAATTTTGCCGTGATGAGAAAGTCTCCTTCGGAGTACGCTCGAGGCGGAGGAGCTGGTCAGCGAGAGGAGATGATTGACGTCAGGAGGCTGGATCGTGCTAACCGAGAACTTGTTGTTAAAAAAGCTCTTGCTACTAATGCTCAAGACAATCACAAGTTGCTTTCTGCGATCAAAGAAAGGCTTGATAGGTGTATATTCTAATTAATCGTTATCTTTCAATTTAATGCTTGCATGCATGTGATTTTTGTTGCTCATATTTTATTAATTTACGAGTCATTTTGATTTTTACAGATTTTGTTTTGTTTTTCTATCCCTTTGCATGTGAGATTTGTTTATTCATTTTTTTGATCTTCCTTTTCCTTGTGTTAATTACTATTTTAGTTTTTTCCACTTGTTTTATTTTTTAAATGTGATCATCGAACTATATATATATATATATATATATATATATATCGGTGTTTTTCAGATTAAAAGGAAAAAAATTGCCTGATCCATGATCCTCCTTATAGATATATTTTCACTTTAATACGTACTTTTTCAAGCCACAGGCACAGATTTCTTTCGTTATATATATATATATATATTTGTTTTTTTTTAATTTAGATTTTATTTTAGGTTTTCTGATATTCTTTTTTGTGAAAATTTTCGTTGTCAATGAAGGGTTGGAATCGAAGTGCCAAAAGTCGAAGTAAGATTTGAGAACTTAAATATAAGCGCCAAGGTGCAAATTGGATCAAGAGCTTTGCCTACTTTGATTAATGTTGCTCGTGACATGGGCGAGGTGATTTAATTAATCCTGAATTCTAATTCTTGTAAATGTAATCTTCTTGATCAGTGTTTAATTAATTGCTCGGTTTGTACGTGCAGGGTTTACTAACAAAATTGGGATTATTTCGGGCTAAGAAATTTCCTTTAACAATCTTGAATAAAGTCAGTGGCACTATAAAACCGGGAAGGTAATGAATGAATATAATTACTTAGAATTGCAATTGTTCATTTTCATGGCGTGTTTAGAATTTTTTTAGAATATATATTTTTTAAAAATAATATAAAAATTATTTTTAAATTCTTAATTATTTAATAATTTAAATTTTTAGATTGAAATAATTATTTTGCAGTTACAAATCGTGTTTAAAGAGGTCAATGAATCTCATGTACATTGAAAATTATGTCACTTTTGTGTTCCATTTATGGTTCACATCAATTTTAGTTGGTGTTATGAAAGTCTTTGACTTACAGATCGAGAATCACTTGCGGCCTACCTAGGTGACAGTTTGCTATAGTTAGTCTATTTTTCATTTTGCACTTAAAAGGTGACTGGACAAATAGCAAGAAGTTGTTATCGCATCACATGTACCTTGCTGAAGTGTGTGATTTTCTATATTTCAAAGTGTTGTGCTATCTAGGAGCAAATTCAACTTAAACAGTTCACTTCTTTTCCTTGGTCTTAGTAATTTTAATGAATCATGTCACGCTGAGAACATATTTGTGTTATGTCTCAAATGAAGAAAAAATTAGCGAAGTAGTCTTTTGGTTGTAGATAAAGAAACAACGAAAAATCTATGTTCATCAAGCTGTTCAAGTAAATTCTCATGTTTTACCTTCAATTGACTTCGTGAAAAAGTACATGTTGTTATGAGCCAAAACTACTTATTTGACTGGAGCTCTGCTGGAGAATTGTTATTAGTTTCACCTTTTGCCTAGAGACTCTTAACCAAGTCAAATAATCATGTTGTGATTAACATCCGTGCATGTTTTGGGTCTTGTAGGATGACTCTGCTCTTAGGACCACCAGGCTCCGGCAAATCGACCTTGCTTTTAGCTCTCGCAGGGAAACTTGACAAGACACTAAAGGTCAGTACTTGACTACTTGTTGCTATCCTTTCCTTCAGACCATCACGTGAATGCTATGCATACTTTTATTGATCACTGCGCGTTTACTAGAAGCTCTTTTTGCCCAAATCTTAGTGACTGATGAAGTTGGTTAGCCACTAATGATACGGCCATGCTTGTATATGTTTCCCAGCGCGCACGGCGCATGAATTGTTTGTAAATTTGCTGTCAGGCTTAGATTATGGCCAATAACGAGGTAAATTGTGCAACTAAAAATGCAGGTAAAAAAGTCGGGAAATTACTCGCTGACACACACTGGAAACACAGACTCGTTAGTCGTTACCCATCCATGTAAAAGTACATTTTTGGTCCCCTAAAGTAGAAAGATATGCGAAAAAGTCCTGCAGTAGGCATATTTTCTCTCTCTCCCTCTCTCCCTCTTAAGAATGAGGCAAGCCTCAATTGAAATTAGGTACTATTAATTTAGGGATGACAATTAATTTAAGAATGACAGGTTTCCATATAGCTCTTTTTGGGCTAGCCAGGAAGTTCAATTGGGTTTCTTGGCTCAACCTTAAAAGTGCTTGTAAAAGCAAGAACAGTTCGCTTTCATCAGGATTTAGCTCAATTACCCAAAGCATGTCTAAGTTGGGTTACAATTTAAGGCCCAACTTTCTCTTCGGTTGTTTTCAGTTCAACTTGCAGAGTGCTGGAGACCAGACTACCATTATTGAACGCATTCTGTTGTAGGATGATGTCAGCAAATATCCATTTTTGAGATCCCTTTCCTGCTCACTGGCCTCATATCCTCGGGCAACTGGTGTTTGTAAGAGAGTAGATATATAAAAAAGGTTTACCTATTATCTGCTCAGCGTAGGAAAACTTGAGTTGCCTAACTTGGTCTTTTATTTTACTGTGGCTGGCTTTAGCGTCGATACTTAGTTAAACTACTTCAACAAATCGTAGGGCAAAAATTGACCAACCTCTTACATTTAAATGTTGGTCACAGTGGATTAATTACAGCTTAAGGATTGATTAACCCATGAAATTAATATCTTATAGAGATGTTGGAAATGGTATACTCTCAAAGAAAAACAAAAACGAAAATGAAAAAAAGAAAAAGATTTCGCTTTGGCTAAAGTATCCTCTTTAGAAGATTCTCTCTTTTTTTTCTTGTTATTTGCTTTTGCTTAATTGCTGATAGCACGAACCTTATTCATCTTAAAATTTTTTTTTCAGAAATCCGGTAATATTACGTACAATGGACAGAAATTTGATGATTTTTATGTCCAAAGGACTTCTGCATATATCAGCCAAACAGATAATCACATTGCAGAGCTCACTGTACGAGAAACATTAGATTTCGCTGCTTGTTGGCAAGGAGCAAGTGAAGGCTTTGGAGGTTCATTTACTTTAATTTCTTTGAAATCTTTTGTACATTCATTATTTATCAAACGTTTTTTCTAGAGTTATACAGAAGTTAATTTTAGCTTGAAAGTGTTTCTAATCATAGTAATAATTCTAGGAAGTAAATAAGGTGCTATGATCACTAAGATTATTGCTTCTTGGTCTTGTTAGCATTCGTATAGTGGTGCAACTTAAGATTGCCAATGATTAGGAATCAAGTGGGATGATCTTACGGTTTGCTATCTTGCTCGATTTTTCAATGTTCTGTTTTGTAGATAGAACAACTGTTTGATTTGTTACTGCATAGACTTCATAGTCTTAGGCCATGTTTTTTTTTATATTATAACACGGTATATGCATTATTGCAAATGTAATGGCATAAAACTATGAAAATACAATAATTGTTGCTGAAACCCAGCCAGTTGTAGAATCCTAGTGTTCATGATCATAGTGCTTCTGGTTTATTGCAATCTTCAGATGACGAACCCTTAAGTGGCATCTTTATTAATTATTGAGCCTGGGAGTCAATTATGTGATTTTGGAGAGCCTTGATCATTTGATAAGTTGATAAATTACCTATGTACTTGGGTTTTAATATCAATTAGGACTAAATGTCATAAGCAAAATCCATTTACCAAAATTGTTTCTCTTGAATGAGTTCCATTTTGTCATGGTCGTTTGAACCTTGACATATTTTCTTTTCAACTATTCCTTCGATCATGTTAATTCATGAAAAAGATGGATGCATTTTCTTTTCAACTCTTCTCAACATTACATAGCGAAATGACAAGAGCTGTGGATGATTTTTCATTAAAAAAATTCCTCGACTCCTTTGTTTAATGCTGTCTTATCAACACCCAAAGCAATTCCAAATGGCATTTTCTTCTGATATTTCCCCTATAACCCCCAAGTAGCTCTGCATTCTGTTCAAGAATTTGCAATTTGGCAGTGTCCTAAACAGGGGACACAATTTTATGCATAGCATGAATATTTATTGTTTATTTTCTTATTCTTGCATCATCTCCTTCCAGGCTACATGAAAGATCTAGTTCGCTTAGAGAAGGAAAGAAATGTGCGACCAAGTCCAGAGGTTGATGCTTTTATGAAGGTTGTCATCTTAATTTTTGAACTTTGTGTACAGTTCATGTCTACTTCAGGCTTGATTTAATCCATAAAAATTTTTACTGAGCAGGCATCTTCAGTTGGAGGCAAAAAGCACAGTGTTTCAACAGACTATATCTTAAAAGTTCTTGGTCTTGATGTATGTTCAGAGACAGTGGTCGGAAATGATATGTTAAGAGGTGTCTCGGGTGGTCAAAGGAAACGGGTTACCACTGGTCTCTCTCTCTCTCTCTCTCTCTCTCTCTATGCGTGCTCACACACACACATGCAATTTCCCCATAAACTTAGTTAGATTTATTATTTTTGAAGTCATCATCAACTGTACATCATTCTCGTTTGTTTTGTTTTTGGTGCATGCATTGATGAGTGATACTGATAGTTAATGAGCTTCATCGTATATTTTTGTTGTAATTATTAATGGCATTGGAGTGCCCAAATTCAAAGGCAAAGTATAATAATCATGGAGTGTTGGTGTTTCTTAATTTTTCCAAACATGTTCTTTTAGATATTTGGGCCTGTTGGCTATAAAAACACGAGAGATTTCCATATTGTGTCTGATTATGAATTACTAATGTTGAAATATTTTGTGATGTTGTTTATCGAATGATAATGGGTAAAATATTTTGTGCAGGAGAAATGATTGTTGGGCCAAGAAAAACCTTATTTATGGATGAAATATCTACCGGACTTGATAGCTCCACAACATTCCAAATTGTGAAATGTATAGGGAATTTTGTTCATCTAATGGAAGCAACTGTATTAATGGCTCTTCTTCAACCTGCTCCCGAGACCTTTGATCTGTTTGATGATTTGGTGCTATTATCAGAAGGTTATGTGGTGTATCAAGGCCCCCGGTCAGAAGTGTTAGAGTTCTTTGAGTCTTTAGGATTTCGATTACCACCACGAAAGGGGGTTGCAGATTTTCTTCAAGAGGTATTTTGCTGAAGATGCTAGTAGACTTTGCTCTCCACTTTGGTTCTTGTCTGACATGCTTTATTCTCAGGTGACCTCTAAAAAAGATCAAGCTCAATATTGGGCTGATCCGTCAAAACCATACACGTTCATGCCTGTCTCAGAAATTGCAAAAGCATTTAAAAGTTCCAAGTACGGAAAATATGTTGACTCTGAGCTTTCTGTTCCATTTGACAAATCCAAAAGTCATCCTTCAGCTTTGTCGAAAACGAAATATGCTGCATCGAGATGGGAGCTATTCAAAACATGCTTCGAACGAGAAGTTTTGTTGATTAAAAGGCATCGTTTTCTTTATATTTTCAGGACATGCCAGGTATTGTTTATCTTGTGCTTATGGTGTTTCATCTTTTATATAGCGATTGACGAATGATGTATCACCATATGCTTAAACTATGGTCTATCTACTGTTTAATTGCATATGTGATTGATATTTTTAGTTTAGATTGAAAATGGAAAATGATGCAGTAGTACATTTCATTTAAAAAAGGCTGCAATCAGTTATTCCTGGCTTTATTTGGGCAACTTCTTATTTGTGCTGGAAGATTATCTACTGTTTGCCATTATGTATAGTCTGTGATGCATCAAATGTACGAATAAAATTTTCTCTTCTTCTTATGCTTCTGATGTATATGTTTAAAGGTCGCATTTGTTGGATTTGTCACTTGCACAATGTTCTTGCGGACAAGATTACATCCCACAGACGAGGCAAATGGGAGCCTTTACCTCTCTTGCCTGTTCTTCGGGCTGGTGCATATGATGTTTAATGGCTTCTCTGAGCTGTCACTTTTGATATTTCGACTCCCAGTATTTTACAAGCAACGAGATAATCTCTTCCATCCTGCATGGGCATGGTCCTTCGCTAGTTTTATTCTGCGCCTACCTTACTCCATCGTAGAAGCTGTTGTATGGTCTTGTGTTGTATACTACACAGTTGGTTTTGCCCCTGGTGCTGGGAGGTATTGCCAGTTTACTTGTTTATATTTTAATCTTCAGGTCCTTCTTTATTCATAAATTTCTAAAATGTGTTTCAGGTTCTTCCGTTTTATGCTTCTACTCTTTTCAATACACCAAATGGCATTAGGTCTCTTTCGGACAATGGGTTCAATTGCAAGAGATCTGGTTATTGCCAATACATTCGGGTCAGCTGCTCTGTTGATTATATTTTTGTTGGGTGGATTTATCATCCCAAGAGGTATTTTGATGAATTTACAATCCCAAATGCACATCTGATTATTCAAAGTTGGTTTCGAATTTGTGATTTAGTTTCTTGTTTCAGCAATGATTAAGCCATGGTGGATTTGGGGATATTGGGTGTCACCTTTAACTTATGGACAGCGTGGAATTTCTGTCAATGAGTTTGGTGCTGAGAGGTGGATGAAGGTCTGCTCTATTGGATTGCAAAAACAGTTTTTTCAGTTGTCTGTTGCCTCCTATATGTGTATTAACATCGCCATGAAACTATTTTCAGAAATCACATATTGGGAACGATACAGTTGGAAACAACATTCTCCATCAATTCAGTTTACCTGCCAGTGATTATTGGTATTGGATTGGAGTTGGTGTTTTGTTGCTTTATACATTGATTTTCAACGTCATTGTGACATGGGCTTTGACATACCTCAATCGTAAGTTGAAAAAAGTTCTTACGCCAATTAGATACATGACAAACTCAGTCTGCTTCTTTTTTGGCATGCAATATTAATAATGAATACCGTGTTGGTTGATCACAGCTCTTAGAAAAGCCGGAACAGTGGCTTCAGCTGATGCAACACAAGAAAATTCTGATGGCAATGATGGTAAGTCATTTTAATGTTGCACAATGGGTTAAAATATGTGCATTGCTACTTACATGTTGATAAATCTTTGCACAGCAAGGGATCGGGAGTTTGAATTGAATCAAACATCTTTGCATGAAGGCAGTAAAAACAAGGGAATGATTCTTCCTTTTCAACCATTGACAATGACTTTCCATAATGTCAATTACTTTGTTGATATGCCCAAGGTGTGTTGTCTGATGGTTCGGGTTCCCTTGACATTTTATACATATTTAGCTAATATCGCCAAAAAATTGTTGTTTGGAATTCATAGGAAATGAGTAAACAAGGTATAACAGAAAAGAAGCTGCAGCTCTTGTCAAACGTGAGTGGAGTGTTCTCACCAGGTGTCCTGACTGCGTTAGTTGGTTCTAGTGGAGCGGGAAAGACTACTCTGATGGATGTGTTAGCTGGAAGGAAAACTGGTGGATATATTGAAGGAGATATCAAGATATCAGGTCACCCAAAAGAGCAGCGCACATTTGCCAGAATTTCGGGATATGTTGAGCAAAATGATATACATTCTCCTCAGGTTACAATTGAGGAGTCTCTCTTGTTTTCTTCTAGTCTCCGGCTCCCAAAAGAAGTTAGCAAAGAACAAAGACAAGTGAGCAGAATAACACACATAGGCAAATTCACACATATGCTTCTTGTTTATTTGTTTTAACTGTATTCTTGATGCTTTGTTGCCACAATTTACTTCAGGAGTTTGTTGAAGAAGTGATGAGGTTAGTAGAGCTTGATACTCTGAGGCAAGCTTTGGTTGGTTTGCCAGGGAGTAGTGGGTTATCAACAGAGCAGAGGAAGCGGTTAACAATTGCCGTGGAGCTTGTTGCAAATCCATCCATTATTTTTATGGATGAACCTACATCTGGACTTGATGCACGAGCAGCAGCTATTGTGATGCGAACTGTTCGTAATACAGTTGATACTGGAAGAACTGTGGTTTGCACCATCCATCAACCTAGTATTGATATTTTTGAAGCATTTGATGAGGTTTGTTCTACCTTGCTTTGCACTTCAAAAAGTTTGAGAACTGAAACTTCACGTTAGTTTTGAATTTTATAACATTTGGATCTGATGCCTGCACAGCTACTTCTCATGAAACGAGGTGGTCGGGTTATATATGGGGGAAAGCTTGGTGTGCACTCACAGATTATGATAGACTATTTTCAGGTAACATTGCATTATTCTATGCAAGCAACGCTAGATTTCTGATTATGTGGTTCATTTCTTTTGAAAGAAGAATACTTCTAATGCAAATCATGATAACCCCTCCAAGCAACGATTTTCTCTAAGAGCCTTTTTTACTAGCTTGAATTCAAGGGCCAAGTATTTGGAGCCAAGCTTCTGTCAGTTCCGCCTTCCTGTTTTCCTGTTTCTACTTTTATTGTTATACTTGATGCTACATGCTCTGTTGTTTAAAGAGAAAAAAGGAGAAGTAATCATCATTGGCATTTCCTTGTCATCTGCAGATATTCTTTATTCGTTTCCTCATATTCAAGGAACCATGCTGAACCTGTAGTCCTCGTGTTCCTTTTCTTTTTTTTTTTCCAGGGATTTAGTGGAGTCCCTCCATGTCCAGATGGTTACAATCCAGCAACTTGGATGCTTGAGGCTACTACACCAATTATTGAAGAGAAAGTCGGTGAAGATTTTGCTGAATTATACAGAAAATCTAATCAATACAGGTATTCCAATTGAGGTCTTGTTTTATCACATGCAAGATCTTGCAAAATTTTCTCTCTTGTTTATCTACTCAGAGCATTAATTTGCATGAGCATGCCATTTTGTTTATTACTTCAGGGAGGTAGAAGCTTCCATTATCAATTTCAGTACTCCGCCTGCTGGCTCAGAACCTTTGAAGTTTGCATCGACATATGCTCAAGGTGCCATGTCTCAGTTCTTGATTTGCCTTTGGAAACAAAATCTTGTATACTGGAGAAGCCCACAATACAATGGTGTGAGGATATGTTTTACTATAATAGCTGCATTGATATTAGGCTCGGTATTCTGGGATATTGGTTCGAAAAGGTAAATTCCCCTCCTTATATTATTCACATCTGTGTGTAATTGTTGAAATATGGTTTTCATATGGATATGGTTTGTTGTGATAAACTTTGTTACATTTTTATCTTATTTGTTTTATTATTATGAACACCTTCCCACCCTTTTTATATAGTCCTTTTGATAGCTGCTTTGACGTATTGAATGACAGTGTTAGTCAGCTCAAAACTACAGAAAATATTTTTGGCTATCGTCAATCTTCCATGTTCTAAAATTTAAACACCTGGCATATATCAGCCCATTTTTAAACACCTGCTACATATCAGCTCTAGATAACTTGACCACTGGTTATTTCATTTTCTATCTCAATACCATAAGAGAAAATTCAAAAGGAAAGCGAAGGCTGGGGGAAAAAAAAGAAAAAAAAAAAGGGACTGTAGTACTTTATTGGTTTACTCATTTGAAATCAGCTAGGGTTTATTATGCAAGCAGTCATAGCACCAAGATGTGTCATTTCCCTTTTGTTGAAACTCTCAGAATGTTATTAAATCAGTCAATATTGATACTTTTGATAGGGACTCAACTCAAGCTTTGTTTGTGGTTCTGGGAGCACTATATGCTTCGTGCATGTTTCTCGGGGTCAATAATGCTTCCACAGTGCAGCCAATAGTTTCAATTGAGAGAACTGTCTTCTATAGAGAGAAAGCAGCCGGAATGTACTCTCCATTATCCTATGCAGTAGCCCAGGTGACTGTCATTTTGCTGAAGAAATATCAGCTTCTTTTGGAAAGTGTTTTTGATGAATAATTTACAATTCAATGCTCTTCTCGACAGGGCCTTGTGGAGATACCATACATCATTGTTCAAACAATTTTATACAGCATCATCACATATTTCATGATCAATTTTGAAAGGACGGCAGGTGAGATTCTAAATATCCATTATGAGCTACTTCCTTTGTATAATTACTAACAATGACATTGTTCTTTTTTCTTTTTTCTAATGATTCTCAATCCATGATTGAAATACAAGCTATGCCTTCTAATTTCCATGATATAGGATTTTAACTTTTTTTTTTCCATAATTGAACTGCTTTTTCATGTACCATGAACCTTTCAAATAATGTGTCTAGATGTCTGAAATTTACTCAGATGCAAATCATGTATGTGAATAATTCTTGTTCAATGCAGGGAAATTTTTTCTATATATGGTGTTCATGTTCCTCACCTTCACCTACTTTACTTTTTACGGCATGATGGCTGTTGGTCTCACACCTTCTCAACACTTGGCTGCCGTAATCTCTTCTGCATTTTACTCTCTGTGGAATCTCCTCTCAGGATTTCTTGTCCCAAAGCCAGTGAGTAGTGTTACAAACTTCAAATAAATTAGTGCATCAAACTCTAACTGGCCTAACTCGCTGTTCTTCTTCAAGTTCCTAACGATATTAATATCCAGGAAAGAATATTTTTTATATTTGGAAAATGCTCGTCTTATTACAATAGTGTGACCATCTTGTCTATCATATACACATTGATCCATGTGGATCTCACATCGACCCCACATTAAAGTAGGCCTTGCTTTCGTGAGAATGGAGGGTGGTGAAATAGTGCTAATACAGAGGGATAAATTCAAAGCTATCCTTTCGAATTTTCTTATAATTGATCAAGCAGCCTAGGTGAATCTATAGAAAGAACTAATGCAATTCTATAATGGGCAATTGCTATGGGAGAGAAACGATACAGTTGTGTGTTGATACTAATAGTTGGGAACACAGTACATCTCTTACAATATAATCATTTATTTTGTTTTATGGATATATACTGAATACTCTGCCTCTTTTCCTTGATAATATAAACAATTTTTTATTTTTTCTCAAGACCAGATATTTTTTTGATTTTTCTGAGACCAGTTAGAGAACATCTCCAAACTGAAACGCAGATAGAAGGATAGATAGTTAAGGGTTGGGGAAATAATTTGACTTCACATGCATGAGGGGAAAGGAAGTTGAAGGATTTGGGATAAATTCCCACACCCATGAAAAAGTGCATGATGTACCGTTTCCCTTACTTTGTTTTCCTTTTAACCAAGTTCTATGGTTATTGTCTGCTGTGTTTCAGAGTATTCCAGGATGGTGGATCTGGTTCTACTACATCTGCCCTATTGCATGGACTCTGCGAGGTATTATCACTTCTCAGCTAGGTGATGTGGAAACAATAATCGTAGGACCAGGGTTTGAAGGCACTGTGAAACAGTACTTGGAGGTTACTTTTGGCTATGGTCCCAATATGATCGGAGTGTCGATAGCAGTACTTATTGGCTTTAGTCTCTTCTTCTTTATTATCTTTGCATTCTCCGTAAAACTCCTCAACTTCCAGAAACGATGAGTTCCGAATTTATCATCTAGAGGTGATTGGTGCTTTTATGGATTGCACAGGCATGGGATCAAAATCAAAACAGAAGACCATGTATAGGACTATTTGAGTTGAGATCATGGTGTGTGCCGAGGGGAAAAAATATCTATTAGGGAGATTCTCTTAACCCAGACTACCTGACCTTGGAATTTTATGGTTAGAATTTATCTAGGATATTTGTTTTTTTCTTTTTTAATTAAATATTCTCTTAAATACACAGTTAGTTATGTTGGGGTCCTAAAAGAATTTTTTTCTGCATAGTTTCTGCTCTAGTAACATGTTGACATAAAAGAATATATGTAAATCATTCTTCACGTTCTACAAATCCAAGTTTAAAATAACAGTAGAAAGCTGCAGCCGCTGTATCTTTCAGCATTTTTTTCTCCAGAAATAGGCGAACTATGACCTATGATATGTAGGTGGCACGTAAAAGAACAGCTGTGGATTGAGACATGATACTTTTACCCAGAATGCTTGGTCGATACGGAATATGTCCCTAAATCATGGAGAAGCCAGCGCATCTCCATAAAGATCGGGATTGAATTTGAGAAATGAACAATGGCCGCTATAATGTAGTTGCCTCTCACTCTTAGGCTTAGGGATGCAAGATGAGTGAAAACAGGTGGACGTCTGCATTATTTAATCAACTCATATCAAATGATGTTATCGATATATTATTTTATGTTCATAAGAGAACTATTAAAGGCAGTCAAACAGCACATGTAAAGGAACTACAATTTTTATTAGCTGTAAGAGCCAAATAGTGGTGCGCCACATTCCCTCTACTATTGCTCAACCGCAAATGAAGTCAAATCAAGCTCTAAGGAATCAACTTCTCCTCTCTCATGGAATCAATCCAATACAAGATTGATTCCGATGTCTTGCATCTCATCGTAAAACCCAATCGATCAGCTTTCCCTCGAGTCCCTAGCATTTTCGTCGGACAACGGAACAAGATATCCAAGAACTCCCAGTTAGCCAAATCTTCCATCTCCGTGTGTAGCAGACCTTCCTTCACTACAATTTCATGCCAAACCTTCTTCTTGTCACTCATTGCTGTTGCAAACCAAAAGTGGTTTGAAAACATTTCTTTAGGCACTTTAGCGCCAAACTTCTTTCCAAGGACCGGCCAGACCTCCTTCCATGTGAAACTTGGGCCATTAATTGCATTGAATGCTTGGCCGTCTCTGGAAGATATTTCATCATTGGTAGCTGCCCAAATGTGTTGTTCAGCTACCAGCCGAGCATCAGAACCATCAATACATACTTCCTCCCAACACTCCCTCGTCCCTCCAAACACAAAAGGGAGATTCAGATGGTTGCAGATAGCCCCATAGATAGCTAAACAACCTATGACGTTATACAAAGTCCTGTTGGAACTGCCCGTCAACAAGCCAGGCCTTAGCACGGACCATGCCACTTTACCAGCTAGTCTCTCCTTAAGCAAGTCCTCGAGAACATAATAGAAGTTATAACCTTCACTTGCTCTTGGGCATTTTTCATCATAGATAGAGACTTCTTTCGCATCAAAAGGACCTTTTAATGAGACGTAATGCTTCATCCCTGTTTGGAGCGAAACGTGCTTCAGCGCCTTGGATTCGGTGAGGATGACATTCAAGGCATTGGACATCATGGCCTTGTTCTGTTCGCAGCTTTTTATGCTATCTAGAGGAAATTCGCCTGTCCAAGTGACCCAAAACACATGAGTCACATCCTGTACCACAGAAAGCTTCTTTTCTGTTTCTTCAGGGTTTAGTAAGTCACACGAGATGAAATGATAGTTGGGACATTGGATAGGAAAACTCTCAGACCTTCTAGCCACACCATAGACCTTCCATTTGTTTTTTGAGATTAGCCTTCTGGCTATTTCTCTCCCAACAAGCCCAGTAACACCAAAAATAATGGCAACGCTACTAGGAGCAGCTTCAGTTCCATAATTATTGGATTCCTTAGCTGCCATTGGTATTGTATAGTTTAGCTCAGATTTTAGAATTTTGCAGCTTCTATATATAAAGGAAGTTAATGACCTTCTAACAGTGTTTTAGAATGGTCTAACACCTAATTCGAATCAAACAAGTTGTCCTATTCTTTTGAGGGAGGATATCTGGCAAGGTTTCAAGCTTGCCCATTAAGAGTCAATAATTGGAGTATAATATATTGCTACTCACAATCAAGATAAGCAACATCATTATTTAATAGCTTCCTTTTGATGTCAAAAATACTTTTATGTTTTAAAATAACCAAGATCACATGGCGAGTGGCAAATAGTTGCGGCGTCAATGCTTCCAGACTGCCTTGCTTGCCGGCAGATTGTGACCTTCGGCCGTTAATATGCTGGCATTTTGGTTGTAATAAAAGCTTATTATATCATTTCTAAGTTTGTCCATAAGTGGTTAAGGTGCTCCTGATACTATATTTAGTACTCGGTCCACATTTTCTTGAGTGATGCAGCTTAACTGTTAAATCAACCGATTTCTTTTTTTTTTTCCTCAATTAATTTTCAACGTCACATGAAACACCTTGAATCTCTGTCACCAGGTCCGGAAGAATTGGAGTTTGATTAGACTGGTGTGCTGCTAGTCATCCTGAAATTTGGCAGGGCATTAAGCTGAAAAAGAAAAATGAAGGCGGCCCGCAGGCCCATCTGTGGTACTAAATGTACGTAACATGTCTAGTTTCATGCCTGCTCTGGAAGGGATTAGAAGGAGGAAATGAAAGGAACAGTCATCTTACGTTCCTGTCCACAATTTACCAATATTTTTCTGCGATACTTTTATTGGATGTCCCAAATGAAGGTTACATCAAGTTGGAATCGTGGATTAATATTTATGAGCTCTGAATTTGCATAAAGAATGGTACAAAATCATCAGACCAAGTTCATACTCTATAAACAACGAAAAGGGTGCTGATTCGGTCACTGTCTGGGGAATCTGCATCCAAAAACTTGCTAGTTTACTCCAAGCAAAATGCAAATACAGATGGATGCATGAATCATGACATACGAGTAATCAATCCACTAATCTATTGTCAACTCTGATATTACTCTTATATATGTGCAACTTGGGGTACAGCATCAAGTTGTTCCATGAGTAAACAGTCAAGCTGTCCTGCAAAGTTTATGTCAGCCACTTAGTGTTGATTCCTAGGGGTGTTCCATTAATTAATAAAACGTGGGTTAGAACTAGAGATCGAGTCAGAGAAAGCCAGATAGCTAAGAACTTATCTCAGGATAGTAAACAAATTTCAAAGCACAATACACTCTGATACTAAAAGTTGTTTCCTTTATTAATTTGATTATTGCATTGCAAAGAAGTGGAGACAAATTATTCTCATAAGCAACATAATACAGTGAATCAAATCAAATACAAGCAAAATAACAGCTACTGGGAAAAAAACTATCTGCATTTTGGCAGTACTGCTTTGCACTTAAATTCAGAGCCAAAACATTATTAGGAAGACATAAAGACAAAGCTATACACAAACTCGTTCCGTGATAAGTTCTGTTTCTTCTCCAGAGCTCCCTTCTAAATCCGAAAAATACCAGTCTCGAATTTTGATGGCTTTATAAATCACTTAAAAGCTATCATTTACCACACCATCCTCCATTACCAGAATGCCAGTGAAATTGCTTCGCAGATGTACCAGAGAACATTAATTGATCCGGGGACCTTTCTTTCTTTGGGATCAAGCCCCAAATGGAAACACAGCTATGCTGCAAAGAGTCCGGTGAATGGTTTGCCTTCCGAGATTTGATCTGCATTCAGAGTTTTAGGAAACATTAGCGGTGAGCTGTCACAGAATGAGCAAACTTGAATGTTTCTGTTACTTAGATTTTCGCTAGCTAGGAACTTACTCTGAGGAATTTTATGAACAAAAAAGCATGCAGCAATCACAATGTAGCTCAGGAAAAGAAGCATTCCTTTCATGTAATGTGAAGTTCCATCCTGTAAGTAATGAAACCATAAGCAAGTCTAAAAACCAACTAAATAGGCAGCATAACATGCATTGTTACTGGAAAGAAAATTTAGGTGGCAAAACCTGTAAAGTGAAGGCTGTGATAATTATTGTGAAAGCAAGAGAACCGGTTTCAAGGAGACTGAAATCAAGGTCCATATGGACGTGCATTGCCCAGGCAACAACAACGCATAAAGGAACCTGAAGCCCACATTAAAAAAAAAAAAAAAAAAAAAAAAAAAAAAAAAAAAATTATCATGATTTCCTTCCAAGGTTAAATTGGCAAAAGGATTTTCTTCTCCTGGGCTACTTTGATCTTACCACAAACATTGAAATTTGAGAGGCAGAACCTAAAGCAACACCTAAAGATATGTCCTGCATAACAGCCACAGAATTGGTGTTATTGAAAAGTTATCTATTAAAAACATATAAGAGTAAGTACTGACTTGGTCTAACATATATATCATACCAGCTTGTTCTTGAAAGCAAATATGATCGATCCAGCATGTTCTGCAGCATTCCCCACTATAGGCAGTAAAATTATGCTGATAAAACTGACAGAAATGCCCCAAGAATCTGATGCAGCCTGATTGAGAAACATTACAATTTGAAATCCACAAATTAGAAGATCCATTAATATTGCTGAGAAAGAATATATGAGCAATTCTCAAGTGTAATGTACCTCAATTGTGCCCACAACATACTCAGATAACAAAGCTATGATAATTGTCATGCCAACCAACCAAGTAAATGCACTCCAAAACCCTATCACAGCCTTTTCTTCCTCATCTTCTTCCTGCCATTCAACTTGAACCGGTAAATTCTATGCATTAAACTCAACTTTTGGATTAAATAGAAAATTTTAAGGATGTTTAAGTAATTTTAAAGTTATTCTCTCATCTTCAAATGCTGCAATATGAGGGGGAAATTTGATTGATGAACAAAGAAAATAGCATTTTATAAAACTCTTTTTAAGACAAAATTTACTAGACGAACAAAGTAGAAAGTAGGCCAGCTTTCATGGGGCAAATAAGTAGTTCTTATGTTCAAATCTCTTTTGGGAGTAGACCTAATAAATTCCTTTAGACCTTTTCTTGCACAAAAAAGAAATATATACTTCACATAACAGCCAACAAATGAGCCTCATTTAGTTTTTTGTCTCAAACTTTTTTGCAACTAGAACTATTAATCACCTCTTCCTGAGAATCAAACATCTGCCTGTGAGTTTTTAGCTGGAAGAAGATATAAGCAACATATGCTATAAGCATAACAATGCTGCTCACTCTGGACAACTGAAGGGTAGAATAGGCAGTGGAAGTTCCTTCCCCTATGGCATATCTGAACATCAGTGGCAACATGTGGCACAACAACCCCAGTAATAAAAGTAGTGAGTTCACATCAGCCTGCTTCTGTTAAAGCCAAAAAAGAAGAAAAAGATTATGAAATGTATTAGACCATAATGTTTAATTACTTACCCAGTTAGTCGTAAAATTAATTGGATTTGTTCTTGAGTTTTGAGTGTGTGTCTTACTCTATCATATCTTTGTTCCTTTCTTAGGTTGGCTAGGCCTCCACATAGGAGAGAAGTCCCAAGAACTAGAAGGAGATTTGACAAAATGGAACCCAAAAGAGAATACTTCAAGACATGTATTTTGTTCTGGTAAAGAGCAAACATTGCTATTATCAGCTCTGTTGCATTGCCACATGTTGCGTTAAGGAGTCCTCCAACTGCAAATGGTCAAATCATCTCCAATTTTCAAATGATATTATGAATCCAAAATTAGAAATAATCTGTGGGTGAATTTAAATAATTACCTGTTGGACCAGTGAAGTATGCAATTTGTCTGAGATTAATAAGAGCAAGAAAATCGACAATAAAAATTAATGTCAGAACAACTACTGAATAAAATATACCACAAGCAAGTACTTGAGTGTGATTAAAATTATTTGAGCATATATAGTTACAGACTTACTCAGTGAGGAAGCTGACACGCTCTGCTAATGGGGTGAGTCCAAGCAAGCTCAAAGCGAATATCCATGGCTACGCGTGGAATTAGAATAATGCAAAATTAAACAGATATGCAACAAGATAGATATACAACAAGATATATATATATATATATATATCATCTTCGTGTGGTAAATATGTATATTAGAGTTGCTAAATGCAATAAAATTAATTGTAATTCCCTTGCATATATAGAAAATCAATGACATGCACGGTTGTGCATGCACCAAAAAAGTTTTACGGTTCTTCCAAAAAGAAATTAAAAATTAACTTACTCTTCCAAACTTATAATAGTCAGCAGCAATTGCTAGAGGGATGGCTGGGAAGAGAATAGCCAGCTTAGTTCCAAGAATCACTTCTTGAAGATTGGTCAAGAAATGACCAAGCATTTGAAACCGCACATTTGGTGAAACAAGCATGGGATCAGATTTCTTGCGCATAATTGAGGATGATATATTCTGTGGTGTCTTCCCATTGACACAAACCTCCTTAATATTATTTCTATTCAAGCCTACCTTGAAATTAACATCTCCATTTTCCAAGTCTGATGCGACCTGAACCTGGGAGTAGTGGCGGTCCATAATATTATGGTAATTAACTGTATCTAGCTAGCACCCAACACTTAGTTTCCTCTTCTACGTGAAGGAAATCCAAGTGATCCCTGCTAGCTTTAATTTGTTGGGCTGGTGACATATATATGAAGAGGACGATATATATATGTATATATATAGGACAACGGAAGCTAAGTGTTTTTGAGGTAGAAAGACCGAGCTAGAGTAGTGCATTTTCTTTCAAGTTTACGTAGCTTCCTCGAATTTTCCCCGGGTTGTTTCCATTCTTGCATGGGAATCCACGTACTAGCTTATGAAATTGTCTAGGTGTTGCACTCATGGAACTATATATTGAGGTTTCCCATGTGCATATATGGACAGTATATTATATGTAAAATAATCATTTGAACTCAAAATCTAATGTATTGTGTGAGATTTTTCAATATATCTACTCAACTTAAAGTTTTTTAAATTTAAAATTTGCATATATCCATCACGGTAATCTTGTGCTTAATTATTTAATTGATTCAAATTTATAATTGTTTAGTCATGTTCAAAAATCATTTTAATTCAAAATTTTAAAATATTTATAAAATTGTAAAAAATAAGTTTATATTATTTTCTAATACTATTACTCTTTAACAGTATCAGCAGATGCAAAAATAGGAATGGAATTGCTTCTATAGCTAGTTATAACCTTGTTAACTAAAAAGTTTACTATTTAAAATATTGATTAATCTTAGTGTGTTTTTTTTTCATATACATGTCTTTAATTTTAAAAACTATACTTATTAAATTCAAATAATAAATAACATATGATAAACTTCTTTTATAAAAAAATAACTATAGAAATTATATTTTATGCATTTAGGAATATTTATAAGTAAGCATAACTTATTTTTAAGAGGATCATAAATGTGGATTAATTAGGATGTATAAAAGTTGAAATGAGAATAGTGGTTAATTAGAATGTTTAGTTGATAATTCAAAAGTTATTAAAGTTAATCCAATTAATTTAATGTAGTTATTTTTTCTGAAAAAAAAATTGATTTTAATTTTGATAATGCTCGTGAGGATACACATGCCAAAAGTCACTAGCATTGAAAAAACCAAATGATAATTAAACATCCTCTGCTAGCCATATGCAACTACGTCCATATAAAGTATATGCACGGCACGTCTGCCAAAACGATCGCTATTTGCATTATTGTGATGCATCTGCGACTGTCATGGTGAGCAATTAAACAATATCCTTTCAAATATAATAATAATGATGATGATAAGATTTTTATTTTTTATTTTTTAAGAAGTACTTTTATTTCTAATTGGTGGATGCTTGGTTTAGGTAAAAAGCAAGCCTACTCGTTTTTTACATGATCATCTTTGATTTGAATCATAGGAAAATAATTTCTTTTAACTGCGCTAGTCTTGGTAAGAATGACTTTTTTACTAAAGGCATATTTTTTTATTTTTAACATAGATAAAGACCTTGCAGAGGGTTGTATTACCACAATGAAATGATTTGCTATTGCTATAAAATTGAATGACTGCTTTAACCTTTTCTTAATTATAATATGATTTTTTTTAGACTTAAATACTCTGAAAAGAGAATTTAAACTCTTATTCTCTGGCAAATACAAAAAGCTCATTATAATTATACTAAAAGCCTATTCATCTGATAAAAAAAAAAAAAAAACTTAAATGATGGTAAAAAAGTTATTATTTACTATTAAATTAAGAACATGTTAAAAATATCAATTTCCAATTTAATGGTTCAAAGTTAGGATCACTTATACATTAATAAGATTTTACTGAAAATACATGACTCTTGTATTTTTAGAACCGTAAGGACATCCTTTATTCACCAAAAAGTAATGGAGGCAATTGCCCCTTTCCCATTGCAAGTTGCTTGGCCCAGCTTGTTAATTGACCCAAGAATGCCTTTAAAAAAAAAAAAAAAAGGTTTTTTGAAGATTGATCATGCCTGAAAACTAAATATGGATTTTTATAATCCACTTCACTTGGCAACTAAATTACTGAATTGTATAAGACCATATCTCAATTCCCACATTACTTGGTAAGATTTTTATGTCTTTTTATGTAGGACTTTTTTGTTTGCATGGAGTTTCTGCTTTTATCAGTATAGGAACTCAAAGATATATATAAAGAAATATTAGTTTTATAAAAATGTAATAAATATTAATACTGTATTTTTAATGATAATTAATTAATTTTATCGCAGTTTTATAATTGCGTTGGAGCATGGATCGGGGATTTAAGTTAATTTAATTTTGGATTAAAAGAGAGAAAATAAGTAATAGACCTCTTTTTCTCAAGCCAACTCATCGTTTAACACGCATTTAGATTTGAACCGAATAAATTATTTAAGTAACAAATGATAAGTACAAAGCCTAGGTAGCATTTAAAAAAGAAAAAAAAAGGAGAGAGATTTACGGAGGATCACATTAAGAAAATGATGAAAGTATAAGGTCTCCTGAAGTTATTAACTCTCTGGCCAGTTGAATTATTTTCTAGAATTTAGTCATATACGTACTATGTTAAGATTAGGACTTCAGAATTAATCTCTTCTAACACGAGGAATAATTAGCTCATCTAATTAATGAATTATGGTCAGATTGGAATGGTAAATTTGAAGAATGAACTGAAAAAATATATCCAATGGAACCGATTTTAACACAAGTAATTAAAATCCTTCCCCATCAGTTAATGTTTAATTTTCAATTAATATTTTATGTTAAAGACGAGAGCAGCAGTGTATGTACTCAAGAAAGTTTAGAAATTAGAACCTTCCTGGAATTTTCAAAGCCTCCTCGAGAAGAATCAGACTGTGGTGATTATTATTGTTATTATTTATTTATTTATTGCCTTACTTCGAGTACAAACGAAGTAAACCAATTATAAAGCATAAATGCCATTTGATTGGTCAGATTCTCAACAAGTAATGAAATTTGGTCGAAATTTCTCATCCCTACCTTCCAAAACAATGATTTTCCCCTCCGAAAGTGACACGTGTTAGACAGGAATTTGAAGGGTTCAGATGTTTTTTCTTATCATGTTCTTGACCACACACAGGTATACTCTCTAAATTCATTTACCACACTGCCCTTATTAAAAAAAATATATATAGGAATAGAACAGCTGTTAGCGGATTCCGGCATTAATACTAATAAAAGACCCAGTTAAACGAAAGAGGTTCTTACAGAAAACTCATAAACATGTAACTTAGATTATTTTGTCGACAAAATTGAGAGATATGAGATCTTGAAGTTTTAGATTTAAAATGTATAAAATTAAAGTTTAGCCCAAAATAATTGTTCAGAAATGATTTTGGAGGTTCGATTTGAGTTTAGAATGTTTTAAGGAGTGTATGGATGTGTTTTTAGCTGAAAAAAATGGAAAATATGGATTTTTGAGGGTGGCCAGCTCTATTTGGCCGAAATCCGGCACTTTCCGGGTTCTTGCAGATTTTTCATAATCCGATTAGCAATTGACAAGATATAGTTACATCCTGAACTTTCTGGTCCTCTAGTTTTCCGTATTATTAATTAAGGTTCTCCAACTTTTAATTGCTTCATATTTACCCCTTGATCCAAATTCAAATGTTCCTAAAGTAAAATTATTTATTTATGTGACATGTTTATACTTATCTTTTATGATATGGATTGATTTGAAGTGATATTTGTGAAATTTTTATAGTTATTTAAGATTAACAAACTATTATTACAATTATCTTGTGGATACAATATGAGTTTTATAGTGATTTGAGGGTGATTTTAATTTGATTTTTTGATAAATCTTAGATGTTTTTAATTTAAAGCTATGCATCTGTTTCTATGATTTTCTAATATTATTTTGAATGTATTTTATATTTATTTCTATTCTTAATTTTATTTTGAAAATGAGTTTGTTTAATAATTTTTATTTTTATGTAAATTATTTTATTTCTTATGTATACACTTCTTTTTTGTTACAATTGTTTAATTTTATATTATAATTTTTATTTTATTTTCTATTATAAATTTTATGTTAGTATTTTAAAATTTAATGATGGCTTTTATTATAGATTTTTGAAAAACCATATTGTCATCCAATTACAGAGTATCATATCATTTTCTTAATTGTCAAATTTGATTTTGAGACTTATTTTAAAAGGTATGAGATAGCTATTAATATCTATTTTGTTCAAATCCACTATTAATAATAATATCTATTTTAAATTATTATTTTTATTTTAATATATGGTACAATATTGAGTATTTTAATTAAGGAAATTTTAATGTTAATTTAGTTATTCCTCCAATTTTTTTTGTTCATCTATTGTTGCAAATTATAAAGTAAATTATTATTTATTTTAGTTAACTGATGATTATTAATCAAGTGAAAATATATAGAATGAGATATATAACCTATTTTATGTACGTATAAAATATACATGAATAAATGAGAAACTTATAGAGTAAAAAAATAATGACATATTTTGTATCCTACCTTTCTAATTGAAATAAAAAGCAAAAGCTATGAAAATGCAGTTTTTCCGCTCAAATTCAGTTTTTAAATTTATATCCACCGACGCAAGTTATGGGATATATTATTATTTGCTTTAATTAAAGATTTTTTTATTACATATATATAGGCGCGCACGCATAAATTAATAATCCAATCTTTAGATACTTAAGAAAAATTATTATTTGTGCTAATAAAACTATAAATTGAAAGAAAAAAATTGCAAAGTATATTAGAAAACCGCAAAATAAGTAATATTTTATCTGACATTTTCTTTTTTAAAAGAAATGTATTATTTTATTTTTTGATAACCATCCTATAAATACATAAAACATACCACATATCTCATTCTATCATTTCAATCAAATAGATATCAAATTTCCTTGATTAATTAAAATATTTAATAATATATCTTATATTAAAATACAAAATAATCTAAGATGGATATTGTTATTAATGGTCGATTTGAACAAAGTGTATATTAATAACTATGTCATAACTTTTAATATAGGTTGAAACTTAATTTGGCAGTTAAGAAAGTGGTGTGATAATTTGTAATTGAATGATAATATAGTTTTACGAAAACCTATAATAAAAGTCATGATTAAATTTTAAATTATTAATATGAAGTTAAAATACTGTATAAAAACCGTGTATATGCATGGGAAACAAACTAATTTACATAAAACAACCAAATTTAAAAATTAAAATCATTATACAAATTTATTTTCAAAATAAAATTATAAATAGAAACAAACCTAAATAAATTCAAAATGATATTAAAAAATCATAAAAATAAATATATAACTTTAATATAAAAAATCTAATATAAATCAAAAAATCAAATTAAAATCAGTTTCCACTCACCATAAAATTGAAATAGTTATTATATCCATAAGATAATCAAAACAGATACTAGCTAGTTAATCTTAAACAACCATCTAAAATTAACAAATATCACTTTAAATCAACCATACCGTACAAAAATAAGCAAACAATAAAATTTACTTTAGGAATGTAAAAATTTGGATTAAGAGGCAATCTGAAGCAATTAAAGTTGGAGGACCATAATCAATGGTAAGGAAAACCAGAGAACCTAGAAGTTCAGGAACATCAATTGCTGCCCAAATTCTGAAAAATCAGTCCGAATCTGGAAATGTGCTGCATTCTGACCAAATCCAGCTGGCCGCTCTCAAAAATCTATATTTTTTCATGTCTGAATTTTTTATCAGAAATTTTTCCATTCAACTGTGCTTCTTATTAGAATTAAAGAGGTAACCCATCGATCATGGCATGATTCTGCTGATCAGTTCGATCTCCGGTTTTTCTTCGAAAGAAGGACGGTGAAGTAATTGAAACTGAAGAGCACAATTGTGAGTGGTAGAACACATGATAACATAAAGTACTTGGATCCTTTAAATTTATTTTTGACACGTGTTGCTCTGAGAGGGGCGAAGGCACTGAAAGGCATGGATTATCCTAACATAATGCAGGCATCGTAAAATTTTCCTAATACCTGAGCTACTTGCTAGGAAGGAAGCATTTCTTGTTCTGGCAAGTACTACTATATTTTTTTCCCCGAAGAACCAGTTGTTATTTTGCCTTATCGTTTGATTGCCACAAAAGGCATAGCCAGCTTGATGGCTTTGCAATTTTGTTCCATTCTCTGCATAATCCACGAGCACACACATATGTGGGATACAACCGTCAACATCCTGCTTGATGTTAACTGATCATCTAACTAATAAAATCACTAGGCATGCATTATCTTAAATTCTAATAATCGGTTACGGAAAAAATTCCATTCAAACCGAAAAGTCACGTTCAAGAATAATCTTACATGAAGCAAGTGATGAATAATGTTGTATAACCATTTACTTGCTATTATATGCAATTTATAAATCATTGTATTAAATGTTATTTATGTTTTTGTTTTTCCAACATAAATAATATCTTTGAATCATTTGTATATTAATTAAAATTAAATCAAATGACACTAGTGTTTGTCTCTCTTACAAAAATATATCTGAGTTTGAGCCATTAAAAAAATAAAAAATAAAAAAATCTAACCTCATTCGGTTCTTGCTATACACAATTTTTGAGGAGAATAAATTATAAATTAGTCCTTCTTGTTTTAAAAACTGATTATTTAGTTCTCATGTTTTGAAATTTACTTATAATTTAGTCTTTTTAATATTTTTTAATTTATTTTGATTTTTTCTTTTAAGAAATAGAAAAAAAATATAGAAGCATTGATGACAAAATAAGAGATTTTGTGGAATAAAAATAATATTAAATAAAGCATAGTCAATGCTAATTAAAGGATTAAATAATAGTTTTTGAAATGAGGAAGATTAATTAATTTTTTTCTTGAAACAAGAGGGACTAATTTATAATTTACTGATCACAGAACCGATAATATCATTTCATTAAATCCAAAAAAAATAATAATAATAACAAATAAATAACAGAGTTAAGAGTCAAAGGTGTTCGTCTATCACAATCACAGGGCTAATTAAGTAAAAAAAACATTATTATAATAAGCTATTTCAGGAGAATTTTGAGACACTGAAAAAGCTATATATTATATGAGTTGTTCGATTGGCTTTATGATAAACATGATTCAATTTGACATTCTCAATATTATTAAGAGAAATTAGTTTTCCTTCCATCAATATAAATTCATACATAATTATTTGACTTCAAAATATCAATAGTTAGATTTATAAAAATTATTACCATATCTATTTATTTAATGCATGAAATGCTTATTCAATGATTTTATTTTATTTTATAAATGATAAAACAATTATATACAATTAACATTATTCTTTTCATTATGATGCAACTTCTTCCATTTTAGATTTTGAATCGTCTTGAGGTATTTTTAGCTCTACCCATCCATTGAATAAAACAGTTGAGAAAAAACAGATTTCTTACGATCCTCATTCTAATTCTGACTTGGCTTTGTTCATCTATCCATCTTCTGTTACTAAGAGTGATTTAATTTGGACTGAGGTGTAATTTTGTAGTCAAAGAAGAGGTTCAAAAAATACATAGTTATGGATTAACATTCATGTAAGTGTCAAATATATCCATTAATCACTACAATCCATCTAAAATAATAAATATATAGAAAAAGCTGTAATTTTAGTGTCTAATGTTTGATATTTTTTCTGTTAAATTTTTTCTTTTAATTCCCAAATTTTTTTTTTTCTTTTTCTGTTTGAGTATTTTTAGTCTTGAGAGTATGAAATGATGACATGTTTAGAATAAATTGTCACATATCAATTCATTTAATACATCAGTATTTCATACTCTCAGATAACTAGAGGTATTAAAATAGAAAAAAAATAAATCAAACCTTGGGTATTGAAATAAAATAATTTAGCAGTCGTCAGACATTGAGACAAGGGGAAAAAAAAAAACAAAAGTTTGACAAAAAAAATGCATACAATCACATACACACCATGCGTTATGCCTGAGTAAATATATTCATTTTAATTTATAATTTTTATTTTTATTTTTGTACACACACAACCATACTTTAGGCAGATAAGATTTAAAAATAAATTAACAAAACTTTGAGATAAAATAATAGATTTCAAATATTTAATAAAACAAAAATCCTAAATAGTTAATCGGCCATCTCATTTCTTATAGTGATTATAAATTTCATTTCAATGAAGTTATTTAGAACTTCCCAAACCCTAATTTCTAGGCATGATAACGTTCGAGTCATTTGCCTTAGAGATGTTGAAACATTGCCAGTGTCTAAAGCATGTGAAGAAGAAGCAACATTGTTTTTTTTCTATAATCTTGTTGTGTAAGGTCATTCGTAAGTCTTCTAATTTTTTCTCCAACTCAATCAACTCCTGGAGGTTCAGTTCTTCTATTGGAGTATTCCACCAATCATCGTTAATATCATCTATTATATTATCCTTCAACGTGAGGCCCTTTCCCTTTTTGTCATCCAGTTGTTGTTGCACTTCACCATACTTTAGGATTTGCTCTTCAATCCTCGTTCCATCCCATATGCCTCCCAAAGGGCTTGAGTGCTATCTATGTTTGATGGACCCTCAAGAAAACGATTAATGACATGTTCAAATGAAGGATGGTCGAAAGAAAATGGCTTACCTCCTGGGGTGAAAAAGTGATGTATGCGCACAATTTCTGCTCCAATTGAAGTGACAAGCTCAGTAGCTTTTCTGTAGATCCCAAATCTACGCTTGGAAAAGGTGACTAATCCGGCCATCATCTTCATTTTAAATTCTCTTCGTTTCCAACTTTTATATCTCTCTTGTTTTCTTGCCTTCCATAATTAAAAAATAAGATGCAAGACAAGATACATGATAGAATACGCGCGTATGATGGCTCTACTTGATTTGAGATGTCTATATATGAAGAGAAACTTCAATGAATTAAATGTGATAGGCAATAAATTGTCACTTGGAGTACTTGTATATATCCATGTTATACTTTCATTCTTAATGCATAAATATGTTTAATTGGACTATTGCATTTGAATTATGTAATTTTAAAATGAAAAAAGCTAATAACAAGTATCTTTAGGATGCTCATTAACATTATCTGGTTACATTTATTATTAGTTTCATTTTTTTTAAAAAAATCAAGTTAAAAAAAATCCCAATGTTCAAAGATATTAAAGGAATCATATATTATGTTGCCACTTTTTTTTAGTGTTTATAATAAATTCTATTAGAAAACAAGAAACTAAAGGTAGATTTTAAACAATAAATGATTTTTGACAAATGCCATAATGGTACCCATTAGTGGGAAACTTCTTAAATTTTTGGTATACACCTTGTTCTCTTAATTGGAAAGCAAACACTATTTGTTTATATACTAATCTATGGCAATACAAGTATTTCTTATTCAAAACCAACTATATATATTTCAAGGATGTTGCTAAATTTATCATCAAATATATTTTTTTCACAACTTATTTTTTAAATTACTAATACACTCTATTAGTAATGTTTGTTATCATATCATAGTTAAATATGTTTTATATCAAATAACTAAAATATCCAAAATTTAAATATACTAAATATAAAAATAAAAATAAAACTAAAAAGCATAAATATTGATAGGCATTTTAGATAGTTGATATAAAACATATTTCACCATGATATAATAACAAATATGGGGAGGGTATGTTGGTAATTCTAAAAATTAATTAAGTGGTGAAATTAACAAATTCGGTAATAGATTTAGTAATATCTTTTAATTAATAACGAGTTGCTGAAAAATAATATAAAATGATATCATCAAACCTTAGACAATGACTTAAACTTTTGAAATGAGATGATTTTTTAACTTGACGTTAGAAACTATAAAATATTCATATTCTAGGACATCATCAAGGGTTTAAGATTTGGGATGGATATGTTTCTTTAATATGAGTTAGTTAATCTTTTTGTTATTTTTTGTAATTATCACATCTCTATTTTATTAAAATGTTTGTATCACAGAATGTGATTCATCGTTTTTAGATAATTAGGCTTAAGTGATCATAAGGTGTAAGAACTACAAGAAACAATGTAACGTGTTATGATGTATGAGTGATTGCTCTTTTCTGTACAATAATTATGGATAAGTTAAGATAAAAAAAATCCCAACAAATTATTGATTTTCATGCAATCAATTATGGAAATAAAGGGTATTGTAAGGTTTCAAGTAGGAGTGAAATCTCGAACCGAACTAGGCTCGTTCATGCTAAAAAAAATGGTTGAACTTGGTTCGAGCACGACCCACCTATAAATATCTTGTTCGTTCTTCAAATTAGTTTGTGTGGCATATATATATATATATACACTTTATTGTGCTGCAACCTTCTTTTTCTTTTTAGTGAGAGCCCTATCATTTAAATTGGGATAAATGCACTGTATGTACATTAATTTTTAATTTTTTCTCCATCAAGTATGTGGATTTTATTTTTTATTTTTATTTGAGTAGATCGATTTTTTTCAAAACTATCTATCATTCTTTCGTTAATTTTTTTCGTTAAATAATGACATGTCTATTATATATCTTAAAATTTCAAATTATAATTTTGACATCTTTTCTCTAAATTGAGTATTTGAATTTGAATTTTTTTATTTGAGTACATTAATTTCTTTTTAAAAAAACTACCAATCAAGTATTTCTATTAATTTCTTCATTAACAAATGAAGTGTATGTTACCCTTAAAATATTAAACTACAATTTAGTCTTTTTTTTTTTTTTTTTTTTGAGGGAACTTCATTCCTAACTTATTCTACCATTTGAAAAATTGATTAAAAAAAACATAAAAAACATATTTTTTTAGCTATAAAAGCTCGAACTAAACTTAGTTAGGTTCAAGCATAAAAATTGAAGACAAACATAAATATGGAATTTTTTATTAAGAAAATTCATTATTTGTGAACGTTTGGGGAGAGAGTTTTCTCCAACAAAAAAGAAAAAAAAATTATAATTTAGTTTTCTATAGGTGAGAAATATATCATCGAGTTAATGACAAATTGATAAAAGTACTTGATTGAAAGTTTTAAAAAAATTAATATACTCGAATAGACAAAATTAAAATCTATATGCTCAATTGAGTAAAAAAAAGATAAAATTATAATTTGATGAGGTAATGCATACGTCATCATTTAACGAAAAAATTGATAGAGATACTTGATTGGTAATTTTAAAAAAATTATTATACTCAAATGAAAAAAATTAAAATTTATATACTTGGTTGAGAAAAACATTAAAAGTTAGTGTGCTTATAATGCAATTATCCTTTTAAAACTCATAGAACCCATATTATCAATTGTACATGGGTGACATTTAAGGAAATTTGCTATGAAAAGCAAGTTTTCCAGTAATTTTCCTTATTTATTAATTTAGATGCAGGTGAGCGGATATACATCTACGTACATTACAAAATATTAAGTATGAAAAGATAAATTATTCAATATTATTGGTAAGTGGGGAATATATTCAAACATTGAAAATAAACTAAATAGAGATGTACTGTGTATACGGAAATAAATGTGTCTTTATAAGTGACAACTAAGCATGATTATACATCCTTCTCATAAAGAAAAAGTGATGGTACATGATTAAGAGAATAATTGAGTACAAATTTTAAACATTATAAATTTGAGAAATAAAACAAAAATAGAGTTTGAATTTTTTTTTATTTCTAACGAATTCACAGAATATAAATATTAATTGACCAAATTGAAAATATAAAGATAGAAATGAATAATTAACACAAATATAAAAGTAAATTTAGGAGTTTTGTTTTGAAAGATCTTAAACATATTTTTCTTTCATTATAAAAATCTCAAGCATTCTTTTAAGAACACAGAGTGTCCAAATCCACTCAACTAATCTTGTAGGTTTGTTTTGGATTTGTTTGAATTGGCCTTTCCTTTTATCAAATTTCCATCATTAAGTAAAAGCTACATGAAAGGTAAGTATTAAATCAAAATAAATAAGTTTTAGTGTTTAATTAAGCAATAGTTGTCCACTAAAATCTTATCCTTCTAATTTTTAGTTTTTAATTAACATAAAACAACATATTTTGAATTCCCCCCCTAAATATGGTAGTTTCTATTTTTTAAAAACAAATACGATACTTTAAATGGTTTTTATCTTATATAAGCATTCATACCATTTTTTCCCGGCCATTATACATTATACATACATAAAACTAAAGTAAAATTATTAGTTTTACTATTCATTCACTATTTGAAACACTATTCACACACTCACAAATCATTATTCACACACTCATAAATCATTATTCCTTTCACTATTCATGATATTTTTGCAACACTTTGGTCATCAAAATTTCTATACTTTTTCTTTTCAATTTCAAACTTTAATTGTATTGTGATTTGGTCCCATTTTGTTTAGTATTTTTTGTTAACTATTTTTCTTATTCAAGTTTAATACTTTAATTTGTCTTTTTTTTAATTCTCTTTTTTTTTCAACTTTATACTTTAATTATATCGTGATTTGGTCATATTTTATTTTAGTGTTTCTTATTAATTATTTTTATTATTTAAAATTTACTACTTTAATTTGTCATTTTTTTAAAATTCTCATCCAATTAATCTAAAATTATATGCTCCTTAATTTGTCTATACATTTGTTTTTTAATTTTAAACTTTAATTGTACTATGATTTGCTCCTATTTTTTTAATATTTTTTGTTAATTATTTTTATTATTTAAAATTTCTTATTTTAATTTGTCATTTTTTTAGATTCTCATCCAATTAATTTAAAATTATATTCATCGACAGTTTTGATTTATTTTTCTATATGTATAGATTTTGGAATAAAGTTTTAGAACATGATTATTTTTTCTCTTGAAAAATAGATTTAGATAATTTTAAAATTATAGTGGCATGATTAATATGTATAATTTATCTGAAATACTTTTTTAGTCCTCAATTTTTTTGTATATATATATTTTTTTAATTTTAAACTTTAATTGTATTATGATTCGATTTCATTTTGTTTTAGTTTTTTTCATTAATTATTTTTATTATTTAAAATTTAATACTTTAATTTTTTATTTTTTTAATTCTCATCTAATTATTTAAAATTTTATTTTCCTCAATTTTTCTATACATTCTTTTTTTCAATTTCAAACTTTAATTTTATTGTGATTTGGTCCTTTTTTATTTTTTTATTAATTATTTTTATTATTTAAAATTTACTACTTTAATTTGTCATTTTTTTAAAAATTCTCATCCAATTAATTTAAAATTATATTTATTGATAATTTTGATTTATTTTTCTATATCTATGGATTTTGGAATAAATTTTTAGAACATGATTATTTTTTCTTTTGAAAAATATATTTAGATAATTTTTAAATTATAGTGGCATGATTAGTATATATAATTTTTCTAAATAAATTTTTAGATTAAAAGTGTATTTTAAATAGTTTTTTCTCGATTTTTTTTGTAAAAAATCTCAAATTAGTTAATAAATAATTGAAAGTCAAATGTGAAAAATAAAAAAAAGATGGTTGCTCTGCTCGTGAGACTCGTATTCAAGGACTAGCCATGCCTAGTATAGAAATAAAAAATTATTTAAGGAGAAAAAAAATAGAATTCACATGTTTTATTAATTTGTTTCTTCTTTCTATAATCAAAATTAATTGAAATCAAATTTGTAATAATTTTTAGTTTAGTCTATTAACTTCAAATTTAGTCAATAGATTCCTTGCAAGTTATTTTTTTATAGTATTTTTTATTTTAGACTGAAAACTCGAATTCACTTAATATAAAATATTGAATCGTTATTTTTTAAAAAATTAACTATGCAACTATTACACCAAGCATTTACTATTTATTTATTTATTTTTGAATATTTTAAAATTATGTTTTGGCTTAACTACTCAATTATTCAAATTAATATGGTTTTTTATTTCAATATTATTCATCCGTTTGTAAATAAATATATAAAAATTAAATTCACATGTTTTCAAAAACTGATATTCTCATCAATATTAAATAAAAAAAATTATTTGTTCAATTCTATTTAAGCTTTTAATAATTTTTATTTTTATTTTTCAACACAATCTTATGAAATACTAAAGCTTTTTAAAAAAATTATTTAATTTTTTTTATAGTAAATAATCCATGGATTAACAAGGATAAATTGTTTTTGTAGAGGAAAAATTATGAAAAGCACAAATAAGAAATAGTTAAATACAAAATTTTTTTATTAAAAAATTATAAATACTTTTTTTCAACTTTGATTTCATATATTTTTATAGATTTACACCATAAAGTAGACTATCAAATTGAAATAATTTTTCTACATAATTTTATATATTTTATCCAATCCAAAGCATAACGCGGACAAAAAAACTAGTACTAACTAAATTGATATGTTTGAAAATTATGCAGACTAAATCAAAACTCCACCATAATCTTTGACCTTTAGCAATAAGTAGCGGCTTGACCCACTAAAAAATGGGTAATGGATGTTTTAAAACAAATCTAAACAAAATCCATGGATTTTCATTCTTTTTTCATCCTAAAAATGTATATTGTGGTGCCATAAACTAAATAAATTATAAATTAATCCAAATTAACTCATGAAGTATCATGTTTATTAGTCAAAACATCTTCCAAATTTAATTATAAAAAATTAAATACTCATTTCAAGACAATCTTAATCTTCACTGATCTTTCATGGTAAACTCAAGTAAATATGCATCTTTCATGACCATTTTAATTCTTCAAAAACATGTGATAAGCATGTCCTTTTTTTCTCTATTTGATTCCAATCAAAATTCAATTTCTCTTAGCAAAAATATATTTGATAGAAAATAACACATGTATATATCTAGAGAACACTCATGAATCAAATTAATGCTCTAATGGAAAAACCGACATTGAACGATGGTAAAAATCATCACTAAAAAAACCATCACTAATAATAATAACGATGATTTAAAACCATTTGAAAAAGCCTTCTTACTAAATATTTAGCGATGGTTTATTATAAATTATCGCTAATTTAGCGACGATTAATTCGTTGCTAAAAAAACCATAAAGCTGTTGCTTAACATTGTTTAGAAGGTCACGAATTTAGTAATGGTTTTACGGAATCATTGCTAAATCTGTCCCTATAAAGTGACGGTTTTTAAAAGCCGTCGCTAAATATGACTAGATTTTGCGTCGTATTTAAACCGTCTTTTTCTAATTTTTATATACTTTTAGTTAATTATTTCATCATTCACATGTCACTAATAAGAAACATAAAATCCAATCCAATTTAACAATTACAATACCAATAACAAACAAATTTATAAATATTATGAAACCTTTATAATATATAAAATTCAATAAATCAAATATATATTCAAACATCAAATTATATTAAAGTTTATTAATATTTTAGAAAAAAAATAAAAATGATAAAAAAATACGACTTGGACCATCACAAATACGATCCAAATCCAAAAAAAAAAAAAAAAAATTAAAATCTGGATAATTAACGACGGTTTGATCAAACCGTTGCTAAAAACGATCGTTTTGGAAAAATTTAGCTATGGTATTTTTCTCCCTTGCTAAAGCACCTAAAACCATCGCTAATTTTTCATCGCAAAAACAGACTTTTTATTGTAGTGACATCCGTCGCATCATCACATGCTCCTCCCGAGTATATTGCTTCAATAACCTTTAACTTTCTATGAGCTATGTAATAGTACTCTCTAGTGTTTGGATCTTTTCTTCTTGTCTAGATGTGTTGGGCTCCATTTCCTTTTAATGTGCCTTAATATTGACATGAAACTGTGATGCGATTGAACTAAAAGACGTACCGACATTATAGTAATACATCCATGAATCAAATTAACGATTAACAAAACTAGGTGATAGAAAAAAAATAATCAAAACTATGCTAATCTTTGTGGTTAAAAAAAAACATTTTAATTAGAAAACAAGGATGCCATTATTATGAATTAAAAAATCAGCAAAACTAAAAAAGTTCATACGGATCTAGATTTCATTTTCAAATTCAAACACAAACAATCACATGATTATGTAAAATAAAAAACTTGGTAGCCATTGTTGTGTACTAAAAGAAAATGTTATAGAATTAGAGATAAAAAGCCTATGGTAAAGAAAAAGATGAAACAAATTTTTTCTTTATTTTTATAATAATAAAATTAACGATAAAAATTTAAAATAATATTTACATGTATGTCTAATGTTGATAACAAAGTTTAAAACTACCTTGATTTAGGAATAAAGATTTAAAATACCATGTTTGAAGGGGAAAAAACCCCACATAGCAATATATATATATATTTATTAATATATATGATGTTTCTTAAAATTTAAATGTATTGTTGGCAAACTGAATGTTTTGACAAAGAGTTCATTCTTTTATGTATTGGTATGGATAATTATTCATGTAAGTGCCAGAACTATCCATTAATCACTATAATCTACATTAAAATAATACATACAAGGTTAATTGGTAAAATGATCCCTAAACCTTTGGTAAAATTCAACTTAATCCCTAGCCTTTTGGTTTTCTAATTTTGTACATCGACCTCTCAAATCAAAGCAATTAATCTAGATTAGATAAAAAATTTTAATTTTCAATTTGGGTGGAAAGCCTAATGGAGTTGGTTAATTACTTTGAATTGATAACTCGAGTTACAAAAATCAGAAAAACAAGAAGTTAGGGGTTAAGATGGATTTTACCAAAAATTCAAGAAATCGTTTTACCAATCAGCCTACATTAACACACACACAACACACCTTATGCATATGTAAATATTATTTATTTATTTATATATTTTGTAATCCAACACCAAACCTTAGGCATAAACAAGATAGGATCTGAAACTAAACAGACAAAACTTATGACAAAATAACAGATTTCTAATTTTTCATAAAACATAAACCTTAAAAGGTAATAGACTATATTATCACATATCGATAATATAAATTTCATCTCAAGAATGTTATTTAGAACTTTCCAAACCCCAATCACTTCCATGATCAGGGACAACATTTGAGTCATTTGCATTAGATGTTGATGCATTGCCTCTTTCTAAAGCATGTGAAGAAGAAGCACCGTTGTTGTTCTCCATAATCTTGTTGTGTAAGGCCGTTCGTAGGTCTTCAAACTTTTTCTCCAATTCAATCAACTCCTGGACGTTCAGTTCTTCTATTGGAGTATTCCACCAATCATCTTTATTAACATCTACTATTTTATCCTTCAATTTGCGACCTTTTTCCTTGATGTCATCCAATTGTCGTTCCATTTCACAGTATTTTAGGGTCAGTTCTTCAATCCTCGTTCTCCTATATGCCTCCGCAAGGGCTTGAGCGCTATCTATGTTTGATGGACACTCAAGAAAGCGATTAGTGACATGTTCAACTGAAGGATGGCTGAAAGAAAATGGCTTACCTCCAGGAGAAAAAGTGACAAATGCAATTTCTGATCCAGTTAAAGTGACAAGCTCACTAGCTTTTTTGTAGATCCCAGATCTACGCTTTGAGAAGCTGACTAATCTATCTTCTTCATTTTCAATTCTCTTCATTTCCACCTTTTGCCTTCCTCTTGTTTTCTTGCCCTCCATAATGAAAAAAAAAAAAAGAAGATACAAGACAGGATAAATGATAGAATTATACATATGATGGCTCTACATGATTTGAGATGTATATATAAGAAGAGAAGCTTTCAGTGAATTAAATGTAATTTATTACATACAGATAATAAATTGTCATTTGGAGTTGTTTATATCCATGTTATGCTTTCACTCTTAATGCATAAGTATCTTTAATTGGAATATTACATTTGAATTATGTAATTTTTAAACGGAAAAAGTTAACAAATGTCTTTAGGATACTCATTAAACATTATCTGGTTACATTCATTAGTTTCATTTTTTTAAAACTTCAAGTTAAAAAAAAGGGGAAAAAATCTAATATTCAAAGATATTAAATGAATCATATATTATATTGCAACTTTTTTTAGTGTTTATGAATATAAATTCTATTACTAAACAAGAAACTACAGGTAGATTTTAAACTATAAATGATTTTTAACAAATGCCATAATGGGACCCTTTAGGGGGAAACGTTTTAAATTTTTGGTATCCACCTTGTTCTCTTAATTGAAAATTAAAGCACACATTATTTGTTTACTAATTTAACGCAACACAAGTATACGTCATTCCAAACCAACTATATATATACCTTTTCATTAAAGGTTTGTTACTATATCATAGTTAAATATATTTTATATCAAATATCTAAAATATTCAAAATTTAAATGTGCCTAAAAGGCAAAATAAAAAGAAACTAAAAGGCATAAATATTGATGAGCATTTTAGATATTTGATATAAAACATATTTCACTATAATATAGTACAAAATATTGATGAAAAAGTGTGTTGGTAATTTAAAAAAAATAAATGTTGAAAATAACAAATTCTATTGTGAATTTATCAATATCCTTTAATTAATAATGAGTTGTTAGAAATAATATAAAATTATATTGTCGAGCCCTACACAAGGGCTTAAACTTTTCGAATAAGATGGTGTTTCTTTGACTTGATATTAGAAATTATAAAATCATATTTTGAGATATCACCCAATGATTTAAGGTTTGAGATCGATATATTTCTTTAATATGAGTTAGTTAGTCTCCTTGTTATAGTTTGTCCTTTTGTTATTATTATTATTATTATTTTTGTAATTATAACATCTCTACTTTATTAAGATGTTTGGATCGCATAATGATCATTTTTAAACAGTCAGGCTTAATCACGACCGTAAAGTGTCATAACTGTAAGGAACAATGCAACGTGTTATCATTTTTAAATTATTGTTTTTCATGCAATCAATTATGGAAATAAAGTGTATGGTAAGACTTCAAGTTAGAGTGAAATCTCAAGCAGAACATATGGATGCTCAAACTAGGCTCGTTCATGCTAAAAAATTGGTTGAACTTGGTTCGAGCACGAGCCACTGATAAATATCTTGTTCAATCATGAAATCGGCTCGTTGTAATTACCACATCTGTACTTTATTAAGATGTTTGGGTCACATAATGTGATTCATTGTTTAATTTTAAACAGTCTCAGGCTTAATCGAGATCGCTAGGTGTCTGAACTACAAGAAACAATGTAACGTGCTGTACTAAATGAGTGGTAGCTCTCTTCTATATTGTAGTTATGGATAAATTAGGGTAGTCCAACAAATTATTGTTTTTCATGCAATTAATTATGAAAACAAAGTGTATCATAAGACTTCAAGTAGGAGTGAAATCTTGAACCAAATATATGGATGCTCGTCTAATTCATGCTAGAAAATTGATTGAACTGGGTTCGAGTAAGAGCCATTTATAAATATCTTATTTAATTGTGAAATTAGCTCGTCGTAGCATATATATGGCAAATTTGAAATAAATTCATTGTGTTCGACTATCATTTCAGTCTTAGAATATATAGTGAAAACCATGCTCAAGTTCCCAAAAACAAAACAATATAATAATTTGATCCTTTTTTGTGCTGCAACTTTTTTCTTTAGGGGAGCCTTATCATTTAAAATTGAGATGTATACACTATATATACATTAATTTTTAAATTTTTTCTCAATCTAGTATATGAATTTTAATTTTTTTTATTTTGGAGTATTGATTTTTTTTTAAACTCGTCAATTAAGTAATTTCATCAATTTTTTCATTCATTGATAATGTGTCTCGTTATCTTAAAATACCAAGTTATAATTTTGCCTCTTTTTTTCGCAATCGAATACATGGATTTTAATTTTTTTCGTTTGACTAAATCAATTTTTTCAAAACAACTAATCAAGCATTTTCATTAATTTCTTCGTTAACTAATGAAATTTCTTCATAAATTAATTTACCATTTATAAATTTAATAAAAAAGAAAAAAACACACACACACACACACACACACACACACACATATATATATATATATATATATATATATATAAAACCTCAAACTAAACTTAATTAGGTTTAGGCATGAAAATTAAAGAAAAATCCAAATGTGGAATTTTTTTATCTAGAAAATTTATTATTTGTTAGCATTTGAAGAGAAAGTTTTCTCCAATTACAAGAGGACAAAAATATAATTTAGTATTCTATAGGTAACGAACCCGTTATCATGAGTTAATGAAAAAATTGATACAAATACTAGTTGATAGACAATTTTGAAAAAATTATACTAAAAAAAAATTAAAACCCATGTACTTTATTAAGAAAAAAAAAGGAGAAAATTATAATTTAGTATTTTGAAGGTAACAAACATATCATCACTTAATGAAAAATTGACAAAAATATTTAATTGATAGTTTTAAAAAAAAATTGATGTGCTCAAATGAAAAAATTAAAATCTATATACTTGATTGAAAATAATTAAAAATTAGTCTACTTATAGTGCAATTATCCCTTCAAAATTCATTAAAGTATGAAAACATAAATGATGCAATACAATTGGTAAGTAGGAAAGGAGAAATTTTATAATACATCGAGAGTAACTAGTGGCATGTACGGTAGTTACTACATGGGTCTACTTTGAAAAGAGAGATAGACATATAAAAAAAGATAGAAATTACATCTATACCCATTAAAAGTGTTAAGAAGATTTTCACATCCGCTCAAATTTTTTTATTTTCTCTCTCCGTTTCTCTCTCTTTTTTGTATGTCTATCTCTCTTCTTAAAGTGGACCTATGGAGTAAGCTACTATACATGACACTAGTCACTCCTTGTGTATTATAAAATTTCTCAACGAGGAAGGGTTTGAATTCAAACATCGTAGATAGACTAAATATCTACATGGGGTGCATACGGAAATAAATGTGTTTTCATAAACGACAACTAAGCATGATCATACATTCTTCAAAAAAATTATGGCTCAAGGATGCATATTGGCTCGTTGGAGCACCACCCACGGCCAATGAGGATAAGAGTGGTAGAGTCGACGTCAGGACGAACTGAAAAGTTTGTTTATCCTCAACTTAATTCTCCCGCGCCACAATTCCTTTTTTTTTTTTTTTCTTTGGATCAGATGGAGAGTCATAACTTTAGACAACATAATTAATTAGTATAATATTTTGAGAAAGCTATCCCCAGATATGTTCTTAAAGTAGTTTCATACAAACACTAAATATATTAGAAAAATATGTGACACGAAAAGGTAAAGAAAAAGCAAGAGATGTTAAAGCCTGTATTGTTTTCCTGTGAAACATAAACAGGCTGGGTTTTTGTTCGAAAAGCCTCGCTCCTCCTTTAGCTGGTCCTGTATCTCGTCCTTAATTCCCTTCCCTTTCCTTGCGCTGACTCGCCCTCTTTAGGCCAATTATTTGCACTTCACACCTTGATTTTCGCCTTGTTGTCAACTGCAATAAAGGTCAAACAATAACAGTAACAAGGAAAAAAAAAACAAACGAGGGAGGAGAAGCCTAGTATAGTAAAAAGAAGGGTCGAGATGAGGTGGAGAGGATCCAAGGGTTGAAATTAAAAGCTCGAAAGGGCTATATAAACGAACAAATCATAACAAAAGGGGAGGCTTTTTTTTTCGGTTTAGGGTTTTGGAAAGAAATCATACTGTTGTTTTTTTTTCTTTTCTCAATCTTTGGCAACCTTCTCTTCTTCACGTGGGAAAGGAAGGAGATTTCATCCTTGAACTTTTCTCCTTATTACAGCATCCAGATTCTGCCCATAGGAGCTTCAAAAGGTAAAAAATTTCTTCCAAGGCTTCCTTCTCTTTCTCTCTCGAAAATTTACCCTAGATTGAAAGGATTTGGTGAAGAACAATTTTAGCTCGAATTTCATAGATATACGAGGGAGGAAGATAAATTTTTCGAAGCTAAAACCCACACAAATCTCAACAGAGGTTGGGGGAGGACATTTTTTTAGTTGATGAAGCCATTAACGCGCGTTTAAGCTCATTTTCAAAACTGAAGGGAAGGTTTTTATTATTATTATTATAGTCCTCAGAGTTATAAGAGTTTTTCATTTTGGTAAAAACAAAGTCTCCTTGCGCTTAATTGGGTCCCTAGTGTGTGTGGATTAAGGGGTGAAATTGATAGAGTTTTGATCCTAGGGTTAGTTTCAATTTTCATTCTTTTTGATTGGTCTGCTTTAATTATTTTTATCTAAAAATTTTAGAGTTTGTGCACATGTTTGTTCTTAGTTTGTGTTTTGAATATTGTAATTTTATAAGTCCACTTGCTATTTATTTATTATTCTTTTAATTATTAGTGTGGTTTGTTTCAAAAATTTAATTATTGGTCCATTGTCCGATTTCATTTTAATAAGAAATTTTTAGGGTTTGTACATGCATTTATCCTTGGCCTGCGTTTTTAAATTTTGTAATTTTAGTAGTCTATTTTCAAGTTAATTACTATTTATTTACGATTCTCCATTATTTTAATTACTAATGTGGATTGTTTCGAAAATTTTATTTAGTCCAGGGTCCAATTTTATTTTAATCATAAATTTTTAGGGTTCATACATATGCTTTTATTTATTTATTTATTATTATATTTTTTAGAATTCCATTTGTTATTTATTTTCTATTCATTTATTATTCTGCCACTATT